TCATTCGGCCAGGACATTCATTCATTTTGGATTTTTTTTTCATTTCATTCATTCATCGATACCGATCTTTCTCTCCAAAAATAATCCTTATTTTTCCATCATCATCATCGATTGTTTTGATGGCTGGATTTTTTTGTTTTCTTGACCATTCATTTCATTTCATTTTTGTTTTCACAAAAAAAGATAGGAAAGTATAACTCTTAATAATGCAATTTCATTGCAAAAAGGTTCATTGATTTTATTACTTTTTTTGGATTTCCGAATCATTTTTAATGTCACAAAAGAGAGAAAATCCTTCCTGAATTCATTAATCGTTTCAATCAATCGGCAACAATCATCATCATCAACATCATGATCAACGATAATAATATCGATTGTATCGTCGATAATCCAACAATCGTCAATCACCATTTTTGGCTTTGAAAAAAGTCGACAACAATAATCATCATCAGTCCATTGATTTCATTATTTGGAATCTCTCTTGGCTTGAGATTTTTTATGATTATAAGGATGATGATGATAGTCAAGTGAATGTTGAATTTGATTGAATAAAAGAAAATGTTTTATCTTTCCCGGATTTCGGGTATCAATATAGGAAAAATAAAAATCCTTGGATAGCCAAATTGCGCAAAAACACATTATCACAGATCATTGGGCATTTTTTGTTTTCTTTCGACTTTTAAAATATCTTTGATGATGACAAATCTTTGTTTGTTTGTTTTTTGTTTTTCTGGATTGAAAATAGATTTTTTTTCTGGATGGAGGAGAATGTGGTCAGCTTGAAAAATTTTCTTCTTTATTGTATTTGTATTTGTGGCCATCTCCAAATTGTATCGATCTTTGATTATTGATGATGATAATGATCTTCAACATTGTTGTTGATGATGATGAAAAGCTGATGATGTAATTAGGTTTTTTTTCTTTCATTTTATTTCGATGATGATGATGATGATGATCTTTATTGATGTTTTTCTTCTCTGATATTTGCGCGCGATGACTTAATTAATTGAATGATTTTTTCCTGGGCCTTCCCAACCATCGTTTTCCCCATTTTTTTGGCTATATAATTTCGTCATTTTCCCCATTATAATTATGTAATGCTGCTGGGTTATCAATTCAATATCCTTCTCTTTGCATTTATTTTTCGCTGTTGTTTAATGGAATAAAATGAAATGATTTACTCCAAGAGAGAGCGAATCTCTTTTCTTTCTTTCCTTGTGTGTATGGCAGCACCTTGCCAGAATATTCTTTTCAGGAAAAAACATTGGTTTAGAAATTCATTAGATAAACAGACCTAGAGAGAGAGAGAGAGAGAGACTAAGACTAATAAAGAAATTCTGTGTAGCAAAAAAAAAGAAGAAGAAAATGTTTGACTAAATGAATGAATGCAAAAGTATCGTCAAACGGCAATAACATTATCATTATCATCGATGATTTAAAGATTTTCTTTCTTGAATGAAAAAAAATCATTGCAGTAAAGCCAGCTTTTTCCTTCTCCATTATTGCCAGGTGAATTAAGAAATGATGAATTCAAATATTTTTTCAACACAAAATATGGATATCATTCAGTCGAACACATATCAAAGATTTCCAAATATTTAATTGAATTTAGTCAGTTTTTTTCCCTTTTTTTCATGTTTTTTTTATATGAGATTTTCCAATTTTAAATGAATTATACGATCACTGTGTTTGTGAACATTGAATCAATATTTGAATTATTTTTCTCTTCTGTCGAGTGTGTGGAAGCAGGCAAGCAAGCAAGCAAAAAAAAATTTCAATTTTGTCAAAATTGAAATTTTTTATTTTCACTTTTGACTTTTTTTCTGGAAGAAAATTCCATTCAATATTGAAAAATAAAAAATGTTTCGCTCGAAACATTCATGGAATCTTTGAATTTGAATTTTCAAAGAATTTCGATTTTTTTCTTCTTTTTGGATGAATGAAAAAACGAAAACGAAGAAGAAAGATTCTGTGAATGATCATCATCATCATCATTACCATGATTTGCATCGAGGTCAAGCGCATGAAAATCTTCTTTTTGATGATAAATTGTTCTTCAATAATCGTCGGTTCGTTGTTGTTTTTCCAGCTCGAAACATTGTTTCAATGGATTTTGATCCGAAAAAGAAAATTATCAATTTTTTTTCAATTTAAATTCCTTACATTCAAGGTGTTCATTGTAGCGTTGTTGTTGTTTACTGATCTGTTTGGGATTCTGTCTACATATGGAAATTTCAATGTTTTTTTTTCTTGCAAAAATGATGCTTAAGAAAATTCTTCTTGTTTTTCAAGCCAGCCATCCATCCACAGTAAACAAAAATGAAAAAATATTTAACATTCTTATAACAGACGATGATGGTCGAGATAAACAACAACAACAACAACAACAGATTCGTCCGGTACATGTGCAATATGTGTGTTTGCATCCTGATCATCTATCTTTGTTTATTTTTGGTGAATAACGATGATGCTGATGATGAAATTTTCATTTTTTTTTTGTTTGCCGGGTATGTGAATCCGGTATCCACAATCCAACACACTGATAGAGTTTAATGAAATTATTGAACCATCATCATCCATTTTATTGGTTGGCTGGATGATGATGGATTCACTTTCCTTTCCTTTTTTATATTCTTTCTTTCTTCGGCCTGTCTGATTTTTTTTATCATTTTATTTATGGATTTTATTATCCAAAAAGAGAAAGAAAGAGAAAATGGCCAAACAAATATCAATTTACCTTTGGTTTACTCCATATGTTATTCTTTCAGATGTTTAAGTACATTATCCTTTGTACATATGTGAAACAACCAACCAAAAGTGACAAACAATCATAAATTCCATACGACGATAATAATAATTTCCTGAATGATGGTGGTATTTTATTGTTTTTAACCAAGTTGAATAATAATAATAATCATATAATAAAAAAGAATGTCATAAAAATATTATTATTATAAATAATAACGTTAATAATAATAAAATATAACACTTAAGCATCCATATATCATTCATTCATTCATTCAAACATACACCTACGTAAACATTACATAATAATGTCTNATCCATCCACAGTAAACAAAAATGAAAAAATATTTAACATTCTTATAACAGACGATGATGATCGGGATAAACAACAACAACAACAACAGATCATGTACATGTGCAATATGTGTGTGTTTGCATCCTGATCATCTATCTTTGTTTATTTTTGGTGAATAACGATGATGATGAAATTTTCATTTTTTTGTTTGCCGGGTATGTGAATCCGGTATCCAACACTGATAGAGTTAGGGATCTAATGAAATTATTGAACCATCATCATCATCCATTTTATTGGTTGGCTGGATGATGATGGATTCACTTTCCTTTTCGTTTTTTATTCTTTCTTTCTTCGGCCTGTCTGATTTTTTTCCCATTTTATTTATGGATTTTATTATCCAAAAAGAGAAAGAGAAAATGGCCACGAAAAAATATCAATTTACCTTTGGTTTACTCCATATGTTATTCTTTCATATGTTTAAGTCCTTTGTTACATACATATGTGTTAAGCAACCAACCAAAAGTGACAAACAATCATAAATTCCATAATAATAATAATTTCCTGAATGATGGTGATGTTATTTTATATTTTTTTTTATTGTTTTTAACCAAGTTGAATAATAATAATAATAAAAAATAATGTCATAAAAATATTATTATTATAAATAATAACGTTAATAATAATAAAATATAACACTTAAGCATCCATATATCATTCATTCATTCATTCAAACATACACCTACGTAAACATTACATAATAATGTCTCTTTTCCATAGTAATGTTTTCTCAAGCAAACATTTGTTGTTGTTACATAAAAACAATATTGCCGTAAAGATTCTCTTACTTACCTCCCCCCTTATTCTCTTACTTTCTTTTATTGTTTTTCTGAGAAATTTTTCTCCATCATCATCATAATCATTGTCTTTGTGTGTGCAATGTTTATATGTCAAAAATGTGTCAAAGATATATGCTGTTTTTGTTAATCCATGTTGTTCAAACAACAAGCTACAAAAAAAATATCTTTTTTTGGAATTTTTCGTTGTTTCCTTATGTAAACGTTTTCTGAGAATAAAGTAACTGAGAGATTCAACTTTGCAATTAAGAAAAACGAAATGAAGAAACCTTGTTCAAGAAAAGAATGTCAATTTTTTGTGAATATAATCTTCATTTTCGAGGTTTACTTTTCGTTTTTTTTCGAACCAATTTTATTCATCATCTTCCATTTTATATTGCATTTTCATGATGATGATGATGATGATCATCATCATTGTCAAAAAATGTGGACTTTTGAAATGGAAATCCCAAATGAATCACAAAATTGTCTTCGTCGTAGTTTTTTTTTCTTCGTATGATTCCAGTTGAATGAATGAATGAATATTCTTCGTTTTTTTTCTTATTTCCAATTGACAACATCTTCAATGTTTCGGACCGTTTGTCTCTTGGTAGAAATAGACTAATAATGAATATCGAATCCTGAATGGGGGGAAGGCAAGAGAGTGAATTGTCGATATAGTCGATATAGTGGAAATCGAAAGTCCATTTTCTCATCATCATCATCAGTATAACCATTCATTTACCGTTTTTTTTCTCTTCTTTCAAATTCTCAAATGTGTCATGTCGTCACACACACATACACAAACAGTGAAACTTGGTTCCATTTGGAACCTAAAAACAAACTACCCAATGTAAAGTCAAGTGGATTTTATCATTTTCAATTCAAGTTTTTTTCTTCTTCGTTGTTTCAAGTGAGAGAGAGAGAGAGAGACAATTTTCTTTCTAACTACCCAAAATGTACTTGGTATGTCGATAAGATACACACACAACACACACTTATACTGAGAGAAAAGTTTACGGGAAAAATAAAACAAGAAAAAACAAATCGTTTTATCCGGATGAATTGACAGGAATGATTTTTACTGTTATTACCAAAAAACTCACGTTTTTTTCGATTTTCTTTAGATTCTGGACGTTATACATTATTATCGACTGGTGAATTACTCATACGAAATGTAACATTTCAAGATTCAGGATTTTATCGTTGTCAAATACGACATCAATTAACTGATGAATTACGTACAAGTGATGAATCTGGTCGTCTTATTGTTACTGGTAAGTCTCTTTTTTTATGTTTTTTTTCAAAAAAAATATTTCCCGTAAATTTTCTCAAAAATTACCATTAAAAAAAATTGACAATAAAAATTTTTGGAATTTTTGACCAAAAACAAACCCAAAATTTTTTTAAATAGCCATACCATATGTCGCCAAATACCCGAATATTGATAATCACCAAACAAATGTTGTTGTTGTTATCCACAAAGGACATTTACAATCAGTTTTTGTTGTTTGTTTGTTTGACCCTATCCATTTCATTTTGGACAACAACAACAACAACTAAATCATTTTTTAATGGCTGAATTTTGATTTTTTTCGAAAAAAAATTCAACTTTTTTGTTGTTTTTATTATAATGATACCCAAAAGATGAATGAATTTTATAATTAAATGTGACCAATATGGACATTGGCCATAAACTTTTTTTCATTTCATTCATTATTTTCCCATTCAACTGGCTAAATAACTAATAATTTTTAAATTTAAATTTTAAATTTTTCCCTCTCCTCATTCAAACTAAATGAATAATAATGGCAGAGAGAGAGAGAAATCACAAATCATTTTAGGTCAGGAAAATACTATTTCGACTGTAATAACAACCACAGCGTAAAAAATTTTTTCCCTTTTTTTTAATAACAATAATCCATTATGGGGTCGATATAGATGTGTGATTGTTGTCAGCCATTTTTTTGACTGAATGAATGAATGAATGAAAGCAGGCACCACCACCAGCAACATATTGATAATGTCAAAATTTTCATTTTCATTTTCGGTTGGCCAGAAAAAAACAAAAACAGAAACTTTTTTCAAGAGTTATTTTTTTCAATTTGTTTTTTCATCATACTAATTCTCTCTCACACAGAGAATCTCCCGAACCAGAAAAAAAACAACAAAATCTATCGATCGATCTATCGATTGATCGATGAATGTGATATGATTCGGCCTTCTCTATACCACCATTCGAGTAGCACATGGGTGTAAACTAGGCAAAAAAATTCTCACACTGCATCAATCTTTGTCGTTTGTTTTTTAAATTTAAAAAAAATTTTTTAAAAATTTTCCTAAATTCAAAATGATAATGATGATGAAAAAAAAACATTAATTATTTTCCTGGATGAATGATTTTTTTGTTCATATTATGCAAGTTTATCTTTTATCTTTGATCTATCATCACAATGTCACATTGTTTTTTGCACATTGAATAAAATCTTTCTGTGTAAATAGGTTTTTTCTTTCGTTTATTTTTCTGTTTTTCGTGTGGTATGTTTGTTTATCTTTCGTACATTTTTACATTAATAATCGATGAGATTTGTTGTCAGGGTTAAAATAGACGTTGATGTTATGTCAACAGATTAGCCATGTTTGTTTTAAAAAATGTTTTTGATTTTGAAAACTAGCTGTCATCATTGTTGATGTTTACCCGATCAATATCGAAGATCCTGAAACCCGGAAAAAGGTATTATTCAAAAAAAAATGTAAAAATTTCCGGGAAACTTTCCCGAAAGGGTAAAAAATTTCCCGGTAAATTTCAAAATTTTTTGCAATAGCAAGCATAAAATTATCATTATCATCATCATCTTATCTAATCGTCATCATCAAGGATGATGATGATGATTTTTCAACAACAGAATTCTGTTTTTCAGAAAAAAAACCGTCTATTCAGCTAATTTTTCTCCCCTTGATTCTTTCACTTTTCAAGAATATTCTTCATTGCAAAAAAAAGTGTCGAAGAAATTTGTCCAAAAAAAAAACAGACAATTTTTTTTATACAATTCCCTGCAACTATATTCATCCAATCGTGATGTGACTAATTTGTTTCGTTTTTCATTTTATTCACTTGGAATTTTTTTCATTTTCATTTGCACCCAATAACATTCATTAATGATTTGTAATTAAGTTCCGAAATCGAGCGAACAAAAAGAAAGAATATATTTTTCCATAGTCGTTGTTTTTTTCATTCTTGTCTTCGATTCTGTTATACAAAAAAAAAACACATTGAATATTCTGGTGATGCACAAGCAGCAACCGAATCTAATCTTTTTTTTTCATTATTTCTGAAATGAAATTCATTTCATTTTATCACTAATAATCATCATCGTTGTGGATAATGGCTTTAATATAAAACTATAAGAGAAAAAAAAATTTAAATTTCACAAAAAAAACCCAAACGAATTTACAAATTAAAATTGGGCGCCATACTTTTTTGATCGTGCACACACACACTGGTTGATATTTTTTTATGCTTTATTTTGAAATCCCGAATCCGTCACAAACATTTATATTTGAATTGTAACTAATGAGTTTTTCAGTTGCCGAATTTGTGTGTTTTAAATTCATTTCATTTTTGTTTGGTTTTTTTTCTCTTTTGAATTCTGGAATAACGATAATCATTTTGGATTTTCTCAAACAAAAACAGAGAAAAAAGAATTAATTATTTCTATATGGAAGCAATTCACGAGAAAGTTCTGCGACAATTATTCAAGAATTTTTTCTGGGAATTATTCTCTTTGAACAAAAAATTACAATGTGATACTGACACATTGTTTATATGCTTGTGCAATAGACACATTACGCGTAATTTGAATATAAATTTTTATTTTCATTTTCAAAGAAAACATAAAGGATTTATATTTTCTCCTTCCATTACATTGCCCCTTGCCTTCCCTTGTCTGTAAATAATAATAACGATTTTTCTTTCTTTTTCTCTTTTCTTGCACTATGTTTTTTTCTGTTTTTGGATTCGTGTTTTGCATCGACGATTGGACGATTTTTGGACGAAAATGATTGGTAAAAAACCAAAAGAACCGCATAATGGTGTTGCACCAAGAATATGGACACATACTACTGTTATTTGTGATTTAAATACTATTTGTGAATTGATTTGTATAGCTCAATCATGGCCATTATCATCATATAGGTAATGTATAGATTTTTATCATTTGCATTTATCAATGACAAACAGAAAATCCATAACATTATTTTCCCCATAATAATATTTTCACCATCATTATTAAGATAAGAAACATCTTGACAAAGATTATCATTATCATAATGTTTATGATGATGAATCTTTCTTTTTTTTTTGAGTTCTTTTTGTGTGTAAATAGCATGTCATTCAGGTTGTCACATTTTTTCTGCTGTTGTTGTTGTTAATAAAGATATAGATTTTATCTTGGATATAAAATTATCTTGTTTTTCATTTTCCTGTCATCATCATGGTTATGATTTTTCAGATGTCAGTTTAGCATTGTTTCGTTGACCAGTTGCGAAAACAAAAACATCAGTTACATTTTCATTACTGTCAAACTGTTGTTTTTGTTTTTGTTCATTTCATTCAAATAGCTGAAATAACAACAACAAAAACATTGAATTAACAGAAAATCAATATCAGATTACCACACACACACACACAAACAAACAAAAGTTTCGGGTGAAGAAGAATTTTTTCTTCTTCTTTTCATTCATTTATATACAATGTCTATGGTGTAGTAAGAATTGAAACGTTTGGTGTATTTTTTTAGGCAGGTTGCGTGTTTGTTACAATTTTATTATTATGTTTTGGGTGAAATGATGATGATAGATTCTTTTATCGTTGTTGTTGTTGTGTATGGATGATGATTCGTGCTACTTGATGATGATGATGACCTTTCTGAGGAAGCAAACAGCAGGTAAAAAATGACCATTATATTGTTGTTGTTGTCCGAGATATAATTAGCTTTTTATAAATTATTTATTTATTTATAATATTGTTTTATGGAAACCGAATATTATAATAAAATAATAATAATAATGATAATCAACAGCAGCAATAAATGAATAATATAAAAAACAATAGCAATAATAATAATTCCCTCGGTAAATTATTATTATTCGATTTTTGTAGTCAGGGAAAATTTCCCAGAAACAAATATTTTCAAACATCCATATAATGTCCATTAGAATCTCTCCATATGATGATGATTTGATAACATAATTTTTGTTGTCCTGCTGCTTCTGTGCTTCTTGGTTTAGGGTCAACCATTCATTACACATAATTTTTGTGTGTGTTTGATTTGAATTTCATTTCATTTTTTGAACCAAAAAAATTATTTTGTTATTTATGATTATGATTATCCCTCCGATTCCTCTCATAATATGATTACTTAATGTTCATTCCTGGCTGGTTGGCTGATTTTTCCATATATGAAAATAGCCAGCCAGCCAGGTAACCATCCAAACACTAATGGAATTAATTGTATGTATGGTGGTGACACACCTAATGAATTGAAAATGAAAAATTCTTTCGAATGAATGACAGACACATCAAAATATGAACAAAAAATACCTGTGTGCAATGTTTTGTTTTACACAGGTAACAGAAGGAAAAAAATATTCCGGTGTCATTTCATTTCGATAATAATAATTCGGAAAGTTCCCAATTCTCTATCTATAGTTCTGGTTCTTCTTCATCGTTATTTTCTGTTTTCAAAAAAAAAAATGTTTCCAACCAAAGAACCTACCTTACCTTTTTTTGGAAATATTCCAAAACGAAAAAAAATCATTCATGCAGATAACAGGCACGTTTCATCGAATATTTTTGACATTTTTTTCTCTCTGGTTGTTCTGTTCACCTGACATTTTCTTTTTTTTCTCTCTTTTGATGACACTCACTGAAAACCTATGCAGGTTCCAAAGCAATCATCATAATTTGTGTGGTTTGTATGAGTTCCGTGTATGTATGCCGGGGGGTTAATTCCTAAATAACAAAATTCTACCTTGATAATAATCGTTCGGAAATTATTCTGTGTGAGTGGCTGATGGTTTGGTAGTTTTTTTTGATGATTTGATGAACCCAGACCTGATCAAACCAAACTAAATCAATCAAATAATATGACCTGATTATTTTTACGTTTTTACTTTACCTTTTTTCGGTTAATTCTGTGTGTAGTGTCCATCATTATTTGCAGGTAATTTAATTTGCAGACTATTTTAACCTTATAAGCAGCCATCATTACATTTTCTATTTCGACATTGAACTTGTGATTTTTTTCAAATTTTCCAATTCGAGAGAAAACATTTTTGTATTTTTCTGGTTTGATTTGACAATTCTTGTGTTATCATATTTTAGACGAGTATTTGATGTCTTGTCATGTCATCATCATACAGCGAAAAATATTTTCCGAAAATATTTTTTATGTAAATTTTCTTTCAACAAAAAATTATTATTGTTGGCAACAACAACAACCACACTTATATCACATCCGTGTTAAAAAAAACTAATGTGGTGATAATGTTGTCGGCCGCATCTTTGGATCAACAAAAAAAAACATCCATCTTTTTTGATTTATTTGCCGAAAAACACACACACATTCTGTGTTCGATGTGGAAGATGCTTTGCATCAATCTTNTTTTTTTTTTGATGACACTCACTGAAAACCTATGCAGGTTCCAAAGCAATCATCATAATTTGTGTGGTTTGTATGAGTTCCGTGTATGTATGCCGGGGGGTTAATTCCTAAATAACAAAATTCTACCTTGATAATAATCGTTCGGAAATTATTCTCTCTGAGTGTGTGTGAGTGGCTGGTTTGGCATGGTATTTTTTTTTGTTTTTTGATGATTTGATGAACCCAGTCTCGATCAACTAAACTAAATCAATCAAATAATATGACCTGATTATTTTTGCGTTTTTTGCTTTATTCGGTGTGTAGTGTCCATCATGATTATTTGCAGGTAATTTAATTTGCAGACTATTTTAACCTTATCAGCAGCCATTTGGTTTTTTTTTGTTTCATTTTCTATTTCGACATTGAACTTGTGATTTTTTTCTTTGGAAATTTTTGAAAAGAGAATACATTTTGTTTCATTTTCTGGTTTGATTTGACAATTCTTGTGTTATCATCATATTTGAAACGAGTATTTGATGTCTTGTCATGTCATCATCATGCAGAGAAGGAAAAAAAATTTTCCGAAAATATTTTTTATGTAAATTTTCTCTCCACAAAAAAATTATTGATGGCAACAACAACCACACTTATATCACATCCGTGTTAAAAAAACTAATGTGATGATAATGTTGTCGGCCGCATCTTTGGATCAACAAAAACATCCATCTTTTTTGATTTATATGCCGAAAAACACACACACATTCTGTGTTCGATGTGGAAGATGCTTTGCATCAATCTTCATGTTGTGCTAATGTTGTTGAATTGAGTTTTCAAGTGAAAAATGTCGTTTGAAAATTGATGTTTTTACCTTATTTTCTTCTACTTTCCGAGAAATTTTTCCTGAAAATTTCCCTGATGACAAGATCCTGATGTTTTTTTTTGGCTGAAAAACATTGACAACTAATTTATTATCATCAAAAGATGATCATTTTTTTCAATTTTGGTAGACGAAAATTATTCAATTTTGGTTCGATTGATTGATTGATTGACAATATTTTTTCCCATTCATTTTGGCTGAGAAAGAATTTTTTCTTAGACAAAAATTGAATGAAAAGAATGCCGGCAGAAAATGTTTGACCAGAAAAAACTAGAGATTTTTTTGTTCTTGGTTTTAAAATGTCAAATGATGTTTTCCACCATCAACATCGAAAACATCCAATTCGATTATAGTCGGTCATATTGAATGATTGTCAAAATTCGCTCATCATCGACATTGTCAAAATAGTTTTTATTTTTTCTGGAAAATTTTTTTGTTTGTTAAAATTTTCTTTTAAAAAATGAAAACCAACCATCATTGAATGAAAAATTCCATTCAAAAGAAAAAGAAAGAATTCATCATTCAATGTGGTTGTCTTTTCGTTTCGTTTCTTTGTCTTTCTGAAATGGGAAAATTCTGTGAACATGCAGACAAATTGAAAATATTTTTTTCAAAAAATAAAAAAAAACGATAAGTAAGTTTTTTATTGAAATGAAACTGAACCCGAGCAATACGAAGAATTTGGTGTTGATAGTGGTGGGTGATGATGTGATTGAAATGCATTGATGCGGCAACAACGAAAAAAAAATATAGAAATTTTTTTCTTTCTTTTTTCGTCATTGATAAACACCAAGTGAACAAGCAATATGTCTTTTTTCTGTTTTTTCGCATCTTGGTTATGTGAAAGAAAAGGAAAAAAAACTTTAGAATTCAATTCGCAATTCAATCGGAATTGAATGATGTTCACTTAGTTACTCATTTAATGATGATCATGATGATGGAGACAAGATTCTTTTCATTCATTTCATTTCATTTTTTCAAGAATTTTATTAGTCAAATTTGAAACATTACATTTGATCCATTATAACTCTCTCTCTCTCTCTCTCTCTCTCTCTCTCTCTCTCTCTTTCTCTCTCTCTTTGTGTTGTTTTTTATATTTGTGTGTGNATGATGATGGAGACAAGATTCTTTCATTTCATTTTTTCAAGAATTTTATTAGTCAAATTTGAAACATTACATTTGATCCATTATAACTCTCTCTCTCTCTCTCTCTCTCTCTCTCTCTCTTTCTCTCTCTCTTGGTGATGATTATGATATTTGTGTGTGTGTGGAAAGAATATTTTAAAGAATCTTTTCTTCGTCGTCTGTTTATTATGCAATGATATCCACATTCTGGATTCTGGATTCTGATTCTGTTTTTTTTGCTTGATTTATTACCCATTACTCTATTTCATTTCTTTTTCTCTTTCTTTCTTCTATTTCTACATTGGTTGTCATCATTATTATTTTCATTTTGTGTTACGCTATTTCGACTTTTCTTTCGCTGTCTGTCGCTCTGTATGGTGTTATCCGAGATGTTTTTTTCCGTTCGGTTCGGCTTTTGACAATCACCATCAGTATCAAATTACCCTTGAAACAGATTCTTTTTTTTCTCTTCAATGTTCGGTGAAGAAAGAAAAAAAGAATATTCTTTTCATTTCATTCATCATTCATTTCATTTCGTTTATCTAGATTTTATTTGCATCAAATTGATTAGCGGTTCAATGATAATGGGAGATAAAATTATCCCAAGAAGCGATGGGAATCTCTCTTCGGGGTTTAATATTACATAGTTTTTTCTCTCTCGCATCATTTATCGGTTTGATTTATTTTCCCGTTCCAGTTTCAGCAGTGTGCGAATGATTCTCTGTTGAAAAATAATATCATAATTAGTCGTCGTCGTCGTCATTTGAATATGAATGATCATTGATCATCAACGATGATCATTATCAGATCTTTTTTTCTGATTTGAAATTCCGCATTTTGATGATGATAATTGAAGTTAGATTTTTCTGTTTCTGTTTCTGTTTCATACTGAAAACAATAAGACTTTTGAATAATTTTGAATTTCATTTTCAACTGGGGAGAAAAACAAAATAATTTTGTTCCGGAAACCAATGGTTTCTTCTTTGCGATTCTTTTCTCGAAACATAATGATGATCTCCATTTTTTGCTGCTCAAGTTGCACAAATGTGCCAATTATTTTCCGAATAATTCACACAGAATTCAAATCAAAATTCAAAGAATAATTTCTCCATGATAATGGACTACTAAAAAACTGACTATCATTTTCAGTTTGAAAACGAGAAAAAAAAACTTCTGTACAATCGAAATGAACTCAACACAAAAAAACAAAAAACAACCGAAAATATTCAATAAGAAAAAAAAAGAATCAATAACCAGTAATAATAATAATGTATTGCCCTCAATGTGATGATGATGATGATGAAAAAAAATGAAAATGCAATCCATCAATATTATATATGAAATAATATTGAACAGAATCTATTGATGAAAAAAAATGTGATTGGTCGTTCGGTTAGTTGATGCCGATAATGATTCTGTTCTGTTCTGTTCTGGGTTTGATTCTATAGGTTTCTTTCATCGAAAAAAAATGAAAAAAAAGTTCAATAAATTATGTTTAAAGAAAGAAAAAGAAATTCTTATTCTTCGTATTTCCACTTTTTCTCATTATTCATCATCCTTATGGGTGAAAATCTTTTTCCAGTTTGACGCAGGAAAAAACCAACTACGACAACAACGACATAAGATTAAGCTTATCCCCTTCAGAATTTTCTTTTTTCCCCCATTTCTTTGCACATAGAATCGTCGTTGTTGTTATTAGATGTCATTTTCAATAAAAAATCATAATGAATGAATGAATGAAGATGACAAAGCAAAAGAAGAAGAATAAGAGATTCTTGTTGTCATCTTATCTTGTTGTTTTGTATCTTTGTGTTGATGTTCTTAATCAACATTTTTTCTTTCTCTTTATTTTCTGAAAGGTTTTTCTTCTTCTTTCGTTTGTTCTATGTTGGATAATAATAATAATCATGATAATCATGTCATGTCATCATTACGGTTGATGATGGTGTGATGAAATTATTATTATTATGCAACCAGAGGGAAGTGAAGGGGGAACATCTTTAGTTTTTCCGTTTGTTTTGTTTTGTTTTTTTTGTTTCGGAAAAACAACAACGCTAAATGATGGATGTGTATTATCTTTTTTTTTCTCGTTTGGATCATTATTTAATTCAAGTTTTTTCAGTTTAGTTAATGTTAGTTGTTAGTTAGTTGAAGTTTTTTTTCAGTGTTTTTGCTTGGTGTGGAATTTTCTTTTGTCACATCTCTTTCGGTTTTCAATTCTTGGGTGTTGAGCTCTCTCAAGACACATCATCAAGGATTAATTGAATTTTAATTTATTTATGATTCGTGTTTAACACATAGGCTAAACAGAGGATACGTAATATTGTCATTGTTATTTCTCGTTGTTTTTCTTATTGAATAAAAACAATGAAACCGAACATCATTTGGCCAAAAGTAAAGTAAATTACTTTGAAGAAGATGGAGAAGAAAAAAGTCAATTTTAATCATCATTCTTATCGTGTTTCTTTGTTTGTTTGTTTGAATTGCCTTAAAAGCCAAATCTTCCAAAAGCTTTTTTTTTTGTTGTTGTTGGTTAACGCGTTCGCTACCAGCGACGCATATATGCGTCGTTTATTTGCTGTAGTCCTATGTGTTTTTCGAAATCTCCGGTAGCGAACGCGTTAAGCCTTTTTCTTCGTTTTGTTTTGATAAACTTTCTGGTCAAAATTCTTGAATTTGATCAATTTTGTAGGGGGCGTTTTATTCCGGTGATAATCATCAAACGAAGAAGAAAATTAAATTTTTGTTGAAGCTTTTCGAGGATCAAAAACCGACAAACTTTTTTTTTGTATTGATAATACCCCTACCGTTAATAGTGTTAATTTTTTTGTATAAATATTCAGTACTTTCTTCGATCAACCATTGTCCATTTAATGATTATTATTTAACACTTTAACTGTTTAATGGTCAGTTTGTTGTTTTTTCCTTGGTTTTTCACGCAAATAAGCTTTTCTATTATATATAGCATTTTAGCTGGGTAGAAATAGTCATTTTCACATGATATTTAATCCGATCTAAGAAAAAGTGATGATAATAATATTATTATTATATAACACACACACACACACACACCACACACAAACATTATTTATATCACACACAAGCCAGAAATAAATAAATAAATAAATGACATGTCGAATTTGTCATCCAAACGAACGAACGATGAAAGAAAATAGTCCCAAAAAGAATTTTCGTCCATTACTTATCCCAATGACGCCAACGACCATGCAGCTAACCAAACACACATATACACTAATTTATTAGCCATCATCATCATCATAAACTCCTATGGTGGATCCTTTATATAATAATAATAAAATACAAATATCCTTTTCTTTTCATTTCACTGTTGTATATAATACCATTGCGTGTATATTTGCCATAGTTTTTTTTTATTATCGTTTTTTGTTTCGTTGATGAAAATGGATGTTTGTTTTGTGTTGGTTATGTTGTTTTTCGTTTGGTTAGGTTTGTTTCCTCCCCTTTCCTCTCTATCCACCACCCACTTACTACATTTTTTCACCTTTCACATGGGGGAAGAGGGTTTATATTTTGTTTTTTACATAATCGTAACACACATCCATACCATTGCTGATTTTGGTTGAATGAATTTGGTTTTGGTCACCAAATAAAATTCAAATTAAATGTCCAAAAAACCTTTTTTCAGTCTGTGTTTGGTAACATCGTTCATCATTCGTAACAACAATGTTTTCTGGCTATGTTGAAAGAATCAAAGATTACAGAAAATTTGATTGATATGATTTTCTCTGTTTGTTTTTCTCGAAAATCAAATTTTGATTTCGATTTTTTTGTTTCGTTTGTTTTTTTAAAAATCACATTGAAAATGAAATTTTCAAAACAAAAAAAACCAATTTTCTTAAATGGAAAATTTTTTTTCACAAAAAAAAACAACCAACCATCATCATCGATGGTTTATCAATATGGATGATGATGATTTTACCTTGAATTTTTTGAATCATCATCCATATTGATATCATGCACGCAAACACACTACCTTTTTTTGCTTATCAATCCACCAAGTTTGTTTGTGTGTTTAGCATACCAAAAAACAAAACAAAGCAAACCAAAAACACTAATGCAAATTACCTGTATACAAACATTTTCATATCGTAATGAGAGTGTTATAGACAAAGAGAGAGATACTTTTGGTTGATTTGTTGAGTTGCCCAAAAAATAATCGATATTATCTGCGTTCGTTCAATCATCATTTTGAATTTTTTTTTTTGATTTTAGAGAAAAAAAATTCCATGGAAATCAAATGATAAATCTTTTTTTTTCCAGTTTTGTTTTGAAAGTTTGGTTCGGGAAAAATCTTTTTTCTTTTCTAAATTCAAAGGTAGTTTTCTTCCGGGAATCTTTTTTCGTTTTTTCTCGTTTTCGTTTTCGGCCATAATAAACAACAATAAAACCACCACCACACAGGTTACTAAATATCTTAGTTTGTCCTCCACACATACAAACACGAAAGAAAAAAGATGATGTGTCCGCTGTGTATAATAAATTTTGATTACAGGAAAAAATAACCATAGAATTTTTCCTACCAAAGAAATTTTTCTTTGGTTTTTTTCGCTTGAGAATCGAGAAACATTTGGTTAAAAGAATGGTAACATTCATTCATTCATTTAATTAGCATTCTTTGAAGATAAAATATTAATTAATATGGAAATGATGATGATGATCATAAAATGATTATTATTCAAAAACCGAAACAAAAAATTGATATTCAAGAGCAGCAGCAGCAACGAAAAAAAAATCTGTCATGTTCCACCAGAATAATCATTTTTGTTTTTGCCTTTTTTTTTGTCTTTGTTGTTGATGGTAATGTGTGTAATTAATTTTACATTTAATTTTTTCATTAATGGGTAGATGGTATCGTGAAACTGAAACCGGTGTTTATATGGCTGCCAATCTTTATGATGTCGATATTGTTGATGATGATAATAATAATAATGGTGGTGATGGTCATCGAATGATATTTCGTCCAACAAAATCAACACATAATGGTCAATGGATTTGTTTAGCAAATAATTCATTGGCTGAAGAAAAAGCTATAATACGTGTACAGGTACGATCACCATTACAGGTGAATATTGAACCTGGAAGACAAGTACAAGTTGATGCAGGTAATCCTGTTACATTTAATTGTTCGGTGATTGGTGGTCCACCGAATCGTCCACCATCATGGTATTTTAATGGTAAAAATATGCTCAATATTTTTCGTGAACATATCCGTGATCAACGTATTCGATTGATTGAACCAAATATTTTACATATTTCTGCCGTTCGAAGGCAAGATGTTGGTAAGTTTCTTGGAAAGTTTCTCATCTTAAAAATTTTATTAATCCTAATCAAAATAGGTGCATATCAATGTGTGATACAATCTGAACAGGATGAATCACATGCAATTGTTGAACTTAAATTAGGTGATGTTGCACCAATGTTATTGGAAACATTTCCCGAAAGACAAGTGATTGAACCAAATTCAGCGATATCGATACGTTGTATTGTAATTGGTACACCATTACCACAATTACGTTGGTATCTGGATGGTCAACCAATACCACCAAATCTATCTAGATTTCGTACAGGTGATCATGTTACTAATGAAGGAAAGGTGGTTAGTTTTGTTAATATAACCAATATTCGGGTGATTGATGGCGGCCAATATCAATGTGTTGCTGAAAATGATGTTGGTCGTGTCGCATATGATGGTTTAGTATTGGTAAATGGTGGTCCAAATCTACGGCAATCATCATTTTGGGGTACCACACAACAAAAACAACATTCACATCAACATCATCATAATAATGTAAGCGTTGTTGCCAATATGGATGCTATAATACGTTGTCCAATCATTGGTTATCCAATTGAATCAATTGAATGGGAACATAATCAAAATCGTTTACCAATAAATCATCGACAATCAATTGAACCAATTATTGATGGTTATGGTGGTATATTACGAATAAAATCCGTTCATTCATTTCAAGATTCAGGTGATTATATTTGTACCGTTAGAATGGCTACTAACAATAACATTGATGATGGTCAATCGAAAAGTAATTCTCGTTCAAAACAACAACAACAACAATCATTATTAAAAGGAAATGTACAATTAAATATACATTATGCACCAAAAATTGATCGTAATAGTTTACCTGAACGTATAAAAACAAAACAAGGTGATCGAATTAAATTAATGTGTTCAGTAATTGAAGGTGATCAACCAATCGAAATTGAATGGTTTCGTGGTTCAGGTACTATGAAATCATTAGTAAGACAAACGGATCAAATTTCCATACAGAATGGTGATGAATATTCATTATTAACATTTAAAATGGTTGCCATTACTGATTCGGATAAATGGTATGTTTTTTCAAAATGATTAAGATTTTAATTAGATTCATTTTCGAACCTTATTGACCACATCCAACAACAAAAAATAGGACATGTCGTGCACGTAATGCATATGCAAGTGATAATAGTACAATAGAAATCATTGTAAATGTACCACCAAAATGGATTCACGAGCCAAAAAATTCCAAAGTTATTCTTGGTCATAGTCTTACTATTAATTGCCAGGCTGATGGTTATCCAAAACCGAAAATTGTTTGGAAAAAAGCAACATTGTTGTCGAATGAAATGAATTTTGATCAACAACAACAACAAAAAACTATTAGCCAAACTAATAATAATGATTTTCGTGATATACTTTCAAGTTATCGTTATCAAGTATTTAGTAATGGTTCATTATATTTACAGGAAACTGAAATTATCGATACTGGTTTATATATGTGTCAGGTATGTTTGTAAGAATGATAAGAAGAATGTTTTTTGCAAAACTGAATGAATTTCCCTTTAATAGATAAGCAATGGTATCGGTACTGATCTAAGTAAAGTAATACAGATACAAGTACAACAACCACCACGTGTTGAACAAAAATTTCAAACTGAAACAGTAATTAAAGGACAAACAGCATCCATACAATGTCGTAGTGATGGTGATCCAATACTGATGGCCGAATGGAAACGTGATATGCAATCAATTGTTATTCAACAACAACAACAACAACCCGCATCATCACAACAACAACATTATGTAATCAAAGAAGATCAAAGTCAATCACAAAATTCAATAATATCATATTTGGAAATTATCGATACAAATCGTTTAGATTCAGCATTATTTACCTGTACAATAACTAATCCATTCGGAACGGATATCTGTAATATTCAACTTATTGTTCAAGGTATGGTTGGTTGTTATTGTTCAAACATTGTTTCTTCATTTTAAAAAATTCAGCTTTTCAATTCAATAATAAGCTTTAGACAAAATTATTACATTTTTTCTATTTCTATATCCTCATTATAATGATGATGATGATGATGATTATATAATAATGAGCCAACCAGAATGAAAATAATAATAATAAAAAGCCAATTTCCTTAATTACGATTTACCACAGACGCGCATTACACACACATTACATTGGTGGTGTGTCATTAATCATAAAATTAAGACCGAAAAAAAAGGAAAAATTTTTGTGTGTCCTCATAGTAATAATGATAATAGTAACAATTATTATTCACTATAGGCTTCTATTCTATTTTGTCGAATGCTCTTTTTTTCCATAAATTTCGATAAATTCATTCTATTCCATTCATTGTCGACGACACAATAGAAAATGAATGAAGAATGCTGAAACACTTTATATTGGGAAATTATTTTCGCTTTTTGGCTTACTATAAGATTAAGAAAGAATTCAAAAAGAAAGTAACAATTCTTTTGACTTTGATGTTTTTTTTTCATCACTTTAGTTATAGGTAGCTAATGAATGTGATATTTGTTAATTAACTTTTTTATTTTGTTTTATTTCTTCTTTGAATCATCATCATTTGTCATTTTATTTTGTTTATTTACGATGATTTTTGTTTTGTTTTTGATTATTATAGAGGTACCGGAACCACCACGTGATATAACTGTAACTGAAATAACAAGTCGTACAATAAAACTGAAATGGAAACCATCATTTGCCGGTAATAGTGCAATTATCGGTTTTATTGTACAATTTAATGCCAAATGTTTTAATCATCAACATTCGATTAATAATAATGATAATAATTTACCAATAATGATGATCAATAAAAATTTAATCGATAAAACGATTGATGATAACAATGATGATACAACGACCAACGGTGGTGGTGGTGGACAAACATGGAAAGAATTATACATTAATGATGCTAATATACAATCATTTATATTACGTGAATTATATCCATGGTGTACATATGAACTACAGATGAAAGCACAAAATTCTATAGGGTTAAGTGAACCAAGTCAATCGGTAACATTTAAAACGTCGGAAGAAATGCCCGGTGGTCCACCAAAAGATGTTAGTGTTGAACCATTATCATCAAATTCATTGAAAATTAAATGGCGACCACCCGATCCATTGTTACAATTTGGACAAATTAAAGGCTATTATATTGGATATAGAATTATATCATCAAATGGTGATATCAATGGTAATGGTGGTTCAAATAGCCGCCGTATTTCAACCGATTCATCATCATCATTATCATTGTTGAATGAACAACAATATTCATATAAAAATGTTGAAGCAAATTTAATTGAAACAATCAATAATAATGGTGTTGGTGCATATGAAATTGCTTATCTAACAAATCTTCATAAACATACATTGTATTCGATTGTTGTACAGGCATTCAATTCGGCTGGTGCTGGTCCACGTTCCGATGAAGTAAGTGATTTTGTGTAGTGATTCTCTCCTAGACTTTGACTAATTTTGTTTTTGTTCCTTCCATTTTTCCTCGCCCAAAAGATTACGGTACGAACATTGAATATTCAAAAATCCAATACAATTGTATTGGAAGTATTGAACACGGATATTGATTCCATAACACTCCATTGGGAAATTGATGACTATTCATCATCATCATCATCATCGTTGTCGTCATCATCGACGTCATCAACATCAGTGACCAATGCAAATGATTTTATTCTGCACATTAGTGAAGAAGGTACGGCGGGCAAATGGTTAGAAAAGCGTTTACCCGGACAATTACGACGTCATGTTGAAACAAATCTAAAATGTGGTACAAAATATCTTCTTTATATGACATATGCATCAACTGGGCTACCATCGGAACTACCTTCGACTGCTACAGGTGAAATAATAACAACACGAACAAAAGGAACGGTTGCAATTTCACCATCATTCGATGAATTTCTTCAGGTTAATGATACAGCTGTAACAATGAATCTTGATTCATGGCATGATGGTGGTTGCCCGATACAAAATTTTACAATAAAATATCGTCAACATCGTTATAAACATTGGAAAAATATTGGTACAATACGTTATGATCGTCATCATCATAATCATAATCATCTGCATCAACAGCAACGATCATCAATATTTACGATAAATAATTTAGAACCGGATCAGATTTATATACTTTCGGTGATGGCTGCATCAACTGCAGGTTTGTTTTTGAATAGATCACATCATCATTATTTTTTTCAAATTTTAAAACCACAATTTTTTTTTTGCTGGATTTAGGAATGACTGAAGCTATTTATAATTTTACTACATCAAATACATCATCAACTACAATGATATTTCGCTTATCACCACCAGATCTGGCATCATTTGAATATCAAGCAAATCAACCATTTCATAATGTAACAATAATGTTACCAATTATTATATCGGTTATTGTATTGGTTGCTGTATTGACTACATTGATTGCATTTATGCGTAAACAAGAATTATTACGTCATGAACGTGATTGTATAACACAATCATCACAAAATCTTCATCTACGATCATCATCAATACGATCTAAAGATGATCTGACATTAACAACAACAACGGCCGAAATGATTGCCTATCCAATGGTCGATTATCATACGCTTTGTTCGACACCTAAAATGGATAATAATAATAAAAAAGCTCAAGAAGTTATCGCTCAACAAACAACAACAACGACAGCTATGCAACAACCATTTGATGATATTTATAATTCAAAATCATCGATGTTTCATCCGCATTCGCATCATCCAACATCAACATTGATGCACTATTCGCCATCAATCAATTCGAAACATGCAATTATCTGTAGTGAAAATAATAATAACAATCTACGTTCAACAACACATGTAACAATCAATAATGGTATCGGTATTGGTAATCATCATCATATCTATGCTGAACCAAATGGTGCTATCATTGGTCATCCTTTATTACAAGCGTCACAGCAGCAACAACAACAATCGCAGCAACAGCCACCACAATCATTATCATCATCATCATCATCAACAACGTATGCACAACCTCGATTAATTATGGCAAATGCTCATAACAATGATAATGAACAACAAACATCGACAACAATGATGATGATGATGAATGTTGATTCATCCACAATAGTTTCACAACCTGGTTCCATCAACAATAATAGCAATCAAAATAAAAATCAATCATTAATGAATGACCCATTTAATTGTGCCTTACTTGTTAATCACAACAACAACAACAATAATGCAAATACCCATTTGTAAATTGAAAAATAACCCTTGGGTATTTTTCTGCTGTGTGATTGATTAATTGATTGATCCGTCCTTGATCATTATCATTTGGATGTTTATTCATCATCATCATCATTATTATTCACTGCCATTATATTTATAAATATTATTTGTCAATAATTTCAATTACCTTGTTATTAACTGAATGTAAATGTCAATTATTATTATTGTGTACAGAATAAATAAATAAATTTCTTTTTAAAAAATTGTTCCGGTCTATGGTTATTACCAGATGGCGTTATAATATTTGAATTTTTTTTTTAATTTTTGGTTATGAATAATTTTTCAAAAAGAAAATTATGTTACCACAAGATGACATGACAATTTTTTTTCGTTGTTTTCACACAAATTATTGATGTCGACCACTATCATCATCATCATTACGATAATCATTTTTCAAATTCTGAAAATTGAGATCATCATTTGTAACAACAAAAAAAAGAGAGCAATTCTTTATTGAAAATAAAACACCTGTCCCATCTGGATGATTAACCTAATTTCGTAATGAATGAATGAATGTTCTTCCTTCATCATGGTATAATCTCTATCTATTTAGCTATCCTTGTTGTTGTTTCAGTTGTTTTATCAAATAAACAAATAATGATGATGGTTATAGAGAGAGAAACGTGAAAATACTTTTCACTTTCATTCCATTCATTTTGCTCTGAATTGTTCATTGTCGTTTTTCGAAGAATCATTTTGATTAACTTATTGCGATTATTAATTATCAATTATCGCGATGATGATGAATATTCTTATCAGTTTTATGATTAGCATCGTTATTCTTCAATCAACAACAACAATAACGATGGTTGAATCAATTTCTGCATATTGGACACCAATATTGCCAAAAGTTTGTTCACCCAATATATCACGGAATATAACACAGGCATTATTTGCCTGTGATAAACTGATGGATCAACAAGTATGTATTTCATGAATGCAGAAACTTTATTCATGTTTTTTGTCCTATTTTCCTATTAAGCTTTCAAACATATTTGATGATTGTGTTCGAAAAGTAAATCCACAGATAAAATCGGAAAAACTTTCTCGTCCAAAATTATGTTATTATCTTAAACAAGGAATGCAATTAGATCAATGTAAAATTGCACGTTATCAATCCGAAGGTATTACATTACCCGAATTAGTTGATCGTGAACAAGATCATACATGGTGTTTAATGAAAATTGCACAACCACTTGGTTGGGAAAGACTTTGTTCCGATCGACAGGATGATATTCAATTTATAATGGCAAAACAACAGGCCATTCAGAATTGTGAACATCGTTTCAATGAGGTGACATTGTTTTTTTGAATCAATTAATAAATTTAAATTAATCAAATTCTTATTTTAGATAACGACACCGATACGTGATTGTTATCGACATCAAGTACAACCATATCAACAGAATCATGGCGGCCAATCTTCGTCATCATCAAAAACTGCTACGAATCATAATCGAGATCGATATCGACCAGCTGCATGTTTATCATTTCAATATTCACGAAAGGTAATTCTGGAATGTTTTTCGTTTTTTTAAATAGAATAAAACTAACTCTTTGATGATTTTCACCGAAAGATTTGGAAATGTTTAGCTGAAAAAGATGTTAAAAATCAACAATCAATGCATCGTACTGCAAATCTATACATTTCTTGTTTACGGTCGATTCGTTCATCATCATCGATGATGATGGCTTGAATTTTATTCATCAAAAATCAAAAAATAAAATATATAAATTTTTTGTTTGTTTGTTTCAAGAATAATAACGAATGAAATCAAAATACAAATGAGCAAAAATATATAAGTTTTTTAAAATGCGGATATTGATAAGGAAAGAAAAAACATGATTGGAAAAAGGGAATTTACAAGTTTTTTTGTTTGGAATAAAAAAAAATATGTTTTATGACTCAATACTTGATTTTCTTGTTGACGGTGGTAGATCATTATTGATTTCCGTTGTCTGTTGTTGTTGCTGTGATTCAGAGGAGATCGATGATGATTGTGTGGTGATGGTGGTATTATTAGTGGATAATGATGTAATTGAATCTCTTTTTAAACGTGATGCACGGCCTTGTTCATTTGTCTTTGTCGATGATGAATTTGATGATGATTCTTCTTCTTCTTGTTTTTGTTGTTCGTGTTCTTCATCTTCATCCGATCCAGATTGATTATTTGAAGCGGATTTTGTTTCCTGATTTGAATTTTTTGATTCTCGTTGCTGCTTTCGTTCATTATTTTTTGATTTTTTAGAAATTTTTTTCTTCTTCCTCTCGTATGCAGCCAATTTTCTTTTATATTCATTAAATATTTTTTTCATCTCCCGCATACGATTCATCATTTCTTTACATTTTTCATCCGAAGATAATGATAGATCAATTGGTGTAAGAAAATTAAAACGACTAATTGGTTTATAACTATTCAATAAATCATAATCAACTGGTTGTGGTTTACCACCGCCACCAGCAATAAAATTTGCTAACGATGATGATGATCCATGATGATCATATATAGATGATGATGGCTGTTGCTCATTATTAATATTATTTGATGATGATCGTAATAAAAATGTATCATATTGATAATTATTATTATTTGATAAATATTGATTACCACCACTACGATGTCGACCTATATGAACAAAAAAAACAAACAAACAAATAGAAATTAAAATCAATGAAATACAAATAAAATTAAAATACCTCTTGTTTTACAACCAGATTTTTGTCCACTACTTGATAATTGTTGATGACCTAAAGTGGTAGTGATATTAGTGGATGATGATTCTGATCTTGTCGGTGTTGTGGGCAATTCTGATTGTGATACAGTACGCATACGTCCACGACGTCTTTTTTTACCCGATGATAATAATGGTGATTGTTGATGATGATGATGATTAGGTGAAACAAATGTTTTCTGATTTTCTTTATCATTACGATTATTATTATTATTATTTTGATTATTTTGACTACCAGATGATGAATCATCATCATTTTTCATTAATAAATGATCATTGGATGCTGACATAAGACGTTTACGTGTTGTACCAACAGATATATTACCAGAAACAGTCTTCAATCCTTTATTATTATTACGATCAGATAATTTAGCAGACGATGTTGATTGTTGACCACCACCAATATCAACATTATCAACAATTGATTTATTATTGTTATTATTATTTTCATCATCATCCATACTATGATCATCACCATCTTGTGATGATTCTTGTGATGATAAATTATGATGATGACGATGATGATAATGATGATGATGTTGATGATGTCCACCACTAGATCCTTTAGATGATGATTGACGATTACGACGTTTACGTTGTTCCATTGTTACACGACGTCTTGATGGTGTTAGTTGTGTCGTACTGCCACCAACAGTTCCAGAAATATTTGAACGTTCCATTGTTCGATGACGTTTACGACGATGATCAATATCATCATCATCATCATTGAAATCATCTTCAAATTCATCAACATCAGCTTCATTACCAGCAGTTATATCTAATTCATCATCCATTTCATCAATATCTAAATCATCATCATCATCTTCATCATCAACATCCATTTGATTTTTTGTTGATAAATTACTAGTTCCGGCTACTATTGATTCTGATGATGATAAATTTCTTGAAAAATTCGAAGATGAAAATGGTAATAGATTACTACCACCAGATGATTGTTGTAATGGTTCAAATGCTGATCGTCTTGAAATGAATCCTTCATTATCATTATTATCATTATCATCACCACCTGAAATCAGTCTTGTAGTTGCTGTTCCCAATGAACTTGGTGCAGATGATTGCGGTAGGGGTGGTGGTGGACTGGCCGGTAATATTTCCGAACAAAGTAATGGATTTGTTTCAACCGGTTTCGATGATGATAATGATGTTTCAAGAATTTTTATCGATTCATTTTGCTGTTTAATATCATTTTTAATAGGTGTGGATCGTTTTTGATCATCTGGAATTGATTTTATTGAATCAATTTTATTATCATCTTTTTGATTTTCATTACCAGCAATTGCTCCATCATTATCATCATCTTCAGCAACAATTAATTGACCAGGTGAATCACGATCACCATCATCACTACTTTCATCCGAATGTTGTTGCTGTTGTCGTTGCTCATTATCACCTGATTCAGGAATATCAGTACCATCATCCACAGTCGAAGCATCAAATGATGATTTTACAGTAGCCGAAAGTATATCCACTACTTCTTGATCATCATTATTGTTCAATGATAATATTGATGCTTGTTGTAAATCATCATCATTATTATCATCATCGATAATTTCCATATTTTCATCCACACTTTGCTTCGATTTTTTATCTACCACCACAATATTATCACCTTTTTCTTCTTCTTCTTCTTCATGTTTAACCTGGATATTTTCATCATCTATTTTCATATCTGAAGAAATCGATTCGGCGGCGGTGGCAGTGGTGACACTAGCAACATCGATTGTCGATGATGATATTGGAAGAGATGTTGATGATTGTGGTGGTGTTATTTCTTTTTCTACTTGATCTTCTTTTCTAGTCAGATCCGATATAATAAAACTTTTATACATTTTTACCGGTGATTTTCGATCTTCAATAATTACATTATTCTTATTATCATTATCATCATCATCAATAAAATCATAAGCATCATTAGCCGTTTGCTTCCCTTTTGTTGTTGAAGATTTTGTTTGTTGTTCGGTTGTCGATATTTCTGTTGCCGTCGATGTTTCACCATCACCACTATTGGCTGCTACTTTATCCATTAATGGAATCAATTTTCGTCGACTATTTTTAGTTGCAGTCGTCGTTGTAGTTTGATCATCATTTGTCAAATTTTTCGATTCTTGATTCTTATTATTTCCAATTGAATCCTTTCGATTTGATCTCGATGATGAAGATGGTGGTGGTTGTTCATTATCATCTTGACGATCACATTCTTCATTTCGCTTATTTGATTTTCGTGTTATTGTTGTTGTTGAATCCGTTGATTTCGATATGGATGTTGTTCGTTTTGTTGTTGTTGTCGTTGATGATATCGATATTGATCGTTCAATTTTTTGCTGATCATTTTTTATCGATAAAGATGATGTTCGTCGTCTAGAACCAACACCAGTAGATGGTGTAGATTGTTGTTCTTCGATTTTTATTCTACCTGTAGGTGTTGTTGTTGTTGACGTCGATACATTGCTTGAATCTTTATTATCATCCTTAATTCGGGTACGTTTCGTTTCGGATATTGATGATGATGATTCTGATGCTGACGTTATTCTATCATTATTATTATTACCGGTCCAAGATTTTCGTTGCGATCCACTACCACCACCAATACCTGATGCAGCAGATCGTAAATCTTCTGTATCCGATGCTAAACGTTTATTCAACACTGTTGTTGTTTGCATTGAATCAATTACTTTACTATTACGTTTATTTCTTGTTCGTTTTGTTGGACATTCACCATCTAATAATTTCGTTATTTTCAATGAATTTATCCATTCATCGTATCTAGTACTCCAACCATGATAATGAACATAAAATACTGGATTGGAAAATTTTTGTTCAATTTTCAACACTTTTGCACGAAATATTTCCATTTCACGTCCTTTTCCATATAATACTTCTAAACAATCATTGATTTTAATATTTTTCGTATCTGGTTCACCATTTTTACGACGAAATTCTTCATATGGCATTAATACTTTCTTATCACCATCTTTTATCAATACCAGTTTTCCAGCAAATGATGAAAAATCTAATCCAGATCTTTGATTTACAAATTTTCGACGTCGTTCTATAACAACAAGAAAAAAAACAGGAAGCAACCGAAGTTAAAGATATTTATCAAACATATTTTTTTCTACTTACTTCTTTCTTCCATTTTTTCTTTTAAAGCAGTGGATTGTTTTTGTATAGAATCATCTTGATTATTATTCGATGATGATACACCACCACCGGAACCTGATGAAGAATGCGATGATTGAGATTGCTCCAATGGTTTTTGTTTTACTGTCGTTGATGTCAACATTTCAGTAACATTCGCAGTCGATGATGATGTTGTTGTTGATGGAAACAGTGGTGGTTTTTCATCGTTATCATTATCATCATCATCTTCTTCTTCTTCTTCATCACCTACATCACTATTTCTCACATTTGAAATGCCAATATTTTTATCCAATGATTTATTACGGCCACTACTTAATACTGTAGTTGTTGCACTTGTACCACTTTGTTGACCAATTGTAGTTGAATTATCTATACCGGAACCAGTTGTCATTGAAGATGAATTAGCTATTGCTGTTGATAAATGTTTATTCGTCGATGATGAAATCGAAGATTTTCGACCACCACCACCAACAACATTTCCACTCGTTGCTGTTGTAGGTGTGGCTGAAGATGCTGTCATTGAAGATGATTGGACTGTTGTCGATGTTACCATTGTTGTTATTATTGTCGTCGCTGTTATTGATGAAATCGAAGTTGGTGGTGGTGGAGGCTGTTGTGGCTGTGGTGCTGGTGTGGAACTTGCACTTGAACTAACCGAATTTAAACGTGAACGTTCTTTTTCTCTTTTACGTTCACCTCTAGATGGCCTTGCATTCGTTGTACGAACAGTATCAATTAATAATACCGGTGATGGTCCTAATTTTCGATTTAACTCATGAAATGGATGTAAATAATTTTTATAAATTGATTTCAATTTCATAATAGCTGATTCACGTTCGGATTGTGTATGATCACCTGCACCACCACCAATACCAAGTTTATTGATAACATGTTTCCAACGATTACGACTATTAACACGATTTAGACCACCCATTTTATGTACAATTTGATGTAAACGATAAAGATTTAATTGTTCACCAAGTACCATTAAACATTCATTTATAGGTGTACCACGATCATCCCAAAATTTATATAATTTTGCAACAAAAACATCTCGTTCTTCTGATTGCTTTTGTTGTCGTCGTTGTCGTTCTTGTGGATCTTCATCATCATCATCATCTTCATCATCGTCATCATCATCACTATCGATATCAGAATCATCGGATTCTGAACTATTATCATCATCATCATCGTCATCTAAATCTTCATTTGAATCATCATCTTCTTCATCACTTTGTCGTTGACTACCATTATCATCATCATCACCATTATCATCATCTTCATCATTATCATTTTGTTCAAAATTTGAATCTTTAGTCAATGTATCATCATCTTCAATATTCATTATTGATGATGATGATGATGAAAGAGACTGTTGTTGTTGTTGTTGTTGAACAACAATATCCATATCATCCCAATTTGATGGAAATTTTGATGATTCCAAATAAATTAATGCTTTTTCAATTGCTTGTTGTAATTCAATGGAATAATCCATATTACGATATGTTGATCGTATTGTATCATGATCAAATTTTCGAGCATCTTTTTTACAAACATCATAATAACGATCATCACGAAATGATCTTACTTTATATTCAATCATCATATCATTTTGATTATTATCTTTTACGGATGATCGGCTATTACTTGCGCTACTGTTACTATTACTACCACCACCACCACCAACACTATCAGTTGAAATAGAAACGGAAACAACAAAAGCTGGAAACCAAATATCTTTGATATTTTTGAAACCACGTTTATCACCATATTCAACGCAAACAACTTTTCCAACATCTGTTGAATGTTGTTGTTGTTGATTCAATGTTGCTGCTGCAATTTGAATTGATGATTTTTTCGATTTTCGTTGTGATTTTTTCAATGTTGATGATGTTTCAGGCTGCTGTTGCTGTTTTTCCATTCCATCATTTCGATTCGGTTTGTTGGAATCATTATCTGAATTTGCATTATCTGTCGTTTGTTGTTGTTCTTGTTGTTGCTGTTTTTGTTGTTGTTTTCTTCTTGAATGATGTTTATGATATGGTGATAATGTAAATGATGATGATTGTCGGGCACGACGACAACGTCTAACTGGATTTACAAAATGTTCCGGATTTGTTAATGGTAGTTGATCTAATGATTCACTTTCAGAATAATGTTTTCCAGATTTTAAACAAAGTGATGATCGTTTTAATGTTGCTTCATCACCATCATCAAATACAACCGTATAAAGACTTTGATCTAAAATTTTATTTATAGTTCCGGGTATTGATTGTGAACTATTATTACTATTCGAACGTTTTACTAGAATTTGACCACCAATACGAATACGACCACTTTCAACTTCATTATCCGATATTGTTATTGGTGTTGTCAATGGTTTTATTGTTACTTTTAAACGTAAAATACGATTCACTTTTTTTATTCGTGCTTCACAAAATGCACCTTTATATTTGGCACTAACTTCAGTACCAATTGATAGAACATTTGGTTCATCGTTTGACTGAACAAATGAAAAATAAATCCATTTTAGTATAAAGATTATTCAACTTTTTTTTTGGTTCCAACTTACCATCTTCATTGTCATAGATGGATTTGATTATCCAAATAGCCAAAAACTTGTCGGAAAAAATATTTCAAATTTTCACAAAATTAAGACGAGAAAAAAAGACAGAGAACAGAACAAAAAACCTTTACACTAATCGTCACCGATAATAAAATTCTAAACATCGAAACATTGAAAATATTAGATAACGAATATTTTGAAGCATCTTTCTTGTTCAAAGATGAAAATTTTTAAACACAAAAACGAAAAAACCAGACAAAAAAATGATGAGAATCGAAGAATTACAATTGGCACACTCAACCAAAAATATGAGCTTCAACAACAAACATAAACAACAGATAAAGAAAGTGGCGCCTCCTTTGTGAAAAATCTTCGAATCTTTATCTTCCAACATCGTTCTTCTCATCGTTCAACACACTTCTCTCTCTTTTTCACAAACTGAATTTAATTCAGCATTGAGCAGCCATTGGCCAGAATTTAGCCACTCCCACTCTTAAAAAAATATATACTGTTCATAAATAATGTTTCAAAATGGAATTTTTTTAATTTTGCGCAAAAAAAAAATTCGAATTTTAAATTAATTTAATTTAAAAAAATCAATTTTTTTCCGCCAAAATGCACGGGTTTGTGATGTTTGTTCAACCACAAAAATATTGAACACGTTGTCGTTTATTTGCATATAAATTCCGTTTAAATTCGGCCACATCTTCAGCACTAATAGTTTTACTATTTTCTTGACATTGTTTTAAAAATTTTCCCAATTCACGTTTAAAATGTTCAATACCTTCGGCTAATGCTATTTCTTGGATACGATTCCATTTGGGCATTTGTTGTTGAACTTTTTCCGAAACTTTTTTCTGATTTTGATAGATATAAACGGCAAACATATCAAGTGGATTTGTTATAAATTCAACACCTTCAGCTTCATACAATTTTAAGCATTTGCTACACCGACAAAGACGTAAACGCCAATCTAATGGTAGATACATTGCATGACATACATTATCATCATACGATGCAACACCATTCTCATCATATTTAACAGTTAAGGATGATTGATGTTTTGATTTCAGAGCATCCAATAAACATTCATCATTATTTGTGGTTGATTCCGATATTTGTTGATTATCGATTAGATTATCGCAAAATTGTTGCAATTCTTTATCCAATAAATCTTTATCATCACATTCTTTGAAATCAAATTGGCCATCAATTTTATAATAGATAAGAAAATTTAAACGTCGTACACAAGACATACAAATCATATCTGAATATCCTTTTATTGGTTCGGCATCCAAATGCTATAGGAACAAATTCATTAATTCATTTAAGGCATTAGATTTCAGAAAGACAATCTTACCGATTGATGAAACCAATCTTCACATATACCACATTGAAGCATTGTATCATCGAATGTATCGCATGGATATGGTAATTCACATGTACAATATAAACCTTTAAAATTATGATTATATTTATTCGTTTCATTATGGCCAATTTTCTGCAAAAACAACAAAATGAAATTAGTATTGGAATTCAAAATGATAAGGTATTTATTTTTGTTACCTGAAAAAGTTTACATTTAAGATTGGAAAATTTTTCATTACCACAATCACAACGAAAATTTCGTTTTGTATACAATTCAAATAGATCATGTCCTTTATGACAATTTTCTGCACAAGCATAACAAATACCAGCCAAATATTTTTGATCATTTTTATTATCATCATCGGATGATGATAATTTTGGATCAACATTATTCATTTCACATGTACTACATGCATATAATGGTTGTCGAGCTAAATCGTCCTATGATTTTCAATAAACAAAAAACAAGATGAAATAAAACTTTTAATTCATCCAAAAATACATACATCAAGATATGTACAATTATTTTCATCGGAATTACCAAACATTCCTGAAACAGTTTCAACTTGTTCAATTTGTTCTTTCCATGAACAGCATAAAGTTTCAAAATCAACTTCAGTATCCGATTCTTCATCATTATTATCTTGACTAATATCATCGGATTTTCTTTTCGATGATGATTTATCATCATCACCATCGCCATCATCAACATTCGTTTCGGTTGTTGTTGTTGCTGTTACAGGTTTTACATCATTAACTTCATCGATTTTTGATGTACTTGGTTTTATCGATGATTCGCCATTATCGATCGAATTTTCTTCACGATTATTATCATTAGAATTCATAATTTTCACAAAAAAATAATCACAAATTTAAGAAATGAAAATTTTTTCGTTGCAAAATGAATCGAATTGAAATGAAAAAAAGAAAAATAAAACTCATAATAAAAATTTTTTCATTCATAAAATACGTATTTTTTGTTTCAATATTTTATGCCGCTAGTTTGAAGCCACGAATAAAATCCTCCCGCCTTTTTTCTTTTGTCATTATCGAATAGGCGGCGAACAAAAAAAAAGTTGGTAACTCGAAAACATAAAAAATTCGAATGATAGTAGCATACATTATAGTGGAAAAAAGAATAAAGGTAGTAGTAGTCATCAATTAAAAATTCATCCATTTTGTCATCAATGTTGAACTAAACTGAATTGAAAAAGTGGCCACTACAACAGCAGCAGTCGGCTTGTTGTGTGGATATTGTTTCGAATGAAAAATTCGGTGTTTGGTGCTTACACACACAAAGCTTGAGCGAGAAAGAAGAAAAAAAAATTGTTAAGCGATTCTTATGATGATTGTTTTTTGTCCGAACTTTTTTCATTTTGTTGATTGAATTCAATTCTTCATAGGAATTTTATTTATTTTAAAAATTCTGTTTTTGAAATTCTGTATTATTTTTTTTGGTATGATTCTCATCATCGATTCTATGTCATTTTTATGATTTTTTTTTGTTTTGTTTTTGATTAGTTTCTTTTTCAAATTGATTTCGTGGACATTCGGTTTGTTGACGATTCAATTTGAGAATTCGAGCTTTTTTTTGATTGATCGATATATTCGAAACAAAAAACCCAACTTACATCATCATAATCATCATGAACGTTTCGATTATTTTTTTCATTGTAAAATAAGTAATAGTATTTACAACAACATTTATGATGACCGATGAAGACAGTGAAAAAAATTTAATCCAATCTAATTCATCATCAAAATCCAATTTATTAACGAAAAAATTATTGGATAAAGAAAATGAAATTGATAAAACATCATCAATAACAACAATGATGGCAACAACAAATGATTTGAATGAACAAATAACAGCTGCCATATCACCATCAGCTGCACCATTATCAAATGTTGATATTAATGTTAATGGTGATGAAACAAAACAAAATTCAACTAAATCCTGTGATGATAATAATTTTTACAACAACAACAACAATGATGATGATGAAAATGAAACAAAACAAATAAATGATCAAAACATTGATCCTTCCGAAGAAATCGGTGACAAAACAATTAAAAATGATGATAATAATGAACAGCAACAACAAGATGATAATGATGATGATCATAAAATGGACAATGATTTACCTAAAGATGAAGTTGAAAATGATCCAAATTTTGCCATAATTTGTTCATTTATGGAAAAATTTGGTCATCATTTAGATCTAAAATATTCAATCAAACATTTAAAAACAATATTTGAAGATTATAATAAAGGTATGTGTGTGTTTGATTCTTATTCAAGATTTTTATTCAAAAATTTTCTTTTTCTTTTGCACAGTTCGTCCCGATTTAATCGATTTACATATAAAACTTTTACGTAAACGACGAAAATATATTAATAAAGAAAAATGGGAAAAAGCATTGATGCGTTTCTGTGCAGAATATTCAAATATTGATGCCTGGAATTTAGAACAATTTGGTTATAATAATGCAGATCTTTCATTACGATTAAGAATTTTTTTACGTTTATTAGAAGCAATGTTTGATTTTAATCAAAAATTTAAAAGTGAATTAAATTCCACAATGGAAACATCATCATTACGTATACCGGCTATTGGTCGTGATCTTATTGGTTATACATATTGGTATCAATTAGATTCGGATCTTAATTTTCGTCTATATAAAGATGAACCTGATGAAGATAATTCCTGGTCATTAGTTTCTAAAAATCTTACCGAATTAAATGATTGTATACAGGATTTAGAAAAACAAAGTATTGATGATTTCAAACAAATGTCTACACCTGCAAGTGAAGAAAGTATTAGTAATCCTGCTTCTTGTCAGATTCCAGCTAAAATCATAAATGATCAAGATGATGATGAAAAAGATGAAAAAATTAACCAAAAACAACAATTCGACCATGATGATGATGAACAAGAAAAACCAGCCACTCCACCAAGTGTTAAAATAGAAGAACAACAGTCTGATGAACAACAATTGCCATCATCACCGGCCAAATTAGTAATCAAAACTGAAAACATTGATTATGATAAACCGATTGATGGCCAAAATGAATCCAAAAATCATAATGATGTGCAATCAGAAAATTTCATTTCAACAAATGATAAAGAAATTGAATCAATTTGTGAATCCATTTTAGATAAAATTGAAAAAGAAAATAATGACTATGAAGATGATGGTGATGGTGATGACGATGATGATGAACAACAGCAGCAACATGAAACAACCAAGTCAAGCAATAGAGGTGGTTATCGCGGTGGTGGTCGTCGTCGTCGTGGTAAACGTCGTGGAGGCCGATGGTCAAATAATCGTCGAAAAACAACTGCAACAACATCGACTATCAAAGATGAAGATGAAAAAATGGATATTGAAACAGTCAATAACAAAGAAAATTCTAATGAATTACAACAAAATAATGATGACAATAATGTTGATGAAGAATCGAAACCGGTGGTGGTGAAAAAACAGGCTGGTCGAAAACGTCGTAATGAATTGGATAAACTTAAAGAAGATTTTGCCGAAGGATTACAAGCTAAACGTTGTTCACGACGAATACAAGCATTACATGAAAAGAAATTAATTGAAATGGAAGAAGAACAAAAACGGATGGAAAAAGAATTGCTGGAAAAACGTCGAAAAAAAGAAGCAGCGATGGCAGCAAAAGCAGCAGCTTTATTAGCCGCACAATTTGCTTGTGATAAATCAAATGATCCAAATGATGATGATGATAGCGATAATAGTAATGATAGTGATGATGATGATGATGAAGATCAAAGTAGACAATCGAAAAAACGAGGAAGACGAAAGAAAAAAGCAACGGTAAGTCAATTTGATATTGATTAATTTTTTTGGATTAATTGAAAATTATCATAATTTTTCCTTGGTAGAGTGATGATGATTATCAAAAAGAATCCGGTGATGATGAAAAAAAGAAAAAGAAACGTAAACGAAGAAAAAAAGGTGGTCGTAAAGGTGCAACTCCATGGGAAGATGAATCCGATGATTCAGATGAAAAACGTGCCGAACATACTTTTGATGATGATTATTATGAGGATTATATGCATGATGATGATGATGAACAGCTTCGATTTGATGATAATGAAAATCAGGAAGATGAATTTGCTTGTGAAGAAATTGATCCAGAAGATGAACCAGTTGTTATACGACGTGCACGTACAGTAAAAAAATGTAAGATTTCCTTTTTCGATTGAAAAATTTTCTAATCATTTGATTTTGTTGTTGTTAATTTAGCCAAAGATGATTGCAATGATAATGTTGAATTTCTTGAAAATTATGTCAATGATGATAAACCATGTGGAAAATGTGGTAAATATGATAATCCACATTGGGTAAGTGAATGAAATTAAAAATTCTTTTTTATTCAAATTTAAATTTAATTTTTTTTCTTGGTAAAAAGATTCTTCTTTGTGATAAATGTGATGATGGATATCATACCTCTTGTCTTCGACCTCCATTATTTTTGATACCAACGGGTGAATGGTTTTGTCCACCTTGTGAACATGTATGTTAAATCTTTTTATCAATTTTTTATTTTGGTTATTTTAAAATTTTCATTTATTTTAGAAATTTTTGATTGAAAAACTTCGCGTTGAATATCAACGTTTAACCGAAGAAATTGAACAACGTGCTATTGAAAAACAAAAACTACGAAAACGTTGGCGTTATGGTCATTGTGAAATTAGTGCCGATAATATTCTTGAAGAAGGTGAACAAATCAATTTGGGTGAAAATGGTGGTGAATTAGTTATTGATCAAGATCAACAACAACAATACGATGATGGTGGCGATGATGATATTGAAAAGAAAAAGGCAAAAGCACAACATCGTAAAGGTGTTCGTAGACGACGACCAAATGGATATGCTCGATCAGATGAAATTGCTGATCTTCTTTATTCGAATGATGAAGATTCACGTGGTTTTATCGACAATGATAATGATGGCGATGATAATGGCAGAGAAAAGGAAAAAAGACGAACAGAATCGGCAAATCGGAAACGAAAATATAGAGAATATAGTGATAGTGATGATGATTCTTCGGGAGAAGACGAAGAAGATTCAGAAGTTGATGATTTTGTTAGCGATTCTGAAGATGAAGTTGCCAAATGTATCGATAAATATGATGATGAAGATGAATATCGTCATCGAGAAAAGAAAAAGAAACACCGTCATCGGGAAAAACATATTGATATAAATGATTTTTCTCGTTCTGGATTGAAATTACGTTCAGCACGAAAACGAAAACCAATAAGTTATTTATTTAAAGAATATGATAATCTTATCAAATCAGCCATACTTCAGGAAGAAGATGAAGCTGAAGGTTATGATTACGGTGATGGTGATGGTGATGCTGGTTCTGATGATGCAACCTATCCACGTAGTAAAGGAAAAGATATCAATAATATTCTTGAACAAGCAGATACAGAAATGCCAGATTTCAGTATTAATCCATTTGAAAAGGACACAACTGATAGCGGTCATCATGATGATGATATTAAATCTGAAAGTAATATTAATGATACAAAAGATTCGACCGTTGTCAAACCGATATCCGATAAAGCTAGCAAAGATAATGACGACGACGACGATGATGAAATTACTGAACAGCGGAAAAAATCTAACGCTAATCGAAAGCAACAAAAGAAAAAGAAAAGTCTGACCAATCTTGATTTTTCGGATGAAGATGATGATGAAGATCATGCATCAGATGAAGATTTTAATATGGCTGATGATGATGAAATGGATGAAGAATTGACCGAAGTAGAGGATGATGATAATCAGGAAACTGAACTATCTGAATCAGATTCCGAACCATCAAGTCGTCGTCGACGATCTTCACGTATACAGCGAAATTATTCATTTAAATCGGATCGAAAAAGAAAAAAGAGTCATAATAAAAAGAAAAGAATACAGAAAAAATCTGGAAGAAGATTTCTAATTGATGATTCCGATGATGAAGACGAGAATGATAATGATTTAACATCTGAAGAAGAAGAAGATGATGATGATGAGCTTAGCAATAGCGGTTCATATTCGGATCAAAGCTCGGATTATGCACCACGTACTCGACGTGCTGCCCAAAAAAGTAAACGTATAAGTTATCGAGAAGATAGTAGTACTGCTGATGATGATGATGATTATGGGGCTATTGATGATTTACCATCAACAACAACAACAAAGAAAAAAGATAAATATCAAGAAGATGAAGATTATAACGACGAAGATGATGATGATGATGAGATAAATCTTAAGGCATCAAATAAATCGGTTCCCAAACTAACAGCAACGACAATAACTCCAACCGAACCGAATCCCAAACTTAAACCAAACATTCAAACATATAGCCGTGAATGTCGTGATGAAAATCTTGTAAATAATAAACGAAAAAAACAGCTCATCATTTCGGATGATGATAATGATGATGTTGATGAAAACGATGGTGATAAACATCATCAACATGAAATTTCCGAAGAAGATGTGTCCAATAAAACAACGAAAAAAACTAAAATAGATGATAATCAATCACAACCACCACTTACTAGTGTTGTTGATAATGATGATGGACAGAATAAATCAAATAATAAAGATGAAACGGCCATAGTTGAAAAAGAATCAAAATTTTCAACAGCATCTTCCATCGATTCTAATCAACCATCAATAGCACAAATAGTTCCTCCCGAAACAATGACAACGCCGATAATTCCAATAAAAACAGATCCACTAGTTTCAATACAAAAAATGAATTCAAAATTTGCTATCGATGTAAATCCATCGGTGCAGCCAAAATCATCATCCATACCATCAAGTAGTGAACCACCAACATCGGTTCCAATTTCCTATTCACATCCACAGCAGCATTATCAGCAACCGCCACCACCAATACGACCTACATATCATCAATCTGTTGCTGCGAATACTCCTGTATCTGGTCATTATGTTCCACCACCGCCTGTATATCCTTCTCAAGTACCTTCTTCACATGAATATCCATCTCCACCTCAACAGTATTTAGCACGTCCACCACCACCACAATCTTATCAATATCCGCCACATCCTCAATCATCAATACGATCAAATTTGCCTCCACCACATCCACATGCTCATCAATATTATTCACCATCATCTTCTATACGATATCCTTCGGTTGTTTCAACAGCTTCTCCAGGTCGACTTGGTGGTGATGGAAAAGATGATCCTAATTATACACTTACTAATTTGGATTCATACAGCGGTCCAGCTCCACCTAAAACACAAAGCTATCTTCCACAAAATTATCCGTCACGACCACCACCAAATTTTGTGCCAGTTTCTTCTGCTGCAGCAGCACCAGTTGGACAGCCACAAACATCACCCAATCGATCTCCTCCACCTAAAATTCTCAATCTTGATTCACCAAGAAATCCTTATCCTACAAATAAACATCAACCAGGACCACCACCTCCCACACATCATTATTATCAACCTGGCCATCATGCTTATGATCATAATCTTATTCCACCACATTCACATCCAGATTATTACCAATCGCATCATCATGTACGGCCACAAGGTGGACCCCCACCACCGCCGCCGCACGGTTATTATGGTGGCCCAATTCATCCACATGGTCCTCCTTTACAACGTATGCCACCGCATGTTGGTCCACCTTATCCTCAACAAGGACCGCCACCACCATCTCTACATTATATGTCTCCACGAAATGTATCGCCACGACAGCAAACACCTTCACCTTCATCACTAGTTTATCCACCACAAGCACCGAATTCGAATAACTTGCCTCAATCATCGGCTTCTACTTCATCGCCAACAGCGATCAGGCCACCATATCCATCATCTGGTCCTTATCCATATCCAGGACAACCACATGGATATCCTCCTCATCCAGCACCCTATCCTCATCCACATCATCCTCCGTATTCGGTAGCAGCATCTAATGGTGGTTTTATGATACAAAATCTTCTGCATAATCCTCCACCAGCAGTTCCTACGTTACCAATTCCGGCCACAATGGCAATGACAAATACAACTGCTTCTGCAACGAAGCCAGTATGTGCGATTAAATCTAGCCCAAAAGCTTCAAAATCGAGCGCTAAAGCAAAAAAATCTTCAACCGTTGCTGCTATTGATTCAGCCCTCATACCGCCAACATCCGCTAAACAAATTCCTAGTAAAGTAACCAAAAGTCGTAAAAAATCCAACGATACGAAAAAGATTGATACAGCGAGCAGCTAAAGCAATTTTTGATTTCATTATGGTTCTGGATCTTTGTACTCTTGATTCTCAATTTCTTAAAGCGTTAACCTTGTATAGTTATTCCACAATCACACATGGTATCTCATTTGAAACAATACATTTGTACAAAATGTCTGATTATTTTATTCTATTTGATTTTTCGAAAATTTTTGTATCCAATCATTCTATTTTTCCTATGAATTCATAATTTATAATTCTTAAGATCAAACACACATCAAAACCATCATTTTTTCAGTTCGGAAATATATCTGTAAATGTTTATAATTTATATGATGATAACAAATACATTTGATATCTTAAAGATGAATTTTAAAAAATTAATAAATAAAATCAGCGATAGTCTCTATTTTTCAGCCTTTTTCCTCGTTGTTATTCTTAATGCGGCGGCAAGTATGAATAAAATCGGAATTCTTTTTTTTAGCATCCACAACAAAACAGACGAAAATTAAAAATTTCGTCTAAACTCCACATAGCAACAGCTGAGAGAAATAATGAATAATGATCGACAATCTTCATCATCATTATCCAAGGACATTGTTGTTTTGATTTTCTCATTTCGTATTTGCTGTTGTGGTTGTAGTAATTGTTATTCTGATTAGATAATGATTGAACTTTTTAAAAGTATGAATCAATTTCAAATTATTTTTGTATAATGTTTTGAATAAAAGATTTCATTTCTGTTTATTTTTTTCTTTTCATTCGTTTTAGATATAAAGTTAGCCATCGGTGTCATATCGACAATTGCCATCGTACTGTCAGCATTTCGTTTCGAAATTCTTGATACGAATGATGATGATTATTTTGTTACACCGGCAACATCGACAAATGGAAATCGTATGGTTACTATAGATAAAAAAATATTGGATGCAATGTCAAAATTTGATCATAATCTTCGTCATTTACAATTAAAAGGAAAAGAAACATCATCGTCACGTCATAATGATTGTTCGAGATTATTATCCGATTTTTATGATGCTATTAATTCAGCGAAAAAAATTAATGAAGAATTTCGTAAATTGCTTTCATCATATAAACAACAACAACAACAATCATCAATGATGATGATGGATGATGATAAATCAAAACGATCATCATCATCATTGATAAAACAAAAACAAGAACGACGGGGATTAAGAAAAAATTCCAAAACAATTTCCTATTCAATACAATTTGGATCGAAAATTTATGTTATGAGTTTTTATTGGCCACGTTTGATTGAAGCATTTTTCGGTACCGATATTGATTAAATGGAAAATTGGATGGCATGATCGATTGGCAGCAATCAGGAAACAAACAAAAAAGTATTCACTTTTTAAATCTAGTCATTGTTCTTAAAATAAATCAATTGAAATGGAAAAATAAAATGAATTTATTTAACAAAACCAAAACAAAAAAAAATTCTTTTTATTTCACAGTCTTTATATAACCAACAATCATTGGATGTCATTCATTTTACAATCACTTGTTTTATTTTTATTTTTTTTGTGGTTTTATTTTATCTGATTCAAAGAATAGTTATATAATGAACAACAATAATAAATATATTTGGGTGAAAATAACGACAGAAAAAAAGGGTTTAGTAAAGTAAACGATGATGATGATGATGATGTTAAGGGATTTTACTTTATTCAATAAATAAATTTTTTTTGATAAAAAAACAAAACAAAAGGGTTATTTTGTTTAACAACAACGATAGGTGGAAAAAATCTTTCAAAAAAATCTTTTCTGTATTAAAATCTGTAATTCCAAGGGGAAAAAATTCAATTTTTTTAATGAATTTAAAAAAAACATCATTAGAATAATTTTCTGACAGAATTCAATAAAATGGAATGGTTTAGCCAAAGAAAAAAGAAAAAAACAAAATTATTCAAAAAAAACAAATTCCTAATTAAAATCGATAATAATGATTGGTTGGTTGGTTGGATAAATTCAAATGATGAACGGTGCTGGGAGTGAATTGATGGTGAGTGTGGGTCTTCTATAGAGATTTATATTTCCTAAATAAACGATTTGATTGATTGATTATAGATGAATGACATTATAAGGGATGAGATATAATAATAATAATAGTTATCACAATTGTAAGCAAAAAAAAATTTGTTTGTTCAGTTGATCGATTGATTGATTTTGATTGGCCCTGTTGTTGGTTGATCATTCATTCATTGATTGTTGTGGATGTCATTTAATGCCATGTCACCATTTACCAAACTAAACATTTATGATCTGCATTCGATTTCGTACCAATACGACAGCCAAATGTATCAGCAAATGGTTGATAGTTACTAAATGCAACATTTACCCTGAAAGAACCAAAAATCAATAAATCAATTGAATTCAATCAATTTCAAAACAAACCTGGCTTCCGATGGACTATGACTATCAGTATCTAGACGTGTTTTAAACATTTCTGGCGATGATTTACTACACCAATTCTATGTGCGGAGAAGGAGGTTTATTTTTGATTGATGAAATAAAATAAAATAAAAAATAAATCATCCACCATCATCATTATATAACATACCATAGCGGCTGCAATCCAAAATAATTGCCTTGATGTATAACGTAAACCTGGTAATAATAATTCTTCACCAAATTTTGAAACATATTTTTCATATGCTTGATATGCTTCTTTAATAGCACCATTATCGGCAATATTTTCTTTTAATGTTAAATCACCATTAATTTGTAATAATTTTGATGATGATGATAATAATGGATATTCACGATACTGTTTAACCATACACTGTGCTTTTTCATTATAATGTTTTTTTGTTTCATTTTTCCACCAATTCCTTGCATTACCAATTTCATCGAATTGTGCACCAATATTATCAAAACCATGTGTAATTTCATGACCAATTACATAACCAATTGTACCAAAATTTAGATATTGTGGACGATCATGATCAAAAAATATATCTCTTAATATACCAGCCGGTATTACAATTGAATTTGCTTGTGACCAATAAAATGCATTCACATTGGCTGCATTGGAAAAATATTTCCAGCTATACAAAAACATCAGAAACGAAACGATAAATATAAGTGAAATGTGCAATAATAATCATCTCAAATTAGAAGAAATAATAATAAAAAAAACTAAGAAGAAAAAACTACTGAAAAATCAATTAGTAATTGAATTCACCAAAAGAAGAAAAAGAATCGTAAATTAAGAATAAGAGGAAAAAAACAACAACAAAAGAATGTTAATGTTTTTGGTAATTGGATTGAAGATTTCTTTTCTTTTTCTGGTTTTGCTTTATTTGCTATTCCAAGCAGATAATAATGACTTGGCTAACTATAGATATAAGGGTCAATTAATTTCAACTCCAAATTTCCGAAAATAAAATATACAAAAGAAACAATTTATATTCGAAATCACACACACACATTTGCAATTGAAACTGAGATAAACACCCACGCATGAACACCACAAAATCAACACTTACTTATGTGGATCATTACGTTGTCGTAATTTTTTAAATTCATTACGATGTGCCCAAATACGTACACGACGGATGTTTAGGTCGAAATTATCCGGTGTTAATTGTAGCTAGATAAGCGATGATTTTTGAAAAAGAGAAAACAAAAATAGAAAGAAATAATTATTACATTTCGGAATGAATTTCATAAATGATAATGATGGTTTTATCTCGAATGATTAATGAATAACCGGAAAAAAAAGATTCCGGGAACAAAAAAAAACTACCAGCAATAAAACAATAAAACAAAAAACGGGTAAATCCGGTTTTGTTGTCCGGAATTGTTAAATTAATTTCGTTTTTTGTTTTTGTTTTTCTGGTTAGCATCGTATTCTCTCCTCATTCACAAAGATAGTGAAAATAAAAACAACCAAAACTTACATCTTTATAATGTTGTTCAATCAGTGTATCATTAGATAATTCAGCTGGATAACCAACAATAGCTTTCATTGATTTAGATTTTTTAAATGCATTTTTTTTCGTTTCATTATCCATCCAATCAGTATGATGAAGAATATCTTCAAATTCTTGTTGAATAAATTGTACCATTTCTTTAGCTTTTTCCCGTGATGTTTCATTGAAATTATGTTTAATATAATGTGATGATAATGCCATTGCTAAACTACCCGTCAATTGTGATAAACATAATTTCCAACGTGCCATTTTTTCGGTTATACCATATAAATGTTTATTTAAATTATCACGCATATCACGCATCATTTTACTACCAGTACCAAGATTTTGTAATACAACACGCCATAGCATATAATTTGCTAATAATCTTTTTACAAAAATTTAATTAATTTTTACAAATTTTTTATCAAAAACACAATACCTTTTATCATGTTTATTTACAAATGATATTAGATAATCAATTTGTCCCATATATCGAATATTATCAACCATAACTAATTCTTTTTCGGTGAATGGCTGTGAACCATCAGGTAAATCTATTGCAGCGTTAATAAAACGTATCCAATCATGACCAAGACGTGTTTGATTTGTAGCCAATACTTCGCTCTGACAATGATAAAATCCAGCGCAAAAATCAATTAAATAAATCGATTGATTCAGAAAACATTATCAGATAATCAGGGGAACGAAAAACACACACAGAGAGGGCAAAAATATTGTTGTTGTTGACACAATATTATCTTCACACTGTATCTATCTTGTCATTTCTTAAAAGGAAAAATGTATATAAATATACCTTGCAATTAACCTGTGCTTACTACTACCATCATCATCATCATAATGATTTCGGTGAATGATGATGATGGATGTCAACAAATAAACGAATCTCTAACAAATAGAGCGTATCGTCTTTGTTGTTTTCAAGAAAAGAAAACGGCAACAACAACAATTTTAACGCGTTTTGACAACCCGAAAAAAAAGATAGAGAGAATGATGACAAACAACCAAAAAAAAATCTTTTAAAATTGAAAAATCATTTTGAGTGTTTTTCAAGTTTCAAACACACACACTTTTCGTTGAAATAATAATAATATTTACCTGATTGGCAACATCAGCAAATGCTTTTAAATAAAGATACCATGATTGTTTCTTTTCACCTTGCATTGGATCATGTGTAGCATGTGCAATTTGTGATTCTAATGCAATTGTATCCCACATTTCTATTTCGATTTGTGTACGATTCGTAGCACCAAATAACAAGGCTGTATCGACCATTAATTGATGATAAACACGAACAGTTGTATGATTTGAACCTTGCGTGATCAGTTGACGTCGTAGACCAAGTGTAGCTTCATCAACCTGAGAAAAATTGATTAAAATAATTTTTATTTGATTGAAAATCGATCAGATAGGATTGATACATACGAAAATCATATTTCGGGTATTATTCATAACATCGGCAATAACTTTAAATGTAACAAACATTTCAGGTTTGAAACCAATTTTTCTAATTTTTCTGGTTACATTTATCCAATCAAATGTTGATTCATTCCAGCTAGAACCTTGAACAACTGGCCAACCACCTAATTCATCTAATGCATTACGCAATGATGTTATACCTAATTTTTCAATTGCTGTTAAATTCATACAAGAACGGTACATATTTTTCATTGTTTCAATTGCCGGTGTTGTTGTTGTTTCATTTGTTGTCGTATTAGTTGTTGTTGTTTCAATTAGATCTGTGGATTTTTTTTTTGTTGAAAAGTTAATATGGAAAGTTTAAAAGCAAAGAAAAACAGGCTTCAAACACCAACCTTTAAGCTGAATATCTAGCCGTTCTCTTGATTGTTCAAATATAGAAATATGACCAGCTTCATCCGGTATTGTTGTACGATGTATCCAACCACCACATGCAAAACGATAAAAATCATCACATGGATTGACAGTTTCATCAATCAGATTCAATATTTCGGATGCTGAAACAGTGAAAGAAAAGTATTAAAAAAATCATTTTATTATCATCATCATCATTGTTATTCAACGAAAAAAAAGCGAGAAAAAACTTTTTTTTGAAAAAAATCAATTTCAACACTTTATATATTCGCTATAAATGAACTGCTGCTTTTACGACAAAAAAAGAAAGGAAAAAACTTTTCAATCAAATCAATTCAATTCCATTAACAATTCAATGACTATCCATTTATATATTGTTGAAAGATAATGTTTGACGCTTGTCATCCAACGATTTTGCAAATCACACAATCATTTCATTTTGATATTCAATTCAAATTCATTTCAAAAGAAAAAAAAATCTAGTTATTTTTATCGATCAAAAATCAATCACATTGTGTGTTTACAATTGTAAAAAAGATAGAAGGATGTCATCATTGTCGTTTTCTTCAATCGAACGATATTCAATTTTTGTCCCTATAAATATGGTGATAGTGTTTAATGATCTTTTTCTTTTGAAAAATAAACGATTAACATGATTGAACTGAAATCGATTGTCGAAAATGATTCGCTACTCAATTCAAAAAAATAATGAAAAATATTTTTTTTCTGCAAAACTCAATTCAATCATTGAATGGCGGATCAAGATGATCCAGTGGATGACGAAAAAATTCATTGCCAAATTTTGCCAGAAAAAAGTAAAAAATTTGTTTCAGATCAAAAATCAAATTTATTTACATAAAGATTTTTCTCATTCATCATAATCATTCATTCATTTTTTTCATAGACAAAAACAAGGAAATAACATTCAAAAATTTCATTCCAGAGTAAATTAAAGATTCAGATTTTTTTTGAATAACATTTCCGGTAATCAAATAATAATCATCATTTGCTTATCGTGTGTTATATGCAAGAAACGAGAAAAAGTTTTCTTTTTTTTTCGCTAAAGAAACCCAAAAAGTTAATCCACATCATTCAAACATCATCTACATTACAGAAAAAACGAGATATAACAAGCGAGAAAAAAACACTAACTAAACTAAACTCGTTCACTATGTTCATTATTTATTCATTCAGAATTCTGTGAAACGAATAGAATTTCTTTGAATGAATAAGAATCATTCAAGAATCAAGAATCAGAAGATCAAATAAGTTCCTTAACAATGTTTCTTGTTTGGATTCAAACACAACCCAAAAACAAACATAAATTATGATCAAAATCAACATTTGTAAAACAACAACAACCGAAAATTGTTGTTGTTGTTGCTTGTTAAAAGATTCATAAGATAGTAAAATCTTTTTTTTTGCTTGTCCCAAAAAAACATAACAACAAGCAACGTCTCTAGATTGATGGGCCCATCAACATCATCACAACAAACATACATTACTCTAATTCTTATCAAATAAATCAGATGTAGAAAACATATCGATAGAATCGTTTTTTTTATCTATTTTACCTAATATGCATTTTTTCATCATCATATCATCATTGTCTTTAAGTAAATTTTTTTTCCCTTATCAAATACATTTCACTTTTTCGAATCTCCCGGGATATATCCAATATATATCAGAAAAAATGATGATACTAATAGAGCTCAAATGGATTCCTTTCGCATACAACAAGCGAAAAGGAGCCATAAAAATGCCAAGAAATCATCGAAAACATTTTCTTCTTTTCTTCGTTCTTTCACTCTCTTTTATTGCAATATTCATCCAAAAATAAATGAATTTGTTGTTTGTTTTTCCACTTAAATGATGATGATGATAATAATAATAATAATTTCGTTTTTATTCTTTCCAGGAATTTTCTTTCTTTTCGAAAGAATTTCCGTGAAAATTTTTTTCTAAAAAAATTTCTTTCATTGTCAGAAAGACAATCAATGATGATGCCTTTTATTGGATTTTTTTCAAGAAAAAAAATGTCTAAATTTATTATCATCATTATTGAAATGTACCAAACAAACAAACACATATATCATATTGATGTTAAAAGCATTTTGAGCAAAAGCTAAACATCATTAAACAACAACAACATCCAATTTAGAATAATGAACGAAAAGAGATCAAAATTAATCAAATTAATCAATCATTTTCATTCGTTTGTTTGGCAACAAGAAAATGTTGTCAACTTTGCATTAAAAGCTTTATTTTTTTAATTTTTTGCTTGAAAATCAATTTTCAGATTAAAAAACGAAATTGATTTTTTTTTGGAAATCCGATCAATCATTGAATCAAGATTACATTGATGCTGTTGATTGAGATTCGGGTTCAATTCAATCTGGTTATCTTAATTAACAAAAAAACAGAATTCATCAGATTCGCAATCAAGGGAAAAAATCCAAGTGGGAAAAATCCAAATGGGAAATGCATTTTGGAAAAAATCATTCTTGCGAAAAGAATATTCAACAAAATTGATGCTTCGTCACAAACACACTTTGTAAATATGAAGAAAATTTTTTCGTTTTCTTGTTTCTAGGAAAAAAAATCTCTCTCTCAATTTTTTTTTCAATTTAAATGCATATCATCAAGACATGAATACACTTCATATCACAAGCACACATTACATCAAATGGATGTTTATAAAAGAAACAGTGAGATTCTAAGGGAAAGATGCATCACTAAAATGTAAACAAAAGTTAAACAGAATAGAAATAGATCCATAACAAGACAAATAAATCTTATTTTTCTCTCTCTCACTGGTACGGTAGAATGAATACACCTTATCTTTATGATGATTTTGTTTTGTTTTCCTTAAAAGTTGGGTAAGGTAAGTTTGGTAAAAATTTTCTTCACAAAGAAAAATTGTTTTCACATTGTTTTTTTGTTTTCCACAGAATCCCTGGAAAAACCAGTAACCAGAACATTTGAATTCCAGAAAAAAATTGTTTTATTATTTTCAAATATGGTAAATATTAATAATAATAAGGCTATTTTGAGGCAAACCAACAGCACAAAAACATTAATATCAATAAAGGAAAATCAAGAAAAAAATGGAAAGAAAAAATTGATTGCAATATCATCATCATCATTGTGATAAATGATCCAGAAATTCATTACTTTGGTTTCACTATCGGAGGTCAATTCATCATTAATCGAAGGCAATGAAAAAAAGTAGTAAATAAACTTCCTTTCAAACTTAAAGTTTAAGAAAAGAAAGTTTTTTTTGTTTTTTTTGGCACTCTTTAACAAAGCAACAAGCCAAAACTTTATTGAGAAAAAATATCAATTTTCAATATTGAAAAATATATTCTCACAGTGTGTTAAATTAATCAACTTGTGTTTCGATTCTCATCAAACTGAACAGATGAAATTTTTGTTCATTTTTTCGTTTGTTGTTGTTGTTTTTCCATGCAATTTGATTCTAGCATCATATTCGAAAAAAATGAATGAAACATAATATTCTTTGCTGCACAATCAACAACAACAAGGAGCTAATATTGAATTTCAAATTAAACAACCCAGCAGCAAACAACCAACAACAACAAAGTTACGAAAACATATTTAAACTAGGCCATATTTCTACCTTTTTTTGTTTGTTTGTTTTTCTGGTAACTGAATATTTTCATTCATTCAGGAAAAAAAAATTCTGCAATTTAATTGTTTCATTGATGCATTATTGTTGTTGAAAGATCATTATAATGATCAAAAAAACAAAAACAAATTGATTTTGAAGAATCCAAAGAAAGAATCCAATCCAATCATCATCAATGCAAATTGAAATTATATTCAATAATTTTTTTTCATATTTAATTAACCTAGACAACATACTAATGTAGATGACGATGGTGGAAAACTTTTTTTCTTTTAGCTTCTTATTTAGATGCAATAAATTATTTACTTTGAAACGAAGATTCTATTGAAAAAAATTGAAATGATATACGGTTATTGACTAAAACTAACTAACCAACCAACCAAAAAAATAACCTGAATTTAATTTCTTTTTCCTACTTTGAATAATTTTGGTTGGCTGCCCATTTTGGTTGAACGAAGAAGATGAAATGGGTGATCAAACTTTTTTTCCTGACTAAATTCAATGTTCAAAACTACCTTTGCATCATTATTATAATGATTATGAAATATGCAAATAGAGAGAGAGAGAGAGAGAATTTCTCCATAGTAAATTAATTCCTTCCAACCAAAAAAAGGATTAATTGAAATTCAATTTTTTGTTTTTCAATTCGAAAAATGAAAATAATCTCATTATGATTATTTTAGGCCGAAAGCTTTTTTCTGCTGTTTATCAGTGACAAACAAATTTTTTCAATGAAAAAAAATCCAATTACGCCAAAATGACATTGATAACAAACAAAAAAAACTAACCTGCTTTAACACAACCAGGACGTAAACAAACTGATTTTGGATCCTGAAAATCTTGTATAATCATTGATTGATTTGTTAATAATGATGATTGATAATGATTATGTTGATTCTGCTGATTATGATAATGTTGATTTCTTACATGTTGCAGTGCTGAAAATATTGGTCCCATTGGTGTTGGTATGAAATTCTGATAGAATTTTGTAGGAAATTGTTGATTATTGCCCAATTGTATTTCATTGGATGTAGTAGAATTATGTAATGATGATGATGGAATATTTTGATTATGACCATTATTATTTGTTGCATAATAATAATGATAACCAGGTATCATCTGTGGATTTGGATATGATGGTAATTGTTGTATTAATCTAATTAACATTTCATCATTATTATTATTATTTATTGAATTTATATCAAAACGATTATTCAGATTGTTGTTGTTATTGTCTACATTTTTATTTCCTATTTTTTTCGAAAAAATTACAAGAAAATCAATTACAAATCTGTTAAATTGACTAATTAAACATACCCCTTTGAAAATATGGTTGATTAATTAATAAAATTATCATTAAGACTAGAAGTACAATACATAATATTGAAACAATAAATACAATTAATAACAATAATCTTTCAAAACGTGAACGAAAATTCCAAAATGATGATTGAAATGTTTGTGACAATAATTCATTGAATGCTATATTGTTATTATTATTATTCGATAATGAATATGCCAGATGATTATTAGGATCTTTTTCTGGACAACATTGAAAATCATGATTTGATCGTAATATGGATGGTTGAGATTGCGATTGCGGTGGTGGTGTACCGTAAGAGTTTCCACCACCATTACCAATTGATGATAAATGTGAACGTAATTGTTGATTTTTGCTGGCTAACCGTTGATTTGAATTTGCCATTGTTGTTGATGTGGATGTTGTTGATGGTAATGTTGTAGCAGTGTTGATACAAGCTCCTTGATTATTTAAATTTAATGAAATTGTTGAAATATCTAAATTGCTGTTGTTGTTGTTTGGAACAATGTTGATCGATGGTGAAGATGAAACCATCATTGTTGTCGATGATGATGATGGTGATGGTAATGATGTGTTTGATGATGATGATGATGATGATGATTCTGGCGTCATAGTCATTCACAATGAAAGAAAAAACCCCTGTATACACACACAAAACAAAAAACAATGAAAATGACAATGGTTTTTTCTTGTTTCAAAGACTAGTTAATCAATTAAAGAAACGAAAAAACAAATCAAATTAATTATCAAAGGGAGAGATACTATGGGAAAAAATATTTGATGAAATGAAATGACAATCATGATGAAAAACAAAACAAACAAACATTAGATTTATATAGGCATCGATGACGAATAATAAAGGATATATGTTTGTTTAACACTTTGATTACTTAGAGTGAAATCATTAACATTTTTTTTCTTAAAATTCATTCAACGATGATAATGATTTCGAATGATATCCTTATTTGATAAGCAAATAAGGATGTGCAAAGAAAACCAGAAGAGAAAAGAAAAGTTTTTCTGGAAAAGGGCATTGTCGCCTTTGAAATATGATCTTTTCTTGATTTGAATGTGGAAGAAAGCAGAGAGAGAAACTTTTCATTTTTCTAATCAAATCAATCAATCAATATTGCGGAATGATTGATTTATTGATTAAAACCATCATCATCATCATCATCACCATAAACAACATATAACAAAATTCAATGGCAAAATTTTCAAAATCATCAACCAACCAAAACAACAAGAAAAACAACTTATGTAATCTTTTTTTTTGCCGATGCTAAAAATACTGTCATGTCATCGATATTTTTCTTACTATCAAAAAAAAGAAAAAAGAGGAAAAGGGTTCAAATGTTCCCGGAAACATTTCCCAAAGACCAGAAGACGATGAAAACCAGAAAAAACTAGACCGATCAAACAATGATGATGGGGATCATCAACCAGACAAGAAATTTTCCGGAAAAAAATTTCTGAAAAAATTCTTGTCTCTTTTTCTATCCAGCAACAAACAAAATCAATAATTATTGATTTATATGAGAGAAATTTCCCGAGAAAAATTGAATGAATAAATAAAATCAAAATTTTTTATTCATCCCATCACCATAATAATAATGGGCTTTGGAAAAAATGGAATAAATTTACTTTGAACAACAACAACATTGACAACATCCATTCACATTCACATTTGATGACCCAAATTCTATTAAAAATTCTTAGTCATCATCATTCATTATTCACACACACAAATGTCAATTCTCCCTCCGGAATCATAATAAGACAACATGAATGACAACTAAAGAATAAAGAATATTTTTTTGTTTGCAAAATCTCATGACATTTATTCACTGTTCTGCTGATCATCATTTTTTGTTAATTCAGTAGATTCTAAAAAAGAATTCCGTCAAAACAAAAAACATTATGGGTCAATTTAATTCAGGAATTTTTGGAAACAAACAAAAAAGTTGGTGGTGATAATGAAAACGTATTGCATTTGAAATTTATTTTAAGTCAAGATTTTCATTCAAACAAAAAAAAAGACAAAAACCAAAATCATAAATTATTAAACACATATAGGGAAAAGTTTTCCTTACTCTTGTAGAAAATTGATTAAAACGAAAAAAGACAATCGAAAACAAAAACAGGTTTCAATTATGTCTTTCAGTCATATGATGATCATCATATGAAAAAAAATGAAATTCTTTAATGAAATTATATAATGATGATGATATTGCCAACAATGATGAAAAGTTTTTTCTTGTAAAATCATCAAAAAAGAATTGAAAAATGGATACAATAACAACAACATAAACAATGTTTTTGCATGTGACGCTTGTTCATCATCATTTATTCTAAACACATCTTTACTGATCAATTTCATCTTTTCTCAGCAATATTTTTTTCCCCATAACTTAAATGAATGACCAAACCAGAAAGAAAAACATTGAAAATTTTGTTTAAGCCTTTCGACCTTGAACATCAACAACAACACAATAAAGATAAGGTGGAAAAACAGGAACCACCAATGATGATATGGGAGAAGAAGAAAACCAAAATAAACATCATCGATGTAATCATCATCATTATTTTTTCTCTATTACATTCCAACTTGATTTGTAGTTTTTTTTTTGTTCATTGGTATTTAGGTTAGCCGCTTTTTATTTCAATTTCAAAATTTAAAAATTAAAACTCAATTGATAATGATGATAGCAATCAAAGTGTTAAAAAAACACATACCTTGTGTTCAATTAATTACAGTAAGGAAAAAAACTTGATGAAAATTCCTAAATGATGTTGTGGATCAGGATGATTCAGAAAAACATGAAATATTTTGATGAAAATGTCAAAAGTGTGGATCTTCAATTAGACTAATAGGGAAAAACATTAAATCATTTTGAAAAACATTTCATAAATCAATTTTTGTTGAAAACAAAAAAATCCCCAAAAAAACAATTTTGAAAAAACCCTAGACTTTTTATATTCAAATAACCAAATGTTTTTTTCTTCTTGGCTAAAATCCCAAAAGAGAAAGGTATGGATGTCGTTAAAATTCGGAACAAACATCCGAAAAAATATAGTAAACAAACAAACTGACAAAAAAATGAACCAAAAGTAAATTTAAACACCGACAAACCCATTTATTGAATGCAAAATTACCCAAAAAAAAATATTGAAAAAAACATTACCCAAATCAAAGTGAAAGTGTTTTTTCCTGTGTTAAAAATTTCGTTTGACCTAATATAGAAAGTTTGGCTTTTCAAAATCAATCGATTAATCGATTGATTTGATTGATTAAATAATCGATTCTAGCGAAAAAAATCATTTAAATCAAATCAATAAATATTATTTTTTTGCAAAATAAATCATCATCGACCTAGATCTCAAACATTTTGGGTGGAAATAGAGCACAAAAAATCTGGTACACACCGAATTGCATTGGCCAATGAAAAAATTGGAAAAAACCCCAAAATTTAAATTTGTGAAAAAACCCTCAATTCGCAGTTTCAAACCGACCGAATTGATTGATTGATTTGGAAAAATTCTCCAGAAAAAAAAGGAATGATGAGAAAAAAACGACGATGATGATGATGGGAACAAAAAATGACATCAACACAAACATATATTACCCGAAAAAAATGTTTATAATTTTCATATGATTTTTCTGGGCAAAATATTTCCGGATTTTCATTACGGAAGATTTTCATTTTTCTTTCTTTTCGAAAAAAAAATCGAAATGAAAATCTTACCAAACACGTAGTGTCTTTGGATTTGTTTTGCTTTGTTTGTTTGTGTTAAAAAAAACAATTGAAAATCATCGAGAAGAAAACGAAAAGAAGAAAATCTATTCACAATCATCATACGGATATGATTGATGAATAGAAATGAAATGAATGAATGTAACAAACAAAAAACTATTTCCACACAATATGTTCATCATCATCATCCTGATATACCTGTCTTTTTTTTTACTTTGTGTGTGTGATATGAATCTAATCGACTGGAACAACAACGTGAAAAACTGATCAACAAAAAAAAAATTAAAAAACCGAATAAATGAATGGGAAAAAACACTTTTCTTTCGGAGAAAAAACAACAAAAACAAAAACAATATTGTCATTTCATTTCAGTCTAGTTTCATTTTTTTCATAGGAAATACATTTTCATTTTCAATCATCATTTTTTTTCATTTGATTAATTAGCTGACAGCAACATAATTAATTCACAAATATGATGTATGTTTGTGTTTGTCTGTGTCTCTGTGTGTGGGTGGGTGGGATTTTATTTTATTTTTGGGAATTTTCTGTTCGAGTGAATTAATTATTTACCTTTTTTTTGCTGCATCAATTAAATTTGTCGGATGAGAGATGTTATTGGAATTTTTGTTTTGACTAAAAAAACATTCAATGATGATGATGATGATAGAAATGTTGATCACAGAAACTTTTTTGAAGGGGGAGGTGACAAAAACAGAACAGACAACAAACAGCAATGAACCAATAACATCAATGTGGATGTAAATGATGAACGAAACAATCGATAGTTTCAACAATCGATTCGAATGTTCAATTTATGATGGTTTTTTTTGTTGGTTGAAAATGTCGAATCAATTTCAATCATTTGGATGTCACATTGATGATTATTCAACCAAGAAAAAACTGAAAACTGAAAAATAAATAAATAAAACAGACAACAACAAACAAACAAATTCACATCACATCACACAAATTGAACATATGATTTTTCATTTTTACAATTTTTCAATGTTGGCGCGAAAAAAATGAATTTCATAATCAATGACATATACACAGTGTTATGGTCGAATGATTTTTTGACATATATTTTTTTTTCGTTTTTTTTTTGATTTGGAGAACTTATGTTGAAAACAACAGCAACAACGAAAAACAAAAACAAATTTTGTTGTGGATCGAAAAATAGATTTGATTTGATGAGAGATTCAAACAGATAGATAGATCCAGTTGAATGAAATTGTTTTGGGCGCCAAAAAATCACATTATTTGATTCAGTGAAAAACAAAACAAAGCGATGATCATGATGATGATCATCATCATTTGGGATGAACTTTTGTTCATCATCATCATCAAAATGTTTTATGTGAAAACTTAACACTTTATTTTCTTTGTTGATTATGATGGTGATTTACATTTGGCAACGACAACGATGTTGATGATGATGCCCGCCGAATTGAAATAAAACGAAAAGAAAAAATACAAAGTTTGGTTTGGCGTCATATCAACCGTCTATCTTTTGTTTGGGGTCTTAGATTTTCTCTTTCGTTTCTCTTTTTACTATCCAGCCATCATCATCATCATCATCGTAGTTTACTATCTTCAATGCGCTGGCACATAAACACACACTGAGAGTGTGTCAATTGGAAAAAACTACGAAGAAGAAGAACCGATAAACTTTTTTTCTCGATAGATTTTCTTCTTCTTCAATGGAATAGGGATAATGCACATGTGCCGCTGCTGTTGTTCAATAAATTCGTTCGTATTTTTGAATGGAGAAAATGAATGAAAAACGAAAGAGTCAAGCTTGATGATGATATGGATACAAACGAAGACGAATACGACCAACGTCGATGATAGTTGTTGTTTTTTAACGTTTCAGACTTGCTTGGTTGCTTGTTTGTTTGTTTGAAAATGATATATAGTCGGATTCGAAAAATGATTTTCGAAAAAATAAAATTTGAAAAATCAAAAAAGAAAAGAGAGACAACGATTGACAAACACATTGATGTACCAGTTTAGTACCAGGAGCCAAACACATGAACCAGATTCAATGATCGAATGATTGAATGGATATTCAAGTCGATTAACCATTTATTCATAATGTTGGATATTTCTCTTTCTTTCTCTTTCCAATCAATTCGGTTTTTGTTAGAGAGAAAAACAACAGCAAAATTCTTGATGATAATGGTGGTGAAGTAGAAAAACAAAATCAATTGATTTGGTTGATTGATAAACAAATGCAAATATTTCAAATTCTTGGAGGGAAAAGAATTTTTTTTTGGTCCAACAACAATTCGAACGAATTTTGAACGGAGATGTTCATTAATGACATGACATGATTCGTTCGATGATTCGAACGAAACGAATCGAATGAATTTTTGTTTTGTTTTTGTTGTTTCGAATTGTTGCTCGAGGGAATGAAGGAAATTCCTTAATCGAAAATGAATGAATTCTTTGTCTGTTTTTTTATTCTTTTGTTTTATCTCATGAATTTTGTATGTGTTTTGTTTTGTTTTTTGGCCAGAAGAGAAATTCCAAATGTGCAAAATGAATAAATGAATTATCATCAGCAACATTTTTTTTTCTCGTTCCCTGTACAGATCGAAAATTGATGATTATTGATTGATTGAAAAAACATCGATCACCAAACTCGACCAAACGAACAAACAAAACGAATCCTGAAACCTTTCTTGTTCTCGCTTTTCACAGCAAAACTGTGTGTGGAAAAAACGAAAAATTTCATTGAAATTCATTTCGAAAAAAATGAAATGAAATGAAAATCAATGTTTTTTTTTGGTTGGTGTCCATGAACCATTTTTTTCAACCAAAAAAAAATTATGATCATCAAACAACTGAAACGCACGAATGGTCATTTATTATCCAAAATAGACTTTGAAGAAAAGCAAAACAAAACTCTTTTTTTCACTTTTCCCTAGTTGTTCATATCATATCAATCAAAATAATAATCTTCATTCCTCTCTCACTCTCTCTATTTCAACAGCCGTTTATAGAAACTTAGTTTTGTTAAACTTTCAAAAAAATTCATTTCATTTTTTTTCAATCAAACACCCAAAATTGTGATAATATTTCAATGGAATCCATAAGTTTTGTTGTTGTTTTTTGTTGGTGATTTCACTTTATTCATAGAAAAAAAATGGTTGACTAAACTGATTTTCGGACACCGGACAGCATTGATGCATAGCAAAATCATTTTTGTCCAAAAAAATGAAAATGAAAGACTTTCCAGCCAACCAGTCAACCAAATGAATGAATGAACAAATTGGTCAAACAAAACAAAAATGACTGATAATAATGATGTCACCAGATCAAAAATCCTTGATCTTATTTTAGCTAAAAAGTTTTCGGGCAAAAAAGGCAACAGAACTTGAAAGTCCAAGAAACAAAAATTGATTATTTATTCATCATTGTCATATATGAATGTTCTTCCTTTCCTATGTCCTGTCCTTTTGTTGTTAATCTTTAATGTTTTGTTTTTAATTTATTTTGTTTTCTCAATCTTACTTTCCCTCATTAAATAATTCATATAATAAGTTTTTTTTGGTAGGGAAAAAACGGTAAGATTTTTCATTATCATCCATTTGACCATCATAATGTTTGTTTTGTTTTGTTTTCAATTTCGTCAATCAATTATCATTTCCCATAGTTAATGATTCAAGATCTTTTCCTCATTCATTATCGATAAATATTATTGAAATTTTATCGATCGATTGATTATATTTAACCTTTAATGAAATAATAACAACCATTATAACATTGATTATAATAATTAATGACGATTATCATCATCAATGATGACAATAATGATGAAATTCCAATCATTATTTTAAAAAAAATGATTGGAATTTCCATTTTAATAATGATCTTTTTCATCATTGATCAATTCATTGATTGATTGATTGATTGGCTATTACATTTTATAAAATTTTATCAATTATTTAACAATGAAAAAACAACAAAACAAAACAACAACTACATCCTTAGGATGTTTTATTTGTCATTTACAATTTTTTTTTGTGTTAAATTAAAGAATTTTTTCTTTGTTGTTGCATCCATGGATATATCCAATGTTTTTTTGTTTCCCGGACAGGATAGGAAAAAAAATCTAATTGAAAATGACGGGCCTTGTTGTTGTTAAACGAAGAAAATGAAGAAAAAACGAAAGAAAAGAAAACTTTCATTTAATATCATTCGACTTTTAATCAAACGAAAATAACCGAAAAACATTCGGACATAATGGATTTTCTTTTTCTTGTTCTCGTTCGGTTAATATTATGGTATTGTGGTGGACAAACAAAACAAAATGTGAAAACCCAGTAATTAAACCCCGTTTAATCCTTTATCATAATCTTCGTTTGGTTTGTTTCAAAACATAATTCCATTGAAACTAATGAAAAAAAAAACATCGACAACATTGGATTGATCGAAAGTCACGAACCAGAAAAACTTTTTTGTTGTTTCGTTTTTCCCAACCAAAAACTAAAATTTCATTTTAATTTTCAGTTGTTGGATATAAGTTTTGGAAAAAAAACTGGAAACTCAAAAATTGTTTACGTGGAAACCAATTCACTCACTCTGTTTTTGGAAATGAAAAATCAAAAAAAAGTTTCAAGAACTTTGTTTACGAAATTAAAAAAAAACTTTTTTCATCATCATTATGTAATGGTTTGTTGTTTTTTCGTTTGGTAATTAAACCAAAAAAAAAGATCAAACTAAATTGATTGGACTTGACTGAAAATAAAATAATGATGTGTTTGTCAGGTTTGTCATTAAAAAAAAAATCTTTAAATAATGATTTTCAATCCAGAATTCTGGATGTTCGAAACAGTGAGAAAAACTTTCGGAAAAGTTAATTTCTGAGAATGTTTCTCTTTGTTTAATCTTCTTAACCATTTTTTGGTAAGTTTGTTTTTGGATTTTGACTGGACAGATGAATTTCATCATCATCATAATATCAAGGATTCAAAGAAGAAAAACAAAATCATTATGAGAAAGAATGTTTCCGGTAAAAATATTTTCTTGTTTCCGGAAAGATTTTTGTTTCGCCCCATTATCATATTGATGAAACAAAAAAAAACAGAAAATATTGTTACAATGAATATTATAATCGAAGGACGAAAAAAAACCAAAAATAGAAAAAATAAGAAATGTTCCCGATCGATAAAAACAAAACAAGAAAAAATGGAGGGAGGAGAAATCGATATCTGATGACGACGATGAAGAAACACATAACCACCAGAACATACTGGTATTAACCAAATAATCGATACCGGACACAGGCAGGCAATTTTTTGTTATTATTACATTCGATTCAATTCGATTAGAAAGAAAATTAATCAATTTTTCTTTTTTGTATTACAATCGATCAAATTGATACAAACATTTTTTCTTTTTCTTTTTTCTTTTTATCTGATCCAGATCGGAAATGAACAGGAGAGAAAAAAAACATTCCAAATTGAAAAAATCCTTCTTTTTCACCTTGACAGATGGGGAGATAGGGGTAAGCTTGGTTTTCTTACTTAGCTTTCGAAAGTAATCAAAAAACATGTTTTGTTTTTCCATTTCTTTTTTTGCAATTATTACACGATCAATATAATTTCATTTTGTTCATTGTCGTTTTTGTTTTGTTGGATCGATTTCATCTTGAATTCATTTCATCTTAATTGTCGTAAAGAGAACGTCTTGGCCAAAAATTTTAATTTTTTTTCTGTTTGTTTGACAAACTAGGAGATGCGCACCAGCAAGACCATTATCAAAAAAACGATACATTATTTTAATGATGTTCAATCGTAAAAAAAATAAATTGGCTGAAGGATAATAGTAATGTCTTCTTCTTTTTTATATAAATATCATCATCGAATATCAAGTATTGAATCATTTAATGATAATGATCTTTTCGATTATTATTATCATCATTTTTAATGATAATTAATGATGATGATGATACTTGAGAATGAAAAAGAGAGGAGAAATTATTTCAAAATCGAATGTTATTTCGTTTTCGGAATCGAATGTTCGAATGGAATATATTCTCGTATTCAGTCGTCCTATCATCTATGAACGGATTCTCTGTTGTTGATGAAAGCATGAAAAAAAACGTGTGCTGTTTTTCGGTTTTTTTAAAATTAATTTTGTTTTGAAACATGATTTTAACCACGGAAAATATCGAAATGAATAATGATGATCGTAAAAACGAACCATCAGTAACAAGAACAATCGTTGACGATGATGGACAACAATTATCATTTCGTAAAGTTGGTGGTTTTGATTTACTCGTTGATCGTCCATTCGTTACTGATGATCAACAATCATTATTAATAATATCGGGACGGAAAATACGTAAATATTTCATTGAGAATGGTAATTTTTTAGAAGAATATTATTTCGGTATCAATGCATCAATCGTTACTATACAACGAAATGAAAATCCAAATGAATGTTGGCTAGCATTCGAAAATGGTCATATAATTCAATGGAATTATTGGGAAAATTTTCGTATTAGTCAAATGAAAATTCCATCAATCGATCGTAGCCATTCATTAGTATATTATAAACGTATTGATAATATTTGTTATTTTGTAACTAAATTATTGATGAAAAAAAAGAATACTGTTCGTTATAAGCTACAATATTATTATCAAAATAATCCGGAAAATCAAATGTTAATTGATCGTTCGATGAATTTTTCGGGAAAATTTTCAACCAAATCAATTTCATTTTCATCCAACGGTCAAATCTGTGCTGTAATTAATTTAAATCAATTATTCATTTATGAATTACCGATATCATTAACAAGTCGAAAACAAATTTATAATTGTGAAGATAAAAACAAACATTTTACCGTAATACGATTTCATCCGATTGAATCGATCCTGGTTACAGGTGATACCAATGGCCAAATACATATTTGGAATGATTTATTCGCAACAAATCGACAACCAATAAAATCTATTCTACATTGGCATTCACAATCAGTTGCCGATTTAGTTTATTCACCGAATGGTACAAATCTTTTTTCAGTTGGTAATGAAATGGTTTTGGTTAAATGGAATCTGGTTGGACAAAATTTTGGTGAAAAAACATTTGTACCACGTCTGGGTGAAAAAATATATTTTGTAACTATGGACAAGAATAATGAATTTGTTATAACAAGTCATTTGGATCAATCCATTCAGATTATTGATGCAAAAATGAATGGTATTCGTACGGTTATTGAAGGTTTATCATTTTCAAAGGGAAATAATTTGTATCGTTCGGCGGTTGGTCTGCATTTTAATCATCGATTAGAATCGATTGCTATGAATGGTCGTATTGGTCATCTACAATTTTATTCACCATTTTATCAACGACAGCTATTTCAATTAGATATTACTGAACAAAATATTATTGCTGCACCAACAATTCGATCAAGTCGTTCAAGAAAACATTCTATTGAAGAAGTTGATAAAGACAATTTCATTCCCATACAAGTAACAAGATTAGCTATCAATGATGATGGTTATTGGATGGCAACCATCGAATATCGTAATGATGAAGAAACATCACCAGAAATTCGTTTAAAATTTTGGTTATTATTACCATCGAATAATGGTTTTGAATTGAATACCACCGTTCATTTACCACATGATGATGATATTAATTATATGGAATTTTCAACTTCAAATTCTTCATCATCATTGCAACAATCAAAACATCGAAAATTGCCATCCGAATTACATTTGGTAACGACAAGTCAAGATAAAACATTTAAAATATGGGATTTAAAAACGTCTGCTGTTGCTTCGGGTAATCGTAAACAATGGTGGAATTGTTCAAGACAAGGATCATTGAATAATAATTCCGTACCAAGAATGGCATCATTTTCATCCGATTCATCATTATTAGCTGTTTTATTTGATGAAAATCATTTGACAATGTGGGAATTGAATTCGAATGAATCGAATAATGATATACGTTATATACCACGTATGGATATTTTTGATATTTTCCATAATAATGGTAATGATGGTGATGATCAACAACAACAACAAAAATCAATCGAAAATAATCGCTATATAATCTATATTGGTTTTGGACAGAAACAATTTTCACATTATCTTATTGAAGGTCATCGTCGTGGTCTAATTGTTCGTAATGTTGTACGAAAATTTCAGAAAATTTTTGAATATAATATTCCAACCAAATGTAATGATAATAATGTATTACCAATCGATTCAATTGTCAAGGAACGTGGTGAAAATATTCTTGCTTTGATTGCATTGGATCGTATTCGATTTTTATGTCTACAACAACAATCAGTGGTCGCTTATGTTGATTTAGCAACAATGAAAAATTTTCGTGGAACAATTATATCATCGGTATTTTTGCCGTTAAAATTCGAAAGTGATAACCACGATGATGATAACCAAGATGATAGTGAATTATCATTCAAGCAAAATTATCTTTGTTTGACCGATCAAAATGAATTATTTCGTACCATATCATCACAAAGTAATACGGATGGTGGTAAAAATATCCTGGATGATTATTCTGAAACCATTATGGTTGGTACACAAAATGATTTACGTACCGAAACATTCATTCGAAATATTGATGATAATTATCGATCAAATAATTGTTTAGCAACATTGATGGCCATCAATGATGATGATGACGATGGATCCAACAAACAAAAATTATCAGATCGAACAACAAAATCAACATCGGAATTGATTAAAAAATATTTCTATCATATACCATCACATGTATTACCACCGGTTCATATTTTGGAAAAATCATTTCTTTCCGATTATCTTCAAACTTTACAATTATCATCATCGACGACGTCAAAGATTGATGAGAAAATTGATAATGAAAAAAAATCGAATAATGATGATAATTCAAGACAACAACAACCATCAGATGATAATCAACAATCTTTAATGACTTATGATCGAAAAATATTTGAATCAAATTCCATTATCGATGATAATTATGATGATGGTGGTGATAATCCAATAAAAAGTAATGATTTTTTCTGGCTAAATCAATATGTTCGATCATCATTGGTCAATAATGATGATAATGATCCTAAGACGATAGATGGCGCTACGACCGATTAAAATATTTTGAAATTTTGTAAATTTTTTATTTTTATTTTTTTAAAGATTTGTATTTTTCAAATAAATTCTATAATTAAATCAAACAGTAATTGAAAAAATTAAATATTTTACAGTGAAATTTTGTTTTTGTTTTAAAAATGGACATGATGTTGTTGATTCGATTTACGACGATGATTATCCGACGAGGATAATGATGATGATGTGGATGGTGATTGGGTTGATGATATTCGACAACTACTTTTTAATACAGATTTTGGTTGTTTTTGTTGTTGTTGCGATTGCTGTTGCGGTTGTTTTCCCATTGTTGTTGTTGTTGTCGTAACAGTTGTGATCATTTTTGTTGGTTTAATCGGCAACATATAATGTGGAATTTGTATTGGACTTTTTGTAACACGTGTTATTGTTGTTGTCATTTTTCCATCAGCCGAACATAATCGTTGTGTACGAACTGTACTTGTTGTTGTTGTGGTTGTTGATGGTAATATTGTTTTAGTTTTTGATGTTGTCGATGTGGATGTTGTTGTTTTATCATCATTATTATCATTTAAATCGATTGGATTATTATTTAAATCGATAACATCGATTGGATAGCGACAAAGACGATGTAAACGTGTAAATAGACCATGATTTGGTTGACATTGAAAATAACGTACTTAGTGAGAGAAAATTAAAAAAAATAAAATGATTAGAATTATTTTAAAAAACGTCGCCCACACATTAACCCAACACTTTTGCTTTAAAGCCAAATTCAAGGGGAACAAATTAATTTAAGCGAACAAACACTTTTTACCGAAAATGTTTTTTTTTATTATTAACAGGTGTCATTTATGAGAATAAAAAACATCTTTTTTTTGCTTTCTTCTGATAATTGATTTTGATTTTAAAAGAAGAATAGGAACAAGGTTGTTGACAATAAGTAATTATTATCATCATTATTTGTACGATAATCATTTTGTTTTTTGTTTACATCATCATCTAACAACATGCCGTTTATAGTTTTCAATGTGATGATTTTCAAAATAAAAAAACAAAATTTCCTATTTTAGTCAAGGTTCGAATCACATTTTGAAATGAAAATATGTCATTTTTTTCAGGAAAATTCTTGAAAAACAAAAACAAAACATCTTACCTCCATGCACTGAGCCATCATTTTTTCCTTCCGCTTTATCCAATACAATACCAGCCCATTCACCTTTTGCAAATTGTACATCACCAATATAGACAATATAACCAGGTTTAATACCTTGTACCCAAACACGATCACCGATCATAAATGAATCTGGATCATCACTGAATACCGAAGAAGTTGGTACGATTCGATTATATTTATTATTATCAATCATGTTCATATTTTGATGATGATGATTTTGATGTTGCATTTTTTATTTTCAGTTTCACAGCAACAAAGAACAAAATTATCACTAGGCAAAAAAAACAAGGAAGCATCAATCCGTCGAGGTCGTTTTTTCGAAATTCCAAAAACCAAAAAAACAGATCAAAATGAAGAAAATGAGAATCAATCGGTGAATCGAACAAACGAAAAAATGAAAAAAAAATTTTGTTCAAATCATCATTGACACCAAACAAACAAGCAAAATATCGAAAGTGAAATTAACGATAGAAAGAATGAAAAAGAAAGAGAAAATCTATATACATTCTATATATATAATTTTTTACATTACAATTTTGATATCACATAACCTTTTCTTTTCCTTTAATTTTACAAGTAGTAGTTATAATTATCATCAAAAATCAAAGAAAAAAAAGGAGATCGTTGTAGCCGCCACCACCACCATCGATCGTCATCATTATTTATTGTTAGATTCAATGTCGTACACCTGTCTTCTTTTTTTGTTTTTTGTTTTTTGGATGTTAAAAAAATGGATACATCAATTCAAGCAGGTATACAGGTGAGATTTTCCTGTTGTTGTTTGAATTTGATTTTCAAAAAAAAAAACAAAGAATTCTTTTTTACTGTGTAAAGAGAGCATTCTCTACAATACCAACGATGACAACGCCTTTCTCTCTCTCTCTTTATCGCTGGCTTCAAGAAAAATTTCTTTATTCTTTTAACTTTGATTGTGACAGGTGAAAACAAACAAACAAACATTGTTACTTCTGGTTATATTTTTGTTGTGTATTTCTTACAACAACAACAAGATTCTCTCAATGTTTTTCGATATAGAGACATCACTCATTCAATCATTTTGATGATGATGATAATGATTAATGATAATTATCATTAAATAGTAAAAGATCAATGTAATAATGATGATGATCATCATCATTTTGGATGGAAATAGGCTTTTGAATATTCATTTTTGTTTTGTTTTTAAAGGAAATCATTATCTCTTTCTCTATCGTAAGTTAGTTTGGTTGTCATCATCATTTAGTAATGGACTTTAGTTTTTTTTGTTGTTTTCAATTCCGAAACGAATTTATTTTTTTTCTTCAAAAATAGAGAATTTCTAGTTAATTGAAAAAAACAAACCCTTTCTATAAATGATTATTTTATGTAAAGAAAGGGTAAAAATCCCTTTTGCACTGCCGGACAACAGGTGTTTGACAATCGCTGATAATGATTGTGACCGATTGATTGATCATCATCATCAAACAAACAAACAAATCAATTTCCGTTTCAATGAAAATTTCATGCATCTAACATATAGGAGTGGTCTTGCTCACCCCACTCGAATTTTTTAATTTAATCTTAATTATGTTTTCTTGGATTGATTTCTTTTGATCGAAAAGATTTTTCTGCTCCGAAAGAAAGTTAATTTTCACGAATGTTTTATGTTTGTCATGATCATCATCGACAATTACCAAGTACAATTATTAAGCCAAACAAGCAAATGAATTTTTCATTTCGTTTCTATTCGTTGTTCAGATGCTGCTGACCAATTCAATTAAAATAATCAATTACACAGTGTGTGTGTGTGCGGAAAAGAGAAAATTCATTTCGTGTTTTGTTCTGATCTTCACAATTCAAAATGATTGATTGATTGTTCGATCAATCAATCAATGGCTGATCAATTAACTGAATGACAAGATGTTCTGAATGAATGTGACAATAATTATTAATGAGATTTTTGTACAAAACGAAATGTAAATAATGTCCAGGGTTATTATTTGCTTGAATTGTTTTCATTAGATGAAAAATGGAATCGAAATATTTATCGATCTAGCCATCCGATAGACACTGACCATATTTGGTGGTCATTATTATTATTTGGTGTTTTTTTCTCACTCAGCCATTCTTGAATGAATGATATTGTAAAAGAGAATTGGGTTTTTATTTTTTCTTCATTCAAAATCAAAATCGAAATCGATCAATCAAAAATCAAATGAATTGTGAATTTTATTTATTTAATGATCAATGAAACAAATATTTTTGATGATAATAAAAAAATTAACAATCTTCTTCCACCCCTGTACTTGTTAAATATTGTTATTGTTCGAGTATATAATGATAATAGTAATAAAAATTGCTCAATTTTTTTAAAAAAAAAGTGTGAAACACAATAGGTGTGTGTGATGTGATAATGAAATAAAAAGTGAGAAAATGAAAAATTATTCAATAATAACCATCATCATTTGATTTTCAATTTTTGTTTTGTTTTCGACATAATTTATTATCTTCTTAATGTTGGCATGATATTTTCCCATTTTTGAAATCAAGTTTTCATTTTTCAAACTAAAATAGAAATTGTTGTTTGGTTTATTCTAATGTAGTCTGACGACGTAATGCATAATGTGAATCTAATGTTTGTTTATATTTATGTTTAAATTCTGGTTTTGTAACCATCCAAACGACCAATATAGTAAATATGACCAATACAATGCCAAACATATTCAATAATATTGCTATCGATGGTAATGATGAATATCTTTGATTTGGATCAGGATTATTATTTCTTTGCGTGAGAAAAATTTATTATTGCAAATTCTTCTTGTTCACTCTATACTTACAAGCTAAAAATTGCCTTTTCAGTAATACCAATCGTACAAATACCGGCCGACAAAGCAATATTAGTAATACCACCAAATATATGAAAAGGAAGTGTTAATTTACAATAAACAGCCGATGCTTTTGGATAATAAAATGTTAAAAATGATGTAATAACACTAACGGTAACACCAACTAATGCTGTTATTCCCAACCATGAATGTAATGAATAAAAATGTGGTATATTTTTATGATAATGAAATATATATGCACTGGCCACACCGATCCATGATATAATAATAGCAAAGGATTGTAATATTAAATGTAATGTTTTCTGTTGTTTATAGCTCCAATTTTTTGCTGCACGATATGTCAAAATGCCTGAAATAGTAATGATAGAATGAAATAATGAATCATAATGAACAAAAACTATTTGGACAACAAAACATACCATTAGCATTACAAACTATCATGCCCAATGTCATACAAACAGGATGAAAATTGAAAATATTATCACCAAAACCAAATCCACCGATCTGTATCATCCATAATATTGAACAGACTAATAATATAATACCCAATATTTCAACAATAACTAAACATAACCAGAATAGATTATCCTGTGATAATGTTGTTATTATTGTATTGGCTATTGGACCAAAATGTGCTGCATCTTGATCAATTTGGTGACTACGACTACTATCAGTTTGATATTGACTTTGACGATAGGACATTATTATTTAGATGATGAAACAATGATGAGATCCTTTAATGATGGAGAAAGAAAAACGAACAAAATTGTTATTAGATAATTATTATTCGCACTAGTATGTTTGCTATGTTGTTGTTGTTGTTTTTCTCGATGATTGAATTGATGATCAATATTTATCATCATCATCAATATTTGCAAACAATTTAACACCATATTCAATGTCAAACACATGCACAAACATAGTGTAGCTTTGTAAAAAAGAAACATTTGATTTTGTATGTTTCAAACAAAAATACATACTATTTATGATCTAAATAGGGATGATGATGATAGATGTGATAAGACAAAACAAAATTTTCTTTATTGTTTCACCAAAAAATTTGATATTTTTTGTTTGTTGCCAAACACCGAAACCGAAAAAAATCTCCAATTTCTTTTGATCTGTATGATTATGAAGAATCTTCTTCAATTCAATGTTACAGTTTTTTTCTCACTGTTTATATGTTTATGGAGTAAATGGAAAAATAATTCAATCAAAAATCCAAATTCGTTATTGTTAATTTTTTTTTGATGTTTACATTATAACAACATTAACAACATTACTACCACCACCCATCCAATAATAATAATAACTGGTAATCAAACAATAATCAAACATTGTTGCTATAGTTTTTTGTTTTGTTCGATTAAAAAAAATATTCGAAATCAAAAGTGATGATGATATAATAATCCAAAGATTTGTGGTTGTTTTCTTTCGAATATTTGATGAAAGCTAGCTGCTACTGACGATGGTGGTGTTCTTCAGTTATGTTGATGATGATGATGATCGTTGAGATTCGATCAATGTCTTTTTGTGGTTTGTTTGTTTGTTTCTGTTTTTTTGCTTGTTTTTTTGTAATCGATATGCATGCAAAAGGTTTTTGGTTTCGCCGACCTCCGTACAAAATTACCAAAATAAAAAATAAAAAAACACATACCATTATTGTAGATTGATTTGATATTGCTCCATTGATTTGTTGATTGCATAGAGATGAGTAAACGATTATTTTCTTATTCTTGGCTTTTTTACCATAGTGTCTATATAATGTTTTTTTTTTCATCACCGCTAAGAAACATCTTTTTTTCACCAATAATTTTCTCAAGGCAATATTGCAATACACACATGTTGTGCATTGAGATATAATCATAATTTCATTATTTGCTACCATAGTGATCATCATCATGTTTCTTTCTAATATCTGAGATAATATCGAGGATTCATAACCAGTAAACAAAAATCCATTTTTTGTAACAAAAAAATAATTTCAGTTTAAGACAGGTATCGCCATCTTGTTGCAATTATTTGCAATATTTCAATCCAATGAACGATTTCCGGTTATTAATTGTTCACGAGAATTGGTTGTTGTCGGTGATGATGATGATGAAAAATTCAATAAATAATTAATAGAATCATTAAGATTATTATCATTTAGATTTGGTAATGAAACAACATCATTATAATCATCATCATTATCGATATTTTGATGTCGACGTCTAATTTTGGCAGGATGTTCATTATGGCTATCGATACTATGATGATGATCATCGATATCGTCGTCATCATCATTTTCATCGATTGTTGAAATTTTTTTACCATTCCTAGTGAATTTAGCCGTCATTGGTGAAACAATATCAGAGTTAGATGATGTCGATGGTGGTGGTTGATTGGATCGTTTATCTTCCGATAATGAAGAATGATATTGATTAAAGGGTGTTTGAATATTACGATTATTCAGATCAATCAGTTGTTGTTGTTCTTTATTATTGATTTTCAGCAAATTACCACTGTTAGCTGTCATCATACGACCTGTTCTTGTTAATGCTGTTCGAGCACGATCCAAACCATCGGACATTTCTTTGGCACGTTGATATTCTTGTTGTAATATTAATTCATTAGTAAGATAAGTATGTTGACGCATTTGTTGTCGTAATTGTTGCGGTACGTCTGGTATTAACCAACGCATCATAGATGTAACGGCAGCGATAATATTTTCAAATACAACAACAAACAAAAGACGAAATGCTAATAATTTATAATAAAATGATGTAAATTTATAACGAGAATTTCCTTCAGCCCATGGTGGTTCACGATAATCTGAATATAAACAATAGGTCAATTTCGATTCATCATAACCTAATTTCAAATGTTCGTTGACAACTTTAGCTTCAAAAAATGCTAATGTTGAATTAACATAACCGGTAAGTGCACCATGTTCAAAATAATAAATAAGCCGGGGAACGAATTCGGTAGTAAATGCAATAATCATTGCATTTGTAATGACAGATAATTTACAAATTGTATCCAATATTCGATACCATATTCCAATGTTTTTAACTCTGATATTTTGAAAAACAAAAATTAATTTCTATAACTTTTACAAATTAAATTGAATTACCTTTGAGCGACTGGTCTTCTATAAACAGTAATCATTTTTCTGGCATCCAAACGAATTTCAAAAACATTATTGATTAATGCAAATAATGGTGCTAATGGAAATGCTGACACAAAAATTGTTACAAAACCAAACTGGATAACCATTTCAAGATATTCATAGAATAATGATGTTGGTAGCCATCTTGTCAGTAGGAAATCTTCTTCCCATTGTGGTATATTAAACCGTGTTACACGATTACGATTATCACCTGAACGATATTTCCAACGATTAAACATATTATATGCAAATGGCATACATAATTCAATTGCAGCACTAAACATTTGACGACCAATCATAATGATACTCAATTGTATGGCAAGTTCCAACAGACATCCACCTGTGAATGACAAATAAATTGAATTTAATAATGAAAAAATAGAAATATTTTGTTTCTAAAAAATCAACTTACCAAATGCACATTCCTCTTGTGTCAATGATTCATCATCAAATTCACCGGGATTACCAATAAAACGTCCTTTAAAGAATGCAATATAAAATATCGATGAATAATAATTAACAAATTGCAATAAAAACATTTTCAATGTTAATGAATTATCGAATTCGGTTTGTGTACGTGGCATTTCTAATTCTGTTAAATAATTTGCAATTCTTGCATATAGATTATTTAATATCAGAATGAATATTAGATTCAATCCGGCAGCTGATGATGATACAACAATCGATGAATATTTTTGTAGAAAACCAATATTAATTTTACGAGATTTTCCTGGATTGACAGGTTTTTTAAACAAAATGAATGAACGTATTGTTGAACGATAAACAATAACTGAAACAACTGAGCCCATTGCAATGAGTATGAGAAAAAATACAATAGACGCTGATAAAACGGTATATGGTAATTGACGACGCCAAAACGGTATATATGGCTCATACATTCTTGTAATAACATTCAATCGTCGGTTGCTAACATTCGATAAACGTGCTAGATATTCTGGTCGAGGATATTCTTCAACAGCATCAAAATTTGATAAATCCCAACGATAAGTAATACGAGCGGAATATCGTTTCCACATTTCCAAATAAACAGTTGCCCATAATGACATAAATATAGCAAAAAATACTGTTGCTGGATTATCGAATAAATATGTTGCTTTGGCATAGATACATGAATCGGATACACGTGTAAAATTACAATCATGTGCGCATTGTGGACACATTAGGTAATTATCATAAACATTATTACAAATTTCCTTCGATGGTATATCTTTATCCAAAGTGAAAAAACCAAAAAGAAAACAAAGAACACCAACAACAGATGCCGGTATTAGCATTGATGTATAGAAGCCAAGCCAAGCAAAATATAGGGCAATTTTGACACCAAAATAATTTTTGATCTCATCCAATGGTTGATGATGAAATGCCATTTTGATTGATGCCCAATTCTGTATCAATTGCATGCGTGGTGAACGATAATCGGCATTAACTTTACCTTCATGTAATGGATATGCAGCAGTATAAACATGATCGGATAATAATTTATTGATACCAAATTCGGTAACATCATCCTGTTTGGTTGAAAAACTTTTGCGTTTCAATATAAATTCAATAACTTGTGCACGTTGTGCTGGTGAAAAGAATTGTTCCTTTTGTGGTGGTATATCGAATAGATATTCTTTATCTTTTGAATAAGGTGCTGTAAAACGCATCGAATGTACTTCATCATCATCGAACAACATTTTCCATGTTGTTTGCATTGTACGCATTGGCATTTTCAGTCGCATTATTTCCGCATATCGTGTTAGTACACCCCAAGATGCATAGATTTTTGTAAAAACATGTTGTGAATCATTTATTTCTTCTGCTTTTTCCAGATGAAGTCCTTCATCTTTTAAATTATACTATAGATTTTGGATAATGACAATAAAATTGATTTTTAAAAAATAAAATCAATCAATTGGCTTACCTCAAATATTGATCGATGTTGAATTTGTTCGAATTCTTCACCTTTTGTTTGATTTGGATGTAATGGTTTAGTGTGTACCAGTACAAAATCAACACGACGTTTGCCATCTTCAAAATAATGACTTAATAATGTTGATTTATTCTTCATTCGTTCTTTATTAATTTCTTCGGTAGTTTTTTCCACAATATTCAATGAATTTGTTGAACGTGATTTTTTATTCTCCTGTATTCGAGGAAATAGAAGATTATCCAATTCCGATAGACGTTTTATATTTAATTCTTCAAGAATTTCAGGTGATTGTAATAATTTGGTTGAAGCAGTTGTAATTGATCGATTACTATTACTATTATTATTATCATTTGAATCAATCGATATCGATGGACGATGACAATGTATTGGTGGTGTTGCCCATGTTTCAGATGTTGTTAATTTTTTTGATTGATTTAATCGTGAGGGTGCTGAATCATTTCGATTGATCGGATTCGATTGAAAATCTGTTGCTATATATGAACTGAATAGATCCTTACGATTGGCTATAATACGATTAGCTGAAATGTGAATAAAGAAACAGAAAAAAACGAAATTAAATCCAAAGAAAATATAAATCATCACTAACCTAAACCAGATGTGATATTAACATCGGTTGAATCAAAATGGCTGGTATTTGGCCGTTTTTGGCTATCATTTTTGTTGTTGGTTGTTGTTGATGATGGATTAAAAATTGTTTTCAAATCTGAATCAATATGAATTTTATGACAATGAAAATAATAATCATTCGATAATTTGGACAACTGATATGGATCAGAAATGAATAATGGTGTTGGAGATGGTTGAAGAAATGTCGATTCCATATTGATTGAATTTGGCTGATTGAATTGTTGATTGAATAATGTTTGAAGTTCTTGCTGTTGAAAAGCAATCGATATTGAATCCGGACAATCAGATTTTCTTCTTTGTTTTTGTTGAAATTCTTCTCGTTGTTGTTGTTGTTGTTGTTCAGTTGTTGAGTTTTGACAATAAACACGAGCCGATTTAAAACGATTCATTTCAATTCAAAAAAGAAACAAAACCAAACGTTTGAGCCAATCTCATTCAATCAAGAATGAATGAGAGATAAAACCATTTAAACATTTCAATCATCATATCAGGAAACAGGAAAAAGTTGATATTTTTCTTCGTCGTGTTTCTCGTTTTGTTTTGCTTTTTGTTGGAAAAAATCAACAACATTCAATTTGAAAATTTTTGTTTGATTTTCATTCAAATTTTCGTTTCATTTCGTTGTTGTCGTCAGAAGAAGAAAAATTTTTTCATTAAGGTAGATTATTATTTTCTTTTTTCATTGGAAATTCTTCTTTTCTTTGCCCTGATGAAACGGGGTCTAAATTTGTCAATTCAAAAAATACACGGATTCATTTTTTTCTGGTTCCCATATCGATGGTGATGAACGACGATTATTCGGTTGCCAAGACGAATTCATCAAATGACAATCCCAAAAAGGAAAAAAACAAATTTTCTTGGAATATTTCGATCGACTTTTATCATCATCATAAAAAATAAAAGTCACTCCAAAGTCAGGTAAGATCAATATTCGACCAAAAAGAACAAAAATCATCATTAAGATTCATGGCGTATGAGGAAAAAAAAGTTCAACAGAATGAATATTTTAGTTTACGATTCTTTTTCATTTCATTTTTCATGGTTAAATTCATCATTATAAACTATGATGATTGCGTGCCAACAAAAATAACTAAAAATTAAAATGAATTTTTTTTCCACTTTCTTAAGATTCTTGGTATTTGTGGATAGATCCATCATTATCGTCGCCATAGTGTTTTGTTATGATCATAATGATGATGATACAATTCCGAATTCATTTGAAAATGTCGAAAGGATCTTTTCGGAATAACAAAGAAAAAAGGTTAAATTTCAATTGAAAATTAATCGATTGTTCAAAATGAATACAATGAATTCGTCCTTGAATATGCAAAGCTATGGTAGAATCATGAATCAATAAATGTATATAATTTGAATAAATACCTTTTCATGTTTGAATATTTAGGTCTAGTTCAATTATTGATTGATCCATTTAAAGAAGGAAATCGATCAATTCTTTTTCTTTGTTTTGTTTCTGGATCAATCAATGAAACAAAGTTATCCACTTCGACACTGCCTCCTGCATTCGAACATTCGAATCATTTTGTTTATTTGACATGTACTATTTGAAAGGATCTTTGTGCCGGTTCCGTTTTATCGGGAAAAAATGATTTATTCTTTTGAAATGTTTTTGTTAATGAATCCAAAGTTTTTTTTGTTTAAACAATACTTTTTCCGATTTGTAATCTTTATAATAAAAAAAAGGTTTTGTTTGAAGAACAATTTGAATTTAGAAGCCAAACAAAATAAAAAAATATTTAAGCGCGCACACTTCATTTTTGACGAATGTTATCCGCCAAAAACAATGGTGTTATGTACTCTGCATGATTTTATCATCTGATGATAATCATCAGGTGACATTCACGAATTTGAATGATTTTTTCTCGTTTTGATGATGATCTTGATTTTTTTCGATAGATTTTACAATCAAAACAACAATAAAAAATGACCTGATTCATTCAATTAGTGTGATATATTTTGCTCAATAAATTTTTTTTGAAAAATAATACTCAAACAAAAATCAAAACAATGCGAAGTCGAAGCAATTCAACCGTACGTCTCGATTATTATCAGCGTTTAGTTTATAAAACTATACTCAATTATCAGGTTAGTTTTGTTGTTTGTTTTTGTGTAAATTTTCTAAAAGAAAATTTCTCAACAGAATCCTGTTACAGGTCTTCTACCAACACCAACAAGTCATCCATCATGTTTGAATCATGCATGGGTACGTGATAATCTTTATTCAATAATGGCTGTATGGGCATTAGCAATGGCATATAGAAAAAATGATGATTTTGATGAAGATCGTGCTAAAACATATGAATTAGAACAAAGTTGTGTCAAAATGATGCGTGGCCTATTGGTTGCAATGTTACAACAAAAAGATAAAGTAGAATCATTTAAAGAATCACAATCAACTTCGGATGCTTTGCATGCAAAATATTCAGCATCAACAATGTTACCAGTTGTTGGTGATAATGAATGGGGTCATCTACAATTGGATGCAACATCATTGTTTCTGTTAATGTTAGCACAAATGACCGCATCTGGTTTGCAGATAATATTTACATTGGATGAAGTTGCATTCATACAAAATCTCATATTCTATATTGAATCAGCATATTGTATACCTGATTATGGTATTTGGGAACGTGGTGATAAAACTAATCATGGTTTGCCGGAATTAAATGCCAGTTCTATTGGTATGGCAAAAGCAGCATTAGAATCAATGAATGAATTGGATCTGTTTGGTGGTAAAGGTGGTCCTTCATCGGTTATTCATGTATTACCGGATGAAATTCAAAAATGTCATGCCGTATTGGAATCAATATTACCACGTGAATCAAATTCAAAAGAAATTGATGCATCATTGCTGTCGATAATAAGTTTTCCAGCATTTGCTGTTGAAAATCCTAAATTGATTCAACAAACGCGTGAAGAAATTATTGAAAAACTTTGCGGTAGATATGGTTGTAAAAGATTTTTACGTGATGGACATAAAACTGCTATTGAAGATCCAAGTCGACTATATTATGAGCCATCTGAATTGAAAGCATTTGAAAACATTGAATGTGAATGGCCATTATTTTTTTGTTATTTAATAATTGATGGTTTATTTTCCGATAATCCTGATATGGTTACTGAATATTCTGAACGATTAGATGGATTATTGGTGGAAGTTGATGATTTATTATTAGTACCAGAAATGTATGCTGTACCTATTGATCTAGTGGAGGCTGAATATCGTCAACCACATTCACAAAAACGTATTTATACTGGTAGTTGTCCATTTATGTGGAGTCAATCATTATATTTGGTAGGTAAATTATTGCAAGAAGGTTTTTTACAACCAAGTGAATTGGATCCATTAAATCGCCGGTTATCAATGTGGAAAAAACCTGATATTGTTGTGCAAATTGTTGTATTGGCTGAAGATGAAATGGTCCAGGAACGTATGGCAAAATATGATATTAATATCCAAACGATGAATGAAATATCACCGATTGAAGTACAATCAGCTGAAACATTGGGACATTTATATTCATATTTGGGTAAAAATGATAAACTTGGCCTTTCGGGTCGTGTTTCACGTGAAGTTGGAATTCTATCGACAAGTAAATTATATTCATTATTGGATAAGATTTTTGTATTCACACCACAATCCCTGGATCGTTTCAATTTCTACACTGTTAATGATGTGAATCTTTTGGCTAGTAATTTTCGTCAAAGTATTTATATGTTGAAAAGTAATTGGCGTGAATTAGGTCGGCCAATATTGACAATAATATTATATCGACAATTCATATTGGAAAATGATCGTCCACCAGCAGCAATATTATCAACATTCAAAAAGATTAAAAGTGGTTATTTGAGTGGTACACGTGTTGTTTATGGAAATCTTTCCGATTTCCTAAGTACATCTTGTATAACAAATCTGAGTTTTTTGGCCAATATTGAAAAAGGACAACCAGATCAATTGAATCCATCGGTACGGGCGTTTTTAGAACGACAACTGTCGAAACCATTTTCACCATTATTTCGTATACGACGACAATCATCGGGGAAACGAAAAATCAGTGTTCGTTCAAGAAAATCCGCTATAACCGGTATAATTAAACGTACACGCTCAATACAAATTGATCAATATGATCCAGAATTGCAAAAATTACGCAATACATATGATGCTCGAATGCAACAAGAATGTTCGAATGTTTCATCATCAACAACACCACCATCAACGGTAGAAGAATGTTTAATGACTATGGATGATCAATATAATAATGATGAAACGATGATGATGGATCAATCTAATCAATTAGATAATCGATTACAAAATTTAAACAAATTGAATAAATTATCTGATCTTACCATAAATGAACATCTGACTGATGAAGAATTGATAAATATGTTCAAAGAAACGGAAATTCTTGAAGAACATGCTGACATTTTACATTATCTATTCTATAATAAGTAGGTTTTACAAATTTTTCATTGTTGAATTGATTTGAATTTTGACATTAGGAGTTTAGATTGGAAGACTGGAATCATATCGAACAATAATCAAATAATGACATTACGTGATTTATTGAAAGATATTTATGAAAAAGCATGTTCGGATAAAAAATGGGCATTAGTGCGGCATTCAGCAGGAATGTTGGGTAAACAAGGTGAAGATTTAGCAAAATCCGTTGCTGATTTATTGGTTCGACAAAAACAAATAACAGTTGGCATGCCACCACACTATGAACAAGCCATTACACGACCATTGCCTGTTAAAGAATTAAGACAAATTATTGATCAAGCACATTGTGGTGATCAAAGTACAGCAATGTTAACACATGAATTAATTATTTATTTATCAATGTTTATACGTACTGAACCACATTTGTTTGTTGAAATGTTACGACTGAGAATTGGATTGATTATTCAGGTGATGGCATCAGAATTAGCACGAGCATTAATGTGTGATGGTATCGAAGCATCTGAACATTTATTGAATTTAAGTCCATATGAAATGAAAACACTGTTACATCATATAATCAGTGGAAAAGAATTTACAATTCGTAGTGGTGAGTAATGATGATTTCTTTTTGAAATTTCCAATCAAAAATTCATTCATTTCAAAGCACGAAGTGGTCGAATATCGATTATAAATGACCGAATGTTAAGTCGTCGAAGTATCATAACCGATGATGGTGATGGTGATGGTATCGATGATATTGGAGAAAGTAATGCTGATAATATTGGTGGTGGTGCAATTGGATTCGAATCCGATCGTCATGGTCAATGGTTACGACGTAGACGGCTAGATGGTGCACTGAATCGTGTTCCAATTGGATTCTATTCTAGAGTTTGGAATTTATTAGAAAAGGTTTGAGATTTTTTCCGCGTTTTTTCTTGAAAATTCTTACTTGAGATTTTTTCAGTGTGAAGGAATCGCTATTGAAGGAAGAATTCTAATAAATCAATTAACACGTGAAATGACTGCCGGTGAATTGAAATTTGCATTACAAGCCGAACAGGTATTAAATTCAATACCACAACCAGAATATCGACAATTGATTGTTGAAGCATTAATGGTGCTGACAATGTTGGTTGAAAATTCACCAACAATCAATTTGGGAAATGTTATTAATGTTGAACAATTAGTACATCGTGCAAATCAATTATTTCTTTCGGATCAATTAGAATTTGGTGGTGATGCCATTCTTTGTTGTGCACATAACGATGATAACGGTAATGAACAATCATCAATGAGATATGATTGCTCTGGTGCAGCAAAAATATGTCAACATTTTTATGATAGTGCACCAAGCGGTAATTATGGCACAATGATCTATCTAATACGCTCAACAATCGAATCATTCGATTGTTTTTCCAATCATGATTCATTTGATTGTAAAATTCAATGAAAATCTTTCTTTCCCTTCCAGAAAACCTCTTTGCCATTTCCACTATTAGTTAGAGTTTCTTTAATTAACAAACAAAAATTAATTAAAAGTATCTATTTCAAGAAAAAAGAGTCAAAATCTTACCGGCTGCTGTTTAAACATAATTTTTTTTGCAAGTTGTTAAGACAACAGAAAAAAACTTGTTGCTCATCCATCCATCCATCCCAAAACACCAGATATGGAGATCATCTTTTTTTACAGCAAAAATAACGATCAAATCAGTGTGACTATAGTGAGTTTATTGATGATGATTTTCAACGATGATAAAAATGTCGTCGTTGTCATCATCAACAACATTGTACAGAAAAATGGCTCTTTTTTACCCGTTTTTTATTATTATTCCAAAGATAATCAACAGGGGAGAGAAAAAGAAATCGTAATTTTCATTTTTTGATTAGAATCAATATTAGTTATTGGAATTGCTCTTCTTTCTCTCATGATAAATTCAAACAAAAACATAAAAAGTTGGAATTGAAACAGGAAGGTTAAAAATTTCGAAAAAAAATCGAATTACGAATATCGATAGTTTCGTTCATCATCAAGCACCGTGTACACACATACCGCGTTCGTGGCCGCCATTTGATCGCAAAAACAAGAAAAATCAATGTAAATCGATTATGTGTGTGTTGAAAATCTGTCTGCGTGTATATTGATGATGATGATGATGATTTTGAAATGTTATAGTAGTGGTATAGTTTCACAAGCCGGCATCCGAAAAAAAGTTGCTCAATCACATCATATTTCTTTTTTGTGAGAGAAGAGGGTTATGAAGAAAAAAAGGCGTGTAACTCACTTGATTTTTTTCTCTTTTTCTTCTTTTTCAAAATGTGCTACTACTTATGGTTGTAGTGGTTCATGCGAAAGAAGAAAAAATTAGCATAAACGAAAAAGTAGTAGTAATGATGGAAAAGGAATAGCCGAAACCATGTTTACGTTAACAAAATTTTTTCCCAGCTCGCTCTCTCTCTCTTTCACTCTAAAAAATATGCTACGTTTGCGTTCTTGCTACGTGAACAACGTTGTAAACGTGCGGATAAATTTTTTTTACATGATGTGAACTCTGCGAACTTGGAATATGCACACAGCACACCGTATAATTCCATCTTCCTCCTCACAACTAGAAATGATGAGCAACAACAATAATCAATGCCACTACTATACGGAAAAAACACACGTTCGAATTGATTAAAACAGCATTGCCACATTTTCTTGATCGCATCATCATCATCAAATGAAAAGAAAAAAAATACATCCACGACGAAACAAAAATATTAAAACAATAAATCCAATCTAAAACAAAATAAGAAAATTCATCATTTTTTTTATTTTTCAATAAGAAGAATAATTGAACTTTTATATTTTTTATTTATTTATTTAATTAACAATCAAAAAACTGAAATATTTTTTTTGCTAAAATTTCAATGTGTGTGTGAAAAGCTCAACGCTCAAAATCAGAAAGAAAAAAGAAACAAACCAAGAAATCATCGGCAAATTTTGAAATTGAATCTTTCCGAAAACATAAAATTCGATTAGTGTGTGTGTTCAACATATTTTGTTCAACTAAAAAGAATTCGATTCGATTCGATTAAACAAAACACACGCACACCATCATAATCTGTTGATATTTTTTTGATACAAACGGAAACTAATTGGATTTCCGTTTCAAATTTTTTTAAAATATACATACAAAAACAAAGATCAAGATTCATCATTATTATCATCAAATATCCAATTTTCAATAATGATAATGTTTCTGTGTGTGTGATGTGCTTTGATGAATGATACACACACTCACACAAGCAAGCACATTGAGTCACATTTTTGTTTTGTTGAATTCTTGGTGAAATTGTTTTTTCTTTTCAATAATAATTGTTATATGATGTTTTTTTCGATGTTAATAATTGAAATGAATTTGACTCATCAATGACTGAATGTAAAGTTCGATCACACGCCAAAACTATGAATGCATTCGATTAATAGTAAATTGTGTTTTGCGTGTGTGTGTGTTGTGTTTGTTGATTTTTGATTGTGTGAGTAAACTCTAATATCCATAATAATTCGAATTCTTTTTGAAGATTTTTTTAGCGTTTTTTTCCGTAAAAATTTTTCAAATTTGTTTCTCATCTCATTATTATTAATCGGTGTGATTCGTATTTTTCTACAGAAAAAGATTCCTTTATTCTAATATATATTGAATTTGTAAATATTTTTTTTTCATTGATCCGGTTGAATATTAACACTGAAAATTTCATTTCAACAACAAAAACTTGTGTCTGTACAAGCCATTTTTGATTATAAATTGTTGTGAGCTTAATAAATTATTTTCTAATTGGCAAAAAAACAAGATAATTTACTCGTCAAGTGGAACAAAACGGTATCTAACTAACCATTTATTGTTGAAGACGTTTTTTCACTAATAAAATGTTTCTTTCTGTTCAGGATTCCATCGAATTTTGTTTTTTATTTTTTTTCTTGGTTACAAATTTGATCAAATTGATCAATTTTTATAATAAATGAATAATAATGAATAGCAACCAAAAGTCCATATCAAAACATCGAACCGGTGGTGGCGGTGGCCAATCACAAAGGTAAAATTATTGATTGATATAAAAATTGATAATTTGTTTTGACACATAATATTTTTCTTTGTAGTAATCAACGAAATGATTACCAACGATCAAATCAAGATCGTTATCAATCACATGTAAGTATAGTTTATTTTGTAACCTTTTTGATGATGAATGCATGAGCTTTATTTAAAATTTAACACACATAAGTCATTAGATAGGAAATAATAATAATTTGTTTAATTTTATTGGAATAATAAAAGGGAATGCGAGCAAATAATTCTAATGTATCACAGGCATGTATTAATGCTGCCGCTATGAATACAGCAGCCGCAATGCAAAATTCAATGGGTCAACCACAATTAATGCGTAATTATGCACCAAATCAAACACAACCGGCATTGATTGGTCATCAGCCAACAAACATACAGATGAATCATTTGAATCAACAACAACAACAACAGCCAACTGGTGGTGTTGGTGGTCCAAACGTAGTTTCATCACAGCAAGCTATGTCCGGCATGATAAATGCAGCTGCTGCTGCTGCAGCTCAACAACAACGTTTTCCACCATATTCGGTTACAACGGCACAAGCACAACCGCAACAACAGCAGCGAATACAATCCAATCATCCGAATTCGAATCGCCAATCATATAATCACCCGATGCGTGCTGGGGCTGGTGGTAGCGGTGGCGGTGCAAATAATACGGGTGCTCAAAGTGGTGGTAGCCATATACCTAATCATCATCATAATAATATATCATATACGACAATTCCGCCTTCAGCTGCGGCTTCGATTCCAGGTTTTACATATGCGGCTGCACAGAATCCAACATATTATCATCCTCATCACCATCCTGGATCATTTCATCATCAGAATCAATTTTCGATGGCGACTCCTGTTCAACAAGTATGTTTTGTCTAAGGATTTGAAAATTATATTCATTCATTTTTTATGTTTGTTATTTATAGATGCAATACGGTTATCCACCTATGTATTATTTACATGATTGTATGTATTTGAAATTATGTATTCTTTTTTCATTTTCCAATAATGATAATGATTATTATTTAGATTCAAGATATCCATATATTCAGAGTAATTTGCCGCAAGCTGTACCAGTAGCGACATCAACCGATTTAAGTAATCAATCTACTGGTGGATCATATAAACCAAATGATGTTCAACATCATCAACAACAACAACAACAGCCAGGATCTGCTGGTCAACAACAGCAACAACAACAATTGCAACATCAACAACAACAATTACCGATGCCAATACAGCCACAGCCAATCAAACAACAACGTGAAAAAAGACCATTAGAAATATATGATGAAAAAGGGGTTAAAATGGATCTAGTTCAATTGGCATCAGAAGCGAAAAATGTTTGTTTATATTTATTTTTTAAATTAGAATTATTTATAATGATATTATTATTAATAATGTAGAAACCTGCGGTTACATCTCAAAGTAATAATAATAATAATGATACTCCAAATGTTGTTGATAATCGATCGAAATCGGAAAAGAATGTGGATAATTTGAAAAAAACTGAATTGAACGGTCCGGTTAAAAATGAACATAATGATAAATCACTGAATACTACCGTGGTTAGTAGTAAAAATGATGATAAAACTATCGGTGATGATAATAATGAGAATAAAGGTCATGATAATTCTCTAACGTCAGTTGTTGCTGATAGTAAACCAAATGAAATACAAAAACAACAACAGACAACGCCAACCACACCATTATCATCATCGGAATCATCCGTTGCTGGTGATGGTCATCCAAACAAATCATCCTGTGATATGAATAATGAACCGACGATATCATCAACATCAACTGCTGATTCATCATCATCATCATCATCTATTCTGAGTGATTCACAAAATCAATCAACGATTAATGTTGTTGATGAAATTACCGAAAAAGTTGATAAAATGGTATTGAATAATAATAATGATGATGATAATTCAACAACATCAACTATGGATGGGGATTTTGTTAAAGTTACTGGTGGTGATGGTGATAATGTCGTTGATGGTACTGCTGTTGCTTCTGCTGCTGCAGCCGCTGTTGTCATCGATGGCGATAATAAAGAATCTTTAGAAATAGATTCTACTACTTCAAATGGTTCGTATTATTTTTGTTTTTTCCTTGTTGTTCATTTTACTTTATAAGAATTTCATCATCGACAAAATATAGATGCACTAGTATAGTTGATATATATGATATGTGTATGTTGTGTTCTTGTATGTAAGCTTTTCTTTCAATTCAATTCATTCATTACCGATGATGTTTACTAAATTTAGTTTTTTTTGAAATCATATCTTATTCTCATGTGGTTGTTGATTTCGATTTTTGTTTTTTGTTTATTTCGTTTTTTAGATGTTGATTAGGTTAAACGTTTTAGTTATTGCTATTTTTTCGTTAACTTTTGAAAAACGTGTTTGTGTGAGTGTTTGTGCGGAAATTTCGTGCTTCGATTTTGTTTTCTAAATCTAGATTGAATCTTGATTTTTGTTTTTTAACCCTTTTTCATTATTGATTTTTTTCTTGGAATATAATCAATTTGTTCTTGTTAAATATTGTTTAGATGAAAATAATAAATCATCAAAAACCGTACCCGTAACAACAAAAGACGTTGTTGAAGAATTGTCGTCAAAAATTCATCAAACAACACTAAATACGACGGGTGATATGGAAAGTAGCTTTGAAATTATTGATCATATTAACACTACACCGTCTGAAGCGTCAACACCGACAAATACTAGTACAATTAGTGCTGCGGCTGCCGCTACTGTTGAAATGCCAATTGTCAATCATGATGGTAATAGTAATAATAATAGTCGTGATGGTACACCAGAATCATTATCATCCAAATCTAAATCGAAACCAGCAAATATTGTTGGCAATAAAGATGCTGCTGCTGCTGCTGAAACAGCTGCAAATAACAAATCAATTGTGATCGATTCACGGCAATATTCACGTGATGCATTATTGCAATTACGATCAAATGCAACCGAATTGGATTTAACCAATTCAAACCAGGAGAATGTTCGTGACATTATTCGAAAGGTATTTGATTGGTGTATGTTGTTTTTGGTTACTAATATTTTTCATTTTTGTTTGTTATTGAAGCCTTCTCAAAATATACCGGATATATTGTTTCCAATGTATGCCCAACAAAATCGTTCAATGAATGATAATACATTACAATATCGCAATAAATCAATGGTTTGTATATCAAAATGGATTAGATTCGGGTATTTTTAATCAAATTTTCCTCTACTTTTAGGTACAACAATCAAGACGGCCATCACAACCATCAAGAAATTATTCGGATCAAAAATCACGTAAAATTATGTCGACATCATTACATTCGGATTATCCAATAAATTCGGATGAATGGCGTCCGGGAAAAATACAATCAAATGATCCGGCCGAAATTGAAACAGCAAATCTATTGAAAACTGTTCGTTCGATATTGAACAAGCTGACACCACAAAATTATCATACATTAGTGACACAATTTAAAGCACTGAAAATTGATTCAAAAGATCGTCTTGTACGTGTTATTGATTTGATTTTTGATAAGGCTGTTGCTGAGCCAGCATTCATTGTACAATATGCTGGATTTTGTTCCGAATTAATACATATAAAAGTGAATGAAGAAAATGATCAAAATAATAAAATTGAACAGGTGAAATTTAAAAATTTACTCATCTCAAAATGTCAGAAAACATTTTTTGATGATATGTATTCGAATATCAAAGATCTAATTGAAGAAGTGAAAACAACTGAAGATCCAGAAAAACGTAAAGTATTGGAAGAACAATTGGAAGATGAAAAAATGCATGCACGTAAACGTTCAGTTGGTAATATAAAATTTATTGCCGAATTATTCAAGATTAATATGTTGAATGCATCGATTATGTTCAGTTGTTTTGAATATTTATTAAAACATTTTATCGATCATAATCATGAAGAATATATCGAATGTCTTTGTGCCTTGATCACTAATATTGGTCAAAATTTAACCGAACAGATAAGGATTAAATATCCGGATCACATTCCAAAATTTGATAAAATATTTAATCAATTGGAAAAAATTTATAATGAAGAATTGGATGCTAAAGTTTCACCACGTATTCGATTTATGATTTTGGATCTATTAGATTTGCGTAAAAATCAATGGATACCACGAAGAAAAACTGAAGGACCTAAATTAATAGCACAGGTTCATGCCGATATGGAAATGCAACAACGATTGAAAAATGAATCGGCAAATGAAATGAAAAAACGTCAGAAACAACAACAACAACAGCATCAACAACATCAATATCAAAATAATGGTAACTTCATTTTTTTTGATTGATTTTAATTTGTTAACCAATTTTTTGTTGATAATAATTAGCTCAAAATAATGATGAATGGCAACAGGTGAACAAACGTAAATCACATCATACAAATGTACCAACGAAAAATTTAAATTTTGCTGTTTTTAGAAACTTTACGGTTAGTTTAGTGATGTGATGATTGAATTTACATAAATCATTATATATTTTATTTAATCAAATTTTTTGATGAACAGAGTTCAAGTGGAACAAAAAATGATCAATCCAATTCTTCATTTTCCATGTTTACATCTGGTAGTCATGGTGGTTCAACATCCGGCACTCAAAGTCGTTCATCATCGACAAATTATGAGAATAAAAATTCCGGTTCTTCATCCAATGATAAAAATCAACGGTATTTTTGTTTTTTTTTGCTGTTTTAAAATAATTTTAATTTATATGAATTTGAATCGATATAGTACCTTCCATGATAGCCTAAATGCCAAGAACTATCCACAACGTGGTCGTGATGAACGTAAAGTTTCGGATGTAACAAATTATAATTTGGATAAACATCATCGTAGTGATAGTCAACAGTCGTTGAAATCATCATCATCAATAACGGCCAATTTATCGCCAACACCTCGATCAGATTCAATGGATAATTTACGATCTACTAATGTTAATGTTATGCCGGATTTGGATCCTGTACAATTTCAATTAAAAGTTGATACAACATTGAAAAAATATCTGGATAAACAAGATTATGATGATACTTATAAAGAAGTTCAATCGTTTTGCTCAAAAACAAAATGTGCCGATTTTATTGCGGAATCAATATTGTTAGCGATTGATAAAACTAGTCAAAAATGTAATCCTCGTGAACGATGGGGACAATTTTTGGGTCAATTTTTTTGTTCATCATTCTGTGAGAATACGGATATTTTTGAAAGGTTTGTTTTTTTTGGTTTCCTTGTTGTGAATGAATCTGAATTCTATTTACTATCAAAAAAACAGTCTAAAAACCGTTTTCGCTCAATATGAAGATATTAAAATGGATTTACCAAATTTTTTTCAATTTGTTGCCGAAGTGATTGCCTATGCATCATTGATTATTTATGAAAAAGGTTCTACAATAGGACTGAAAAATGATATAATGAAAGCTGTTGAAAAAGCATATAATGAAATTAGTGGCAGTGAATGTGCCTTATTTCGTGATCATTTATTAAAATTAATTGAACAAAAGGTATGTCGAACAATGAAAAATGATGAAACCATCCACTAATTAAACAATAAATTATGATTTTTTTCCTAGAATAAACAATGTTTTAGCGAAATGAAGCCATATTTTCATTCAGCACAGCATGCCGAATTGGATGAATATAATAAATTAGATGAAATAATTGATGAATATATGGTTTCAGACGATTTAGATCAATTAAAATTAAAGATAAAGGTATCATGGCGGTGTTTATTAACTCTCGATGCTTATCAACTTTTTGTTTTGTTTTTTCTTTCAATTAGGAAAATTTTTCCAAAAGTGAAAACGACGAAAAATTTAAATGTGCCTTATATTATAAACCTTTATATGCTTGTTTCAAAAATCATCAAAATTCTGTGAATGATAATGGTAATAATTAATTGATTGATGATAATTTTTTTTAAATTTATTATTATTAATAGCCACATGTAAAAAATTGGACAAAATCAAAAATCTTATAAAATCATTTGTCAATGATAAAAATGATGAACTTTTATTCCTTGCAAAATGTGAAACATTATTTGTTGATTTAAATCATCCACAAAGTAAGCAAAATTCGTATATTCATTCATTTTTTTCTAATTAACTTTTTGCCTATATTATAGAATTATTATTCGAGATATTCACTTATCTACATGATAATAAATTGATTCAAAATGAATCGTTTTTACATTGGGGAGAAAGTAAAAAGACAAGTCCAATCGCACTAATGAATGTTCAAAGGTTTATGGAAAATTTAAATAAAAAATAATGAAACAACAACAGCAAAAAGAAAATGTGTTTCCTTCATTCAATTTATTCATCATCCATCAGTAGTACATCATTATCGTCATCTTTAATTTTTTTGTTTGTTTGTTTCAACGCTAATAATCAGATCATTATAGCCTTCAATCAACAACAACAACATCATTTATTTGTTGGTGTGTTTTTAGTTTTTGTTTGCTTGGTTTCTATCAAATTAATAGCAATACAACTCTTTGACATTGTTTATCCCTCCCCAAACACCATCATCATTAATGTTATTGGATTTTTTTAACAAAAAAAAGATTTCTGATTCACATCGAAAGAAAAAGAATGTTTTTTTTAATATCCAGGCGTGTGATTTTTTTCTTCAAATCCTCCTCATCAATATTTTTCAATACTAAGCAATAGTTTTCTGTTTTTTTTTCAATTTTTAATGATCGCTGATAATTATTGGATCAATTCTTTTTTTGGCCAATTCGGATTCCGATCCGATACAAAACCATACTTAGAAAAATAAGCTATAAATGTTGGTTTTTTGTTTGTTTTTAAAAATTATTATTATTATATAACCGCTCCTAATTAACCATGCTACACACACTCACACATTATGTTGTTATTTTGGAAAAGAAAAAAAAATTATTGATCAACATTGAATCTGTTGAATGGATTTTTATGAGGCACAAGACCAACAAACAAAAAATCACGATTACCTAACACGCTCATTTAAAATTTTCTTGCATTTCTTTTTTGCTCGTTCCAATATATTAATGATGATGATGATAATGAAATGTCATAAAGTTAGTAATTTTTCCCCCTTTATTATTATATTATTATTATAAAATATGATTATTCAAATTTTTTTACTATAAATTATATATATTACTAATCTATATGATGAAATGATTTATAAATTCAATCTGCCAATTCAATGAATGGTGATGAAGAAAAGAAGAAAATTTTTTCCTTTATCATTATGATTGTTTTTTTTTTTGAAAATATAAATACTAATAGTAATTTATTTACAAATTTTCAGTTTTATTTCGTTGATTTTTTTTCATTTCTTATTCTCATTCTGATTAACTTTACCATTTTTTTTGTTTCTATTGATAGTATTTCTTTTGTTTGTGTGTATCTAAAATAATCTATATATTTATTCTTGATATTTTCTTTCTTTCTCTTTATCTCTTTTTTCTTCTTCATTTGGTTTTCAACATGATAATTTTTTTTGTTCACCACTCATCAATTATATTTCAATCTTTGCTACAGCAGTAGTGTCTTAACACACACATCATATTCATATTCATTGATCAACATTATAAATCTGCAAAAGATCCATTGTATTTTCGTCCTTTTTGGTAAGTTTTTTTGTTTAAGAATTTTTTAAAATAGAAAACCAATGTTTGATGATGAAAATATTTCAAATCGTTCAAAATCATATTTTTTATATTGATGACAAAGTTGAATTCCTCGTTTCTGATTCTGTTTGTTTGATTTTTGAATAGCAAATAACTTTATCCAATCGAATTTTAATCAAAGTTTTCAATTTTTTCTTTTTTCATACACTAAACAGATGCATCTAATGGCATACTAATGGACGTATTCTGATTTTATTCATATTTACTGCTGTTTCTGCTGCTTAATTTCACTGATAAAGAGATTACAATGATGATGATGACAATGACAATGATGGACGCATCATATTCGAAATTTTTGGATTGTTTTTTATGAATTTTGAAAAAATTTTCCGCCTCAAAATTGATGAGAGATGTGATTTCTAAATAATTAATTATTAATCTTTGTAAAATTCAATTTTTTCTCTTTCTCTCAATCTATAAATCTTTTTCATTTTTCTTTTTTCTTATACTTTTTTTTCTTTGTCAAGACTTAAGTGTCACTTATTTTAAGAAAAAAAATTTTATTAATCAGATGAATAAATGAAATATAATTCAATAAAATGATGAAAATAACTTTGTCATTCTTTTATCATTCTAAAAATTTATCGTTTCAATCAATTGAGAATTTTCATCGAGATCTAGATGGCAACACTGGTTCTAAAAATCTAAGAAAACATTGGAAATTTTGTTGCCTTCTGCAGTCCAAAATATAAAAAACCAAATGATGATCAAGGTTGATTATTTCATTTTCCATACTGTATTGCATAAATGGGAAATGGGTTTTCTTTGGCTTGGTTTCTTTTCTACTTTTTTTCAGGTCATATTCTCATTGTAATGCATGGTGATCGGCATTGCAAAAGGAAGAATGATGGCCATCAATCGCTGTCAAGTATCTATCTTATGTCACCGGATTCGCAATCATCGTCGTCGGCGCCTCTTTTGTGTTTTTGATCAGGATCATGTAGAATGAACGACAAAATCTTAGCACTATTTCTATTTGTTTAAATCTCCAAGTTTATGTCGCAGACATAATAATAAATGTGGAAATAGAGTTGGCAGAAAACAAATTAATGATAACGAAAGAAGCCAATGGACTTGACCGAAACGATAACAGCTAATCTTCCGACAGGAAGCTCAACGAAATTGTCAAGTCGCCATTTCCATTTGTCTTGAAGTTTGCTGAGTTGGAGAAATATAATAGTTTTCCATTGAAATGAACTTAAATGTTTTTGTTTTATTGTTGGTTTGCGATTAGCAAATTTGTATCCGGTGAGTGGTTATCTATTTTCTAGTTACATTCATATGAATGATTTGTGTCAATTTTGTTTTGTCGATAACAAAATAGGCAACAGACTGCTTGTCGCTTCTAAATGTATACTGCAGATTAATCAATTATTGGGCGTATTGTACACAGGCAAACAATCTCTAATTCCTGAGATTATTTGATTAATAAGGAACATTTTTCTTATCTTTTGTTTGTAACACAATGATGGTGATGATTGTTTATTAGTGGATTTGATTTGATGAATGGCTATTGTATTGATGATGTATGGATTGTTTGAGAGAAAACACAATCAAAAAGAAATCAAGACAAACACAACTTGTTGATGTCGACGATGAAAAACAATGGAATCGTATCTTATACGGAACAAAAAAAAATCAATATCAAATCAAATCATAACGATAATTGTTTTATTATTATTATCATAATTATAATGTCAAGATGAATGTCAATATAGCAAAAAAATGAATCAATCAATCAATGGAATTGAAGAAAGAAAGAAAAAATTATTAATTTGTTTTTGTGTCCTATAGAAATGATAATGATTGAATGAATGAATGAAATGGCTGGAATTGATTTGAAATTGACATAAGATTAGTATAAATCTGGAATGAAATGAATGAATGAATGATGTTGGTATGTAAGTTATAAATAAATATTTGTAACGAAAAAAAAGGATATGTCCTGATGATAATGATGATAATCTTTTTATATATTGACAATGTGCGTTTGTTTTGTTACACAAAACTTGTAATTTGTCCCGTTTTGTTTTGTCAAAAAAAATGTTTACTTATGATTTTTTTTCGGGGAATAACAACAATGAATTGTGCATAATGGAATGATGATGTTTGTTTGTGGTAGAGGTGGGGGCGAGAAATAAAATAATAACAATTAATTCTATAATATTAATTATTTAGGGGGTGAACAAAAAAACCGGATCGGATAATCGATAATCGTTATTTGTATTTTTTAAAGTTTTTTTGTTTTGTTGGATATAACAAGTATGGATAATAATGATAATAATATTTAAAGGGAGTGCAACAAACAAACATTATATATTATTGATTTGTAGAAAAAAAGGGTGAGATTTGATCAATTGATTGATTAAAATATAAACACAATTGGAATAAATCGGGTGATTAAAAATTGAAATTTGAATCTTATAATTGATTTGATTTGATCTGATTTCTGAATTTGAATGTCCATTACGAGACTAGTCTTTGTACACTCATCGCTGCTTAATATCGCTGATTTTGTTGAAGAGATTAAAGATTTGAAGTTGTGCCTTTATGGTGTGTGTGTGAGAGAGACTTAGATGATTAGAAATGACTGAATGATGATAATGATGATGACGGAAGGAAATAGAAATAATTTATTTAAAGAGGACTAGTTGGATGATAAAAGAAAAAGTGGCAAAAAATTATGTCCATTTCGATGATTGTTATAAAGTTGAAAAAAGTTAAATAAACATAACTAGAGTTTTGGTTTGAAGGTTGAAAATGATCATTCTAATTGTTCCATGAAATTTGGATTTTTAAAATATTCGGGTACATTATCATCAAGACGTGCAATCACTTTATAGATAGCTTTTTTCCATGATTGTTCAGTATCTTTGTTTTGTTGTAATGATTTGAAAAATTCTCGTAATGTTGTTTCGCTTACTGAACGGAAATTTTCTGGAATCTGTTTTTTGGCAATATTGATTGGAAAGAGAGAGAAAGAGGAAAATGTCATTTTATGGATAATGAATGGCTTGAATTGATTGATTGAAAATGAAAAACTTACCGCAATATGATTACTACGATTATAATGAAGATTAAGTACACGTAATAATTCACAATCATCAGTAACATGAAGATCATCAGCACTTTTGATACCTTCGCTCAATGCTTGTCGAGCATATTTTTCCATTTGAATATAATAAAATTCACTACAAGGAAAAAACAGAGAAAAATCATAAAATTAAAATGGATTTCAACACTATTTTTTGGTAGGGGATTATTTTCTGGTCAACATTGTCCAACATTATCATTATTATTACTGCTGCATCCTATGAATGTCACCTTTTGATCAAATATAAAGACATATTTCCGCCATCTGAGACAACAACAACAAACGTCTCTCAAGACGTCGGGTAAGGAAGTGAAAAGATCTTGTTCAAAAAGACAAGAAAGAGAGTAGGGCTCAACTAGGCCAAACCAAACAGCCAAACAATAGCCACATACCATACATAAGGCTAGCCTCGAACAACAACCAAAATACAAAACAAAAGCCAAGACGGTCTTTATTTTGGTTTGTTTTTTGATTGCACATTCTTTCAAAACATTTCAAGCGTTGGTTGTTGTTGTTGATGATGACAATGGATATGAAGAGAGAGAGAAAAAAAAGGAAATAAGTCTGCTGCTTTTGCAGCAATCTTTACAGCAAAAAAGAAAAACATCTTTCAAAGTTTTTTAGCTAAATCGATGGCTGCCTAGGTTGTCAAGGAAATCCAAAAAAAGAAAAAAACCGAAAACATAGGCAACAAACACACATTCCAGACATAAGTCACCAGGTGCTTCAAGATGCAGATGCGCTTTCATCTTATGGATGATTTTTTCATTTCTTTTCTTTCAACCAAAAATCAAGTCGGCTTAGCTTCAATCTGGTGATGATGATGATGATGGTGACCTTTTCACTTTGTAGACTTTGTCCTTTTTTGTTTTCCTTCCTCACATCCCTTTTGGATATTAAGACGAAAATTTTAAAGCAAAACTTTCAATAAGAGAGAGAGAGAGAGAGAAAAGAGCAATAACCCTTTTTTAGAGAAAAGGTTGTTTTACATATTATTTCATATGAAAAATGTGTAAATGACCTAATGGCAGTAAGTTAGTTAAAGTAATTCAAATATTCATTCACATTCATCTCTATAGTCAAAAGGTCGTAGTCTAGGATATGGTGGCAAAATATGATGAGCAAGCAAGCATAGTTTAGCTTGCTTCAATCCTTAATTGGTTTGATTGATTAATGTCTTTTTATGTTCACATTGCTGGGTTAGCTATGTGATTCTTAGAATCGATTTACGAAAAAAAATGTAATCATCGTCATCATCATTGAGACATCGACATGAAGAGAGATTCTCATCGTCAACATTCTCTTTATTGGTTCATTTCTCACACTCACATCATCATTTGGTTCAAACAGTTACCATTTGACCGAATGAACAAAACCAAACAACAGAAAAAAAATCGGTTGTAATTTTTCGTTTCGTTTCGTTTCATTTGAAGAAGAAAAGTAAAAAAAGTGAAAACTGAAACGACTTTGATCAAAAGAGAGAAAGACGAACAATAAATAATAAGAACACAACAACAAGCAATAGAATGAATGAATCCAAACTAAAATGAATCGAATCCCCCCATCAGAAAAAAATTGACAAAAGAAAAATTGCAAATTGAGAAAAGAATTGGGAATGTTGTTGAATTGATGTCGTCCGAATCAAGAGAGAGAGAGAGAGAGAGAGAGAGAGAGAGAGAGTTTTTGCCCGATCCAATATGTACATATTATGGTATAGTAAGTGATATATTCTTCGGGAATAGCCAAACAAAAGGCATCTTTTCTCTCTCTTACATTTACTTGACTAACATTCTACGCTTTTATTGCTGAATGCATCACACTCACACACAACATTCAGCATTGATGATGATGATATTGTCGTTGATGATGACTCACGACAACCAAACTACAAAAAAAATGCAAACCAAACAGCCAAGAAGATTGTTGTTGTCGTTATCGACAATATCGCGCGCGTGAACCAACTGTTCCATAATAAATAATAAGATAACGGTTTCTCCCGTTTCACTTTCTTGATGTTGGTATCGCCTCGCTGGTTGAATGAATATATTGCGTGGGCAACAACAACAACAACAACAAAAATATACACTTTTGGATTGGATCGGACAAACAAGGGGGATTGATCTCGCGCGCGCGTTTGTGTATAAGTCAAGCAAGGATCCTTTTAGGGATCACTAGCGCGAGAAGTAAGATCCAGGCGCACCATTCATTCATCCATCCATCATGGAACAAACACGGCCTTGAATGAATGAAAGACCGACTTTTACCTCACAATATGACCTCGACCGCATTATTATTACTCGCGTGTGTGTGTTTGTGTCTTATTCTGTCTCTCTCTCTCTGCCTTTTGACAATATAACACACACACATACATAGGGTCCTGGAACCCAAGTATGTGTGTAGTTAGTATAAGGTTATTACCATTTTTGTTATAAAAAGTTATGGCTGTTTTGATTCAAAGACTAACAGAGAAAGATTTGATCATCATCATAATGAAAGAGAAAGCGATATATTCTCTCTTTTTCTCGTGTTCGATAAACACCTGGCTAGTATTTTTGTTCGTTTTGTTTTTTGGCACACGAACCGCACACACCATACACCATACATATAATTGATTGCCCTTTCTAGAAAGAATGACTAGATTTGGTTGGACAATCAGCATGCTGCCCAACCCGATTCACCCAAACAAACAAAAACTTCTAAGCAAATATCCTAGGGATTTCGACAAAGGATTCTGGATACATGGATCATGCTAAAAAAATTTCCAAAAGAAAACTTACCGAAAATTCGAAAACCATTTGACCAATTGTGCTGTGTTGTTTTTGTTGAATTTAATATCGGGGAAAAACATTTTCAATATTGATGAACTTGGATAACGGACATAGAAAAACATCAATTTCGCTTTCCTAAGATGCATGGGAGATAAAGTACTAGTGTGCAATGAAGTTAAGGATAATGAATCTGAGTTTGGGGAAAATCTATTAGAATTAGCAAATTGTTTGTTTGAAAAGGATATCATTGGCATGGATGGATCATAAATTGATTGGGTATCATTGGTTTCGGAACCATCACCACCATTTTCGCTACCGGTTCCACTACCACGGCCATATGAACTAAGTACAGCACTACCGCCAGGAAAACCACTCATTGAATCAGGTGATGCACGACTAGCGACAAACATTCGTAAATGATGGGCAGTTGCAGCGGCTGCAACAGCATTAGCAACAGCATCTGTACCTTGATGACCAGTAGCCGCTGTTGAAGAACCATTCATCATGGAAGATGGACCATTGGTTGTCGAGCCATTCAAACTGTTTTTCAAATGATCCATTTCGTCTATATTGAACAATGAACCAGCAAGACGAGCTGTTTGTTCACCACCAAACGGAAATGTCGTTGCATTCGTTGTGGTCGTATTCAAAGCTGTTGATTGATCAAAAAATTCGCTCGCATGTTGAAGACTAGCCAAAGATACGGGTAAAGAATTTGCGGCCGTAGTTGCAGCTATGGATGGAAAATGGATTGCCGAACCACCACCATTGGTCAATAGTGGTGGACTAACGGATGATGTTTCTCGTAAATGATGATGTTCATCGTTGTTGTTGTTGCTAACATTACGAGTGATTCGAGTTGGTGTACGAACTGGCAGTCGTGAATCGGTAACTTTGTTTCGACGCTTTTTTGCCGGTCCAACCACCAACGATATGGCTTCGGTTTGTTCGGCTGCCATTATTGGCGGCGAAACGGTTGCAGTTGCGTCCACAACACGATTACCAAATACATTGGACGCTGCTGCTGCCGATGATGATGATACTGAATTCGTATCACGAACTCCATTCAAATTGACTGGTGTATCTCGGCCATACATACCGCTTGCTTGTTTAGCATAGAAATTACCACCAACAGCATTTGGTGGATAAACAAACGATGTTGTTTTGGAAATCGGTGATGATTCAAATGCGTTAGCCATCACGAATGGACTATCGGCAGTATCACGACCATTTTTTGAATGATGGCCATTCGGAGAGGTAGTAGCCAATTTTGTTTGTCTTGTCGATGATGATGAGTATTTAGCGTCCAACATTTGTGCCAATAAATCGGTGGCTCCAACTTTGGTATTATCTTTAAGCTGTGTTTGGGACTGCGATTGTGTTTGTTGTTGTTGTTGTTGAGCTTCCAATTGTGTTCGAATTGAATTTGAAACGATTCTTGCCATTGATTGTATCACTTGTGTAGTAACTGTTTCAACGAATAAATCTATATCAAAAATTTTACAAAATTTATCCGATAACGATGATAATTGTTGTTGTTGTTGTGCATGATGTGATGATGCTGTTGGCGAAATATGGCCACCAAATTGTGAAAATAATGTTGCTGCATCCGGTACAATTTGAATCACATCACAATCACTGTGGTTATTATTGTTATTGTTATTCATCGACATCATTGTATTCATCATGGTAATCGGTGGACTAGAACGTTGTGGATAAGATGATGATGATGATGATAATCGTCCATTGGAATGATGGTTAATTTTTGATTGTTGTTGTTGTTGTTGAAAGATTTGTAGGGCTGTATATTTTTGTAAAAGTTGTTGTTGAAATTTGCTTAAATCACGTTCATAATCAGAAATACGAGCTCGTTTGGTGTTTGAATGACGATTATTATTATTGGGTTGTTGCGGCGATTGTTGATTATTGTCAATATTATTGTTCGATATGCGTGCGGAAGTCACATTCGCCTGTGTTTCTTGGTTATTGTTGCGATTGTTGGATAAATCCAATTCCTTATTAATATTAACATTGTTATTTGACTCACTAGATTTATGTTGTTGACTGGATCGTTGTTTTTGTTGTTGTCGCAATAATAGTTGTTGTTGTTGTTGAAGTTGTTCTTGTTGTAAACCACTTTCGTCATATCCTTCATCATCCAATTCAATTTCCATTGTACCATTGTTGGCTGTCGCTGTTGTTGTTAAAATGTCTTCGACCCCGACAATCTGTCCAGATGATGATGATGGCGATCGTCGACTACGACGTCCAAGTTGTTGCTGATGATTCGAATTGGCTTCCTCATCCTCATCTGCAAGTTCCTCATCAACATTATCATCATCATCCATATCATCCATATCGTCGATATCATCATCTTCAGTATCGATGCTACCATTGCTTTGATTGAGCATTTTGGTTGTTCGTTGTTGTTGTGGTTGATAAAGTTTACGTTTTTTGCATCCATTGATGGTTGGTCCATTGTTGGTTGTTTGTTGAATGACAAGAGTATTATCAATTTTATGGTCGCAATTACTATTATTGTCACTATCATCAGCATGATCATTGTTGATGAGAATTTCATCATCGATATCGGTTTTCATGATTGGTGAATTTTTCGTTATCGTTTTAGTAATTTGGTTGTTATTAGTGTTGTTGCACACTGCCGTAGTTTCCAATAACATATTCGAACAGAATGTTTCTTCTATTATGGATGATGATGATAAACTATTTTGTTGTTGGTGGTCGATATCTATTTGATGATGATCGTCGTTGTTGACAACAATTTTCAAATCTTTTGGTTTATTATAATGTGCCGACAAAGATGAACGACGATGACGACGATCTACATCGAACGACAAATAAGCAATGAATGATTTAAAAGATGACAAACTCACCTAAAGAAATAGTCTCCTCAGACGACGACGACGATGATGTTGATGTTGATGATGATGTTGACGACGACGACGACGATGATGATGATGAGGAGGAGGAGGTTGATCCTAAGCTGCTACTATTATTGTTATGATTGTATCCAATTGATTTCTCTTGTTGTTCTGATGATAAAGATGAATGTAACGGCGGCGGAGGTCGACCACGAGCCATACTTTGCTCCTCCTTATTTTGATTATTATTATTAACCAGATTTCCGTCCCGTTCATCTGCTGTTTCTGTTGTTGTGACCACCACAGCCATTTCGTCATCATCATCATTATGATCCATACCACTACTACTGCCAACCACAAGATCTGTAATCATCTTAGGATCATTCTTCTTCTTCTTCGTTGTTTCAGATTGCTTAACTGGATCTCCTTCGTTGTCGTTGTTGTCATCCCCTTGCTTGGTTAGCTGATTATCAATGTCGTCTGTTCCATGACGGTTCTTTTCATCTGTAGCATCAGTAACAACATGATGATGCTGGTCATCATCATCATCATCGCTGTTAACGAGTTGATCTTTGCTGTTTTGACCAGCATTATCGATCAGAATGTTTGAATCACCACCACTGGCAAAATAATCAAATAAAAGATTTCCATCCAAATCGTCTACGAATCGATTTTTTGATTCCATCAATAGCGAACCATTATTCAGTTCAGGCGATAAGGATGATTTGTTCAATTCATTACGATTATCATCATCATCGTTAGTCGTTGACGAAAGATATGGATGTTTTTTAATCGGAGATGTTGATGGTGATGATTGCATCATTTTGTCTTCGGATTGCCGAATCAAATCGCCGGTAGATGACGATTGTTGTTGATTATTGTTTGTAGCGGAAGCAGCAGCAGCTGCAGCTGCCGCAGCAGCGGCGGCGGCACCACTTTCCAATATATCTCGTAATAATTGAGCATCAAATGCGGCAGCCGCAGCCACATTGTTTGAATTGAACAAAGCATTATTTGTGGCAGCAGCCGCCGCAGCAGCTGCCGCTGCAATTTCGTTAGCTTGAAGATTGTTCAATAATGTGGCTGCCATGGCCATATTATTGTTATTATTGTTATTATCGTTATTATTATTACCGGGATTCATCGATGATTGTAATTGCGTTAAAAATGATGCGGCAGCTTGATTATAGCCACTGGCAGTGACAAATTGATCAGCCGCCAAGGATTTGTTTGTTGCGGCAGAAAATTGAGATGCTTTGTTTGTTGTTATCTGGGCGAGATGACCAGAAGATTGTAGTTGTGTTGATGGCGGTGGGGGTAGTGGCGGTGGAGGTTGTGGTGCATGATGATGATGATTAGCAGCCATAAATGCAGCCATTGCAGAACCCTGTTGTTGTTGACATAATTGTTGAAACAATGATGTAGCCTGATGATGATGATGGTGGTGTTCCATGATGTTTGATGTATCGGTCGAACATGATAATGATGATGACGATGACGATAATGGTCGATGATGTCCACCAGAAGGATAGAATGGTGAATCTCGTAACAGATTTTTTCCACCACCAACATACGATGATGAGGAATGATGGTGATGTGGATTGGATGCCTGCATATCTGGCAATTGATTATTATGTGGATGATGATGTTGGCTAACAATAGCGGCCATATCGGACATTGTTTGATGATGATAATTAAGATGATTATGGTGATTGTTAGCAGCAGCAGATAGACGATTAATGTTACCATTCATTGATGCATCATTCGATAAGATTCGATGATTATGATGAGGATTGTTGGCAATGTTGTTGTTTGTGGATGATCCATATGCTTTATGATTGTTATTATAACCATGATAACCACCACGTGATGAAAAATTGGCTATACTTGCATAGCTATTTCGTGGTTCACCAGCATCCACGCGTTGCCTTGTTCGTTTCATTTTGACCGGTTTATTGTTATTATTGGATGATGATTGTGAACTGGCCGTGGAAGACTGCGGCTGATGATGATGTCCACTATGATGATGATGATGAGGCATGTTGTTTGGTCGTTGTTGTTGATTGCTCGATATTGCGGTTGATGATAATTGTTGTTGCGATTGCGGTTGTTGTTGATGATGTTTAAGGACACTTCGGTTCAGATTGATTGCTGGACGGATCCAAGGATGGTAGGAGGGCGGTAAACTGTCACTAATGCTGTTATTGGGAGATAATCCACGATAATGATTATAGAACAAATCTTGTCCGTTATTCACCAAAGGATTCATATAATCCGTTTTGTTTGTTTGTTGTTGGTCGATTTGATTCGATTCTCAAGGAATTTCCTGATCTGAAAAACAAAACAAAGAAAAAACGGAAGAAAATTATAATAACGGAATCAAAATTCATTCATTCAATGATCATGTCCAAATGACCGTATCTTTGTCATTTTCTTGTTGCCATTGTCTTTGCTCGATGTCGATTTGATTTTAATGACAGACGGAACAAGACATTTCATCATTATCATTTTCAGGGCGTCAAACGATGATGATGATTCTTTGGCTATTCGGATGACTGATCGCGTGATGGTTCACCATGGTGATGTTTCAATGCAATCAAACCAAGCGTAACACTTACGTCTTGGCACATCCACATCATAAACAGTGTCTATTTTTTGGGTGAGGCTATGAAAGGTGATCGAGCTAAGCGAACAAAGCCAAACCAAGATAGTGAAAGAAACTCATTTCTTTTTGACAAAGCTAAGTTCCGGCCTATAATGTTATCATTATTTTCTCGTGGTGATGGTGTTGATTAATTAATTAGTTAGTCAGTAGTTTCATCATGATCGGAAGTCTCGCATGTTTGTTTTTCGGTTTTTTAATTCAAAAAAATAAATCAATGTCTTTGCATCAAACCGGGAGACACCAACTAACTAAATCCTTGTGAATTTGCCAATATTGTGCCAAATTAATATCCGGTGAATAAGGGAATTTAAAAGCCATTATTATATTTTATTTTAATCTAGTTTGGTTGGCAAATTTTATTTTATTTTTTCGAATTGAATTAAATTTTTCTCATTTTCACATCAAACTGATGGTGGATTAACTTAATTGAACATTGGATCCGAAAATTAAATTTCACACAGAGTTCACATTCATTCACGATGACGACTTTATCATTTCGACACACACAAAGTGGAGAAAGAGAGAATAATTTGACTTTGTAAGGCAATATTTTTATTGGCCCTAAGGCCTAATTTGAAAGGCACGTGTCTTAGGGCCTAAGTATAGTGCAGTGGTCACTCATTCACTCATTATCATCATAATTATGTGTGACCAACACAGTGAGGTGGACAGTGACCATAGTTTTCTTAACATAGATAGATAAGCTGGACTGACCGGGCTGTGTATTTGATGATGACCATCAGTGATGATCGTAAATGAAGCAAAACGAATTTTTTTTGGCTTCATGGGCCACCGCCTAGACATTAACCAGACACATATGGAAGGGGAAGGAAGATGAATGTTTGGCTATCACCTTTATCACTCTAGTTGGCTGATTTTTACTTTGGAAATGACCTTTTTCCAAAATGATGATGATGATGATAATGATGAGAATTGTAACAATATGTGTTTGTCAATTACATTAATTAAGGAAAAGTGGATCCGGTTTTCGTTTGGTTGATTGGTTGAATTCAACACAGGACGACAAGGTAACTGTAAGGTGTGCGTGGGAACACCGTACACACGTTACAGTTAGATGAGTTTTTCTTCAATTTCATTTCCAATTTGAATATTGTAATGGAAAAGGCGCCGGAAGCCGACATTTGCTGCTGTTGTTGAATAATTGGACTGATCACCCAACAACAACAATAAACTTAGAAAGTGAGGAAAAAATTTGACTAGGTGTGTGTAACATGAATACGGGATGCTTTGGTTGTCGTCGTCGATTGTTTGGTCAAATTATCATCAATGATGTTTGTAAACTGATGATGTTTGTTTGATTTTTTGTTTTGTGACTCAACATCATCATTATATGCCCAGCCCAAAATCAAAATCTCGAAAGAAAAAAACCCGATTTTTTCAAAGAGCGGATAATCAAAGAGAAATGCAGTAAGCTTAATGTCACCATCACCAATTTACAATCGAAACGAAAAAAAGATTCGAAATCGAATCGATCGTCCATCACTATCGATAGAGTTGAATGTACCTCATTTGCTCATCATTGATTCGAATGTTTGTTTGCATAAATCACTAATTACCCCTCCTTATCACTTTGTAGTGATATCCGGCGACACAAGTCATAAGCCAAGCAAACCAATAAGGTTAGGTTCAAGGACTGTTATTAATTTATTTGTTTGTTTGGTTGGTTGTTTGATTTGTCAATCGAAAGTGTGAAGATTTTTCATTTTTCATTTTTCGATTTTATTTGACCACCTTAAACATCACCATTCATTGTGAGTGTTGGCGTATGTCAGACGTACGACGACGATGATGAAAAAAATCAAACAAACTTTTTTGGCAAAAAGAACGGTAATTGAATTGTAATTAAGCAGCAGCAAATTTGCTTAGACAAATATTTACCTTTGTCAACATAAAAAAGCAGCTGAAAACAAAAAATGACCACCAATCAATATTTTAATGAGACTAATTTGCATAATTTGTATTTGGTGAATGTTTACATAACCACCAACAACAAGTGTGTCATGTTAAACTAAACAAAACTTAAGACATTTTTTGTCAACATTTACAACATTTGCTATAAGGCGCATCCATCATTTATTCATTATGTTGACGTAAGGATTGTGCAAGTGAACGGATGTTCAACAAACGAATAACATGAGTGATTTTTCTTATATTACCTCATGAAAATTACCTTATATGCCAATGCCAACAACACCTTAAGTTTGTCGACCTACGTATATATTCTTCTGCTAATGCAGCAACCGAAAAAAAAGAAAAAAGACCCAGTGACACAATGAACAACAACATAACAAGCTAGTTTTATTTAGTTGTGTGTTGACCTCGAAAATACGTGATCATTTTTGCAAAGACATATTTCTTGACTCACAACAACAACACTGATCATACACACAGTGCAGACCTAGACATTTTTCTTCGCAATCATTCGCACAGGAAAGCAATCATTTCCTTCACACACACACACGTGTCACACACATTTGAAGAAAAATAAAGGTATTGTGTGTACAGTGATAACATCCGTTTTTTTTCAATTTGGCCAATGCACACACACCGGAGAATGCATAAAGATTACATGACCTTATGATGATTGAAATGAAATAAAATGCAAGATCCGGTTAGTATTAGACCGAGACAGACAAACAGACCTGAAGAGAGTCAAAGGTTAAAGAGTTGAGCTATATCCATCCGTTCATCCATCCAGGATCATTTTCGAAAGTTTAGCCCTATGTGTGTGTCTATTGTGTGTCTCTATGGTTTGTTTGTTTGTATTTGGCGGACGAGATAAGTTCCGGTGTTAGAAAAACAGTAAAGTAAATTGATTACAAAAACTTAATTAGATTTTTTTTCCTCTAGCTAAGGACACAGGATGACGCCCAATTTGATTGAATAGAAATGTGTAATGTATAGAGAGAGAGATTCAATGCCGTTATTGTTATCGTTGTTATCATCATTCGAAATGAAATAATGAAAAAAATGAGGCTAACAAATCAATCAACCAGTTATCAAAAAAGAAAAAAACAACAATAAGTTTCAGATGCGCTCTGTTTGCCGTTATTGATAATAATAACATAACTATAGAAAAACATTAATAGAAAACATCATCATCATTAGGGCGAATCCAAGCCAGCCGAAAAAACTGTATTATGATGATAATTTTTCCTTCCAAACAAATTAAATATGAAAACATCATCAATGAGAAAAAAACATATCTAAATCTCCACCCAAGGTTTGCTTTCAGAAGGATACACATTCACTCGGATGTTATTGTTTTCCAAAGGAGCCATTGTATGATGGCAAAAAAACACAGGATGGCAAAAAAAACCACGATGGCCGAATCAAAAAATCACACAGTCAATGTATGTCATGCATTATCATCACTATAAGACAGTGACCACTCCTGATAATGAAAAGAAGAAGAAACATCATCTTCTTTGAAATTATCATCCATCCTACTTATGCTGTCTCTCTCTCTTTCTTTGTTTGAAAAATGAAACCTATATTGCGCCTTAGAAAATTTTTGTTTAAAAATTTTTTCAAATCAAAAAACGACGACAACATCAAGTGTGTGAGTGACAGACAGAAAGAAGAACGCACATAGCAACATCAACAGACCGAGAGAGAGAGATGCTTAATAAAGATGATCATCATCATCATGGTGGTTGGGTCGATGACGAATGAAGAAACAGCAACAAGTGAATGAGCGAAATGGATGGGCCTTTTTCACACACAGTGATGCAGCATCAAATCAAATTAAATTAGAAAAAATGTTCTTCTCTCCAACATCTATTACATGATTCGATGAGAACCACCGATTTGGTCAATTTATTCTGACAAAACGAAAAAAACAAGAAAGCAAATGATCATATACTCAACATTTAGACTTTGGATTCCCATTATATTATTTTGATTTTTCCAAAGGTCATAAGACATTATTAAAATGCAAAAGCACACACACACACCATCAGCATATAGTGAGATTGAAAGAAAAGAAAATGCATAGAAAACAATGGCGCCTCCAGATTTAGATGAAGAGAAAAAAAGATGAAAAACTCACCAAAATAAAATCAGATCCTAATCAGCTTAGAACAATAAACTATAAGGGAGTACTGGTATGGGTTTGTAGGAAAAAAACACAGTGGACATTATCTGCTGCTGGTAGATAGATATATTTCCGATTGGAAAAAGCAAAACAATCGCACTATCACAAGAAATTCACTTGTTGTTTTTGTTTTTTTGCGGGTTCATTCACATTCGTACAATAATAATGATGATGGTGGATGTTGTTTGATGATAATGTAGATGATGATCAGATTGTCATGATGATGATTCGTTTTAATTCATAATCATCATCATCTTCATAATAAAATGTTCTGTTTCGGTTTCCACTCGATGATGGTGGTCGATGTTTTTTTTTCAAATTTTTTTCTCGTTCGTTCGTTTGGTATAGTGATAGTGGTGGCTGGCAAAGTTGGCAAAGTTTTGCATTTTTGGCCACTTTATTCACAATAATAATCACACACTATCTCTGATCGCCATCATCAAAACGAATAACAAAATTCACAAAAAAATGATAAGTCAATTCTAATTCATTTAGTTTTTTTTTGTTGGACAAAACCTTTTCTGCCATCGATCTTCTCTCTCTTTATTCTTCAAAATTGGATGGTTAATTTAGTTTTTTGTTTCACTTCGAATGATGGTTGTTGTATGGAGAGAAGATATTATGATTCTCTCTGTACGAATGGAAAGAAGCGACCGTTGTCGTTGTCGTTATCGTCGATGCTCCTGTGGCTGCTTCTGCTGCTGTGTGCATTGTATGTAATTTTTTCGTTTTGCATTTAATAAATCGAAATAGTGTATCGATAGATTGTATGGATGCCAGATAGTAGTGGTGGTGGCTGATGTTTGATGGTTCCTTTTTCATAATGATTATGTGCAAACAGTGATAATGTAATGGCTCCCAATGAAGAAAAAAACATCGCAATCTATCTTCGATATCTTTTACTTACTTTGGCGCTTCTAGCAGCAGCAGCAGCAGCATTAAGTCATGTAATGAGTGTGCTACATCCATCCAAAAACAAAACACAAAAAATCCATACATCATATACATAGATCTAATATGTAATGTAATGTCAGTTTCTCTTTGTCATTTTTTTTACTTTTTTTTTTTGGTTTGTACATCTAATCTATCTTCATTCACATTTTATGAAATGGAAAAAAGGGAAGGCAAAGCAAGGCGCCCAAACTAACAATAACCATCATCTTTTTTTTTGATGGCCACTTTTTTTCTCAATCAGTTAGTTTTATGGCTGCCTATATTTGATGCCTGATGATAATAATAATGATAATGATGATGGCCACAGATGGTCGGCCATCTTGTTATCATCATAAAGAAACATACATCACACACACACACATATACATTGGAAGGCGCCTTTCTTTCTCTTTGACTGCATATTCATTTATCTTGGCGTTGTTAAGATTGAAGGATGCAGGCAGTGATAAAGAGCGAATCCAATACGAAGATTGAGAAACACAAAGAACATAGTGAGAGTGAAAAAGGAGAAGGAAGGCGCGTTTTGATCATAAAAAAGGCGTTTTCTTTTCCTTTTCGATCTTTTCTTTCTTTCCACTCACTTGGCAAAAGAAGCCATCTTTGCAAACAAAAAAAAGATGTGCTGAATTCAAAAAAGGAAAATAACAAAGTAAAGTAGGCTGGCTATTTTTTCGGGTATCGAGAGAGAGCAAATCGAGTTGAGAATAGAATCTCTAAATGTGGAATGTCTAAATAAATTGGGAGCCATCCATTGAGCACTATCATCATTGCTAAGGCATTATTGAGGTATTGTCTTTTGTGCTTTTTTCCAAAAAAAAAAACAAAAACATTTTCTTCGCATGTCGCCATCGTCGTTGCTTTGGTTATGTGCAATGGTGGTGTATGGCACACACACACTTTGCCCACCAACCAACCATCTCAGGCAGAATTTATGTTTGTTCGTGTATAGATGATGAACGAGATGAGATGAGAATCCATTGAAAAAGTACCACTACTGTTTTGAATTGGCCACAATCATCATCATCATTTGATAAAGAATATCTTTCTCTCCAATATGTGACGCCAAGAAATACAATCCTTTCCTATGTCTTTTTTCATTACAATTCTCCTTTTGTGTGAATAAGTTTTAGGCGTGGTAAACTAGAATTAGAGATGAAAGGATGGACAGACAGACAGACATACAAATCGACTAAAAAAAAAGACAAGATGGCCGAAAATATGGCAGAAATTTTTTTTGAAATAATGAAAAAAACTTTGATCAGGACAGGTATATTGGATGATGATGATTGAATGAATGAACCAAAAAAGCATCTTGATTCACTCAATCAATGATGATGATGACCTACAATGTAATCACTATACAATGCTTGACTCTCAAGTGAATAACAAAACACGGAAGATAATGTTGATTATCATACGCACAAACAATATGCTCTATCATTTGAAATGATTTTGTTGTTGTTTGTAACGATGATGATGACTTGTTAGAAATATTGGACATGCATGCATTATTTGATTCAAGTCATGTAAAAAAGCAAATGGAAAACATCTAAAACACATTTAATGAGAAATTGCCAATTATGATGATGATGATGATCTTAGTCATGATAATAATGATAATAACAATATTAGATGATGACGCCCAATCTATATCTATAGTTCTTTCATTTTAGGAAAATTTTTCTACCCAAAAAATCATTCACTTAGATATTTTAGTGGAGATAACAATGTTTGGGTGATGAGTGTGAAAAGTTACACCTATGCAATTTTTTTCATTTTGTCAATTTCCTAATAATCATCGTTTTAATTAATTAATTTGCTTAATTCATTCATTTTTTTGGTGTTAAATCTGCCAAAGTGAGAGAAAACAATTGTTTTGCCATTGGTGTCGGCCGGAATGACTCCGTTAGCAGCCACATCTGCCCGAAGTCCGGTCAGACCAGATGCCGTCATCGGAACAAACGAACGAAAAAAAACCCGAGATACCCGGCACGCGAGCTCAAGTATTTTAGGGACACAGACACGCGCGCGTGCAAACCTTCTAATCACTTCACGATGACCGGTCATTTCTTGTTTTGAATTGTGATTGAATGAAAAGAGTTGACCTTTTTTTATTTTTTCTTTGTTTGAGTTAAAGATCCCGTTATGGTTGCTGACCAGGAACATACAGCCAAAAAATGAATGAATAAAGGTCAGACAACACCGGGTTTCTTACGGTGTGATAACGGGATCATTATGTTTTCTATCGAATCGGTCATAGGTCAAATCTTTTGATCATCTTGTTTGTCCAGGTAAGTAAAAAGAAATGTAATGACCTGATCGACCGGATCGATCGATTAAGAACAAGCAAGCAAGAGAGAGAGAGAGAGAGAGACACGCGAATAACGGATTGATCAAACAGTACCCTTTTTATTTTTTGCTGATCTGCTGTCTGGCACTATCGGTCACTGGCCTAGTTTTTTTCTTCTCAAAGTTCAATTCAACTAATCAATTATCAGAGTGAAGGGTCATTTTTGGTTTGAATTGAAGTTTGATTTTATCCAAATTTTACCAAAAAAAACGGTAAAAAAACGGTATTCGTTTTCAAACAAATGAATGAAAAACCGAAGAAAAATGAAATTGAAAAATGAAAAATTAGGTCACACCATCATATCGTCTAGAAGGTTTAGAAGGCTATAATTTGTTTCAGCTTTTTCTTGTTTTGCTTTGTTTTCTTAAATGTGCACGTGCACAATTGTGGCTCGTGGCACAAAACACACACAAGTAAGCCAAGTGTTGCTTTTTCTAGTCACAAAAATTTTCCATCAAATTTGAAACAATGGAAAAAACCAAAACCACCACAATCAAATTTTGAATACAACCAACAACAACAAGCAGCTGTTGCGCTGAACCAAAATGACATTATTTCTTACTGCTGTGTTCAGAAAGAAAATCTCAATGGATGCAGAGATGCATTGATTTGGGATTTCAGATTTTGTTCCTCCCCCTCCAAAAAATAGCGATTAATCTTTAGAAGAAAGCCAAGTGTTTGTTGTCACCATTGGTTGGATGGATGTATGGATGGCGAATTGAGAGTGACATACAAATGAATAAATCTTTTGCATACCGGCTGCTGCCTGTACTCCATTGCCATATGGACATTTCTCTCTCTGTGTTGTGTGGGTGAGAATAGATGTGATCTTCAAGACGACGGGATTTTTTCAAATATAAAAGGTATTTTTCTGGGCCAAGGATATTCGTTCGTTCGACAAATAGCATCTGTAACTTTTCAATTGTTTCGTTTCGTTTTTCTCACTAAACAAAGAAACAATAATAACATCGTCTATATTCACAGCCACCTGTGTATGATGATGCTGGTGGTGTGGTATATGTCATTCAGAAAAAAAAATCGCCCACGCGCTTCAATTCAAATTGAATTGACAGGGTCCCTTTATCCTTAGCTAACAAGCCATAGATAAGAACAATACAATGGTGATGGTGGACAATGGATATAAGGCAACATCCATACATTCTAAGGATGAAATTGAAACACAATGCAAACATTGAAACACAGCCGTTTTATTTCTACATTTGCTTTTTGTTTGTTGGTTGACCGTTTTCTTTTTTGTTCATTTTGATTGAACCCACGCAATATCATTACGACAAATCCACGAAAGCTCAAAGACAGACTTGGCATCTTTTCATTTGCTTTTGGGGACACCATCAATCAATTCAGATGGAAAAGTTAGACAAAAAAAACACCCAATGTCCTTGTGTTTCAAAACGTCTGGCAATTTTATTTCTGCTGAAAACTTTTTCTTAACGAAAATGCCGAACATAACGACAAAAATGTCTTCAAGACAAGGACAGACCAATTTGGTGATGATGATGTAATGGACAATCTGTCTATCTAATGGATGGATGAAAACCACCTGTGTTTGTTTGATGATGATGATTGTCTTAAGAAAATGTTCAACTTGGCAACAGCAATCATCATCATCAACGAGAAAAAACCGTTTTGATTTTCTCTAAGCACAACCGTTTTTGGTTTTTTTTTGTTTTCCAGATTGGCCTCTCTTTTTTCTCAAATGGAACAAAATTTTGCTTTTTTCTCAAACTCAATTCAAACTAAACTAACCTTAGTGATTATTAAGTTAGCATCTTTTCTATTCAATTCAGTGAATAATGAAAAGTTTCGTCGTAACCTTCCAGTAACCAAGGTCGTTGTTTGTTGTTGCTGCATTGTATTTGGCAACAAAGAGTTTATCAAGGTCGGAAAATCTTAAATGATGATGAGGGTTTCTGCTAAAAAAAGGGTAGACAGATTTTTTCTTAAAGACACAATCAAGACCAAGGTCATTACCACAAACATCCCAATAAACTGGGAAAACTATGATCGGAAACAACGGAGTGAAAAATTTGCTCAAATGAAAGTCAATTTTCTCGGTCATCATCATTAAATGATCAGAAATGGGATCTTAGGAAATATGACGAGAACTTACCTTGATGTGGTGATAATCAATGTTGGTTTATATGAACATTGGATTGAAACACATTTCTAGAAAATGAATCACAATTGACAATCATTGCACATCATTGAATAAATTAACAATTCAAGATTCAACACTCAGTCAATCAACCAATTATATTATCTGTCGGTGTGCGTGTATGTTTGTGATTGCTTTAACGGATTCGGATTAAGTTTTTTGTTATTTTCACTTTCCAATTTCGTCGAATGAGAAAAATTCAAAACAGCATAGAAAAAACATAAAACATAGCATAGAAAAAAAACATAAACAACAATATTCGGGCGATACAAGAACGTGCCTGTTTAAGTGTTTTATGATTGCTGATGATAAATTTGAATATCTTTTTTTCGATATCATTCTACACATACAAGCAAATGATGATGATCAAAGAAGATGATCAATGTATGAGAATGACACACATTTCTCAACATTTCATCACGATTATAATGAAAACAAAATTTAGCATTTCCAATCCAAAGTAGTCGTCCTGAATTTTGTTGAATGTTCTTGTAAACATTGAAAACGATGAAGATTTGCTTTTTTGTCAAAACAAAATTCATTTCCTTTTGCCGAGATTCTTTTCGATCAAACATCGACAAAACATTAAACATCAACAATGGTCATCGTTTTGCATGGATGTTTTTGGTTTGAAACAATTGTTCATCATCACATTCTCATGTATATGATATATTGATGGTGCCCGTTCGTGATATGTGTAATCGGTTGTTGTTGATGTTGTTGTTGCCAGTAGCAAGCTAAATATCAAAATGAGAATGAGAATCTAGTCCATCCAGTTTCGGAAAGAGTTTTTTTCGCCATAATAATATTCTAGAGGCATCTCGTATGTCACATATACACACACATATAGCGAAAGAGAAACACAGAAGCGGCAATGAGCATGACTCCAATTTGGTAATTTTTGTTCATCATTTTTTGATTTTTAGGTAGCAGTTTTACATGTAGTTAGATGATGATGATGATTTGGATGATTTGGATATTGTGTGTGACGTTGGTTGGCGTCATTTCGGGCAAGTTAGTTAGTTAGTTCCTAACCTTAGATGTGTGTGTGTTTGTGATATATAATTGCCAACTAAAAAAGGAAAATCATCATCATTTTCACCATATTTGTCTATGTTTTTTTGCTATGTGGCTCCAATAATTATTACCTGTGTGCTGTGTGTATGTGTGTGTTCGGCCATTTTTCCTAAGGATCGATTACTTTCAATCGATCTTCATGGAAAACTAATGTAATGTATGTTTTTTTTGGTGATATTCAAACATGCGTCGAACAACAAAAAAATCTGGCTGAGAAATGGTCATTTCTCAAAAGGAAGGAAACAAACGAAAGGGAGCCACTAAGATAGGATGCTGGTAATACTGAACATGTCATTAAGAGTAGATATATAGTGGTGTGTGCACTGAATGCATACACATAAGATGTTTCCATTAACATAACTGGATCCACAATTCAGCCAAACATAACACTAAGATAGTAAAAATAAAATAAAGGGCACCATTAATATGGCACTATAATAATAATAATAATGATGATGATGATGGTAGCCAAACCTTAACAATTGTAAATATAGCAGAGATATATAGAGAGAGACTACTGTATTGCGTGTTGTATATGCTCATCTTAGTGTGACGCCTTAGACATTTTGATGTTGCTGGTGTAAGTAATATAAAACTAACCAACCAAACAACCAATACTACTTTCTGTCTGTGTGTTTATATGAATGGCTCCTTATCATCCTCCTTACAGTAAAAGATAGAAACACTTTTTCTTATTTATCTTTATGCTCCTCCTAAGATTGTGGCGCCCATTCACTTAGTTTCAGTTTTTCTTAGCCAATCCTATTCAATAATGAAAATGATATTCATAATGAGATGTGATGTTGTTTTTTCGGAACAAATTTTTTTTTATTTTCGCGTTTCACTGGACACATCAATCAATCAATCGGCAAATAACAATAGATATTTGTCACCTTCACACGCACAAACACATAACCTAACCTCCTACGCATCACATCTGTCGTGAATATATGTCCTATGAAGGTAGAAAATGTCACGCGCGCATTTTTAACCAAAAATTCATCCAAGCAAGCAATACCGTAAAGCATCTGTCCTCGACCAGGCCAGCCAGCTAGCCATGCTGTTAACCGCACGTATCGATCCTTCAACGAAAAAAAATTGACAATCAAAAATGAAATTGCCGTTACACTAAGACATATGAATGGTTATTATTATTATTATCATTACTTTTTCCACTTTCTTTTTCTGCACGTTTTTTATTTGATCAAACAACTAATTTCGTTTTCATCAATGATGGTAACGAACAAATTAAGATGACCAAAACCAAACAAACTAAAAGTCATTAGTCGAAACATAATTGCTCCGTTACTTTCTGTTTGTTATTAGGAAAAGGTGAATATCATCATCATCATCATCTTAACTCAATAAATAAATTACATTCATTCAATTCATTTGCTCAACAACTGGACTGAACAAACAATGAAAATTGTTCGATAATTAAACCTGAATCGTGGCCACGTGTCTCACTCAATTCATTCACTCAATTCAGTCTAATGTTGTGAATGACCAATGAATGGACAGAGGTCAACTTGCTTACTGTATATGCTGTAGCAAGAAAACAATATTGACTCTCTCTCACTCGATCTATGCACGTGCAGCACGAACAACAAGCCACACCACTATTATACGGCAATTGATCCATTCATTTCATTTTTTGGATCAATTGAATGAGTGAGACTAATATTGAACATGAATATATCCATCTATGTTTTGTTTTTTGTTTGTTTCGATTCAGACGAATGAACAATAATGATTCTTTACTTTGATCAATCAATCCATCGATATTGACCATAACACAGAGACAAACAAAGAGAGTTCAAAAACCACCTGCATGCATGAAGAATCCACATTCAAAATGTCAATATGGTTTGGATGATGTTGATTGGTTGGTGGTACAAGTTGATACCAAGCAGTATTCGATCTTCGGGTTAAAACAAAAAAAGCATCATCATTATCAGCCAAAACAGAAAACGATAAAACATCTGGTCAAATGGCCAGCTATGAAAATGATTAAAAAACCTTAAAAACATTGATATTATGTCATCATTGTTGTTGACCAGAGTGGTCTACCCTGTTTGTCTGACTGGTCAGTCCGGTCATCTAGACATGGGTAGACACACCTAGATCTGGATGATGACTAGACCAGACACTCAAACACTTTTGATTTGGTTTGGATGGATGAACCACACCTTTATTAGAATCCATGATTCGATATGATATGGTAGGATACGATAGGATTCAAAATGGATTTGGGGTTAAAAAATTGATTTTTAAGAACCCGGAAAAAGAATGGGTAATAATTATTATTATTATCAGGGATTTCAGCGAGTTTAGGTCATGAAAGAAAAAAAACATGAAGCATCTGTGAGCCGCTTAACTAACCAACCAAACGGCAACGGTAAACGATAACGGTAAACACCATATGACATATGACATTCGATGTGTCCAAGGAGACTGTACCGTGTATAAGAAGGGGGACAATGACAAACCAGAGCCAAATACACAATACTCAATTAGAGAAGAAGAAGCCTGGTCTCTTTCTCTTTCTATTTCCATTTGGCTCGTGACAATCTCGTGCCAGCCAAAAAGCCTAGAGTTTTTCCATTTTCAAAGTGAAAGTTTTGTTTCTTCTCTCGAAAATCTAATCATCAAAAACGAATTGAATTGAATTGAATGGTGATTGGTGAAAAGAGAAAAGCGAAAAGCCCTGCACAGAAAACAAAAAAACAACCACCATCATCATATAAGAAAAGGTGAAAGTTTTCAGTTAGGATTTCTCCCAATCCATCCATCTATGCTTGGTCGAAACAGCTGCAAATAGGGTCTCTGCTTCTTTGTTGCTCTTTGTCAATATCAAAGATGTGAAACCGGTGGCCCGCGTTTATCGTTTAGTTTGGTTTCACATTTATCTCGTTCGCGTGTATGTTCTGTGCATCTTTCTCTTTCTCTTTCTGTCTCTCTCAACTTGGGTCATCGACGTCTTGCCCCCGAGTTTGAAAGTTTGCAAGTTTGACCTCTCTCTCTCTCTGACTAACAAAACACAAGGACTGAACTGAATGATGATTATACTTTGAACACCTTTTCACTACTTTTACCAAATCCAAATAATAATGATGATGATAATGGAGAATAGAACTGACGCGTGTAACGGTGTTTGGTTTTTTCATTTGTTTGAAGAATCTACTTTAGCAGCAGCAGCAGCTTTTGCATGATGCTGGTTGTACAAAAAAGGGCAAAATGTTAGATTGGATGAATGGATGTCGACGACAACAATCTGCCACAACAAACAAACTAGGAAGTAAAATTATGATGAACTTTCACCCAAATGTTTGATGAAAAGAAATAAAATAAAAGTGAAATCTGTTTTTCTTAAGAAAAGGTCAACCAAGGTGTTATGATACTAATAATAAGGGATTTAACCAGGAAAAAAAGAATTATCTTTATTTGATATCAGGTCAGTGATTGCCAATGACCTCTCTATCTTTTTAAATTTAAATATCCATCATCCAGGCACAAACAAACAAATTTGTGACTGATTGAAAAATGAAATATCTTGTCATATCCGTTTTGGGTTTGTTTTGTTTTGTTTGTTTGTTACCGTCAATAAACTTTTTAGCATCTCAAGCGTTACCAATGTTGGGCGCCACATTTATAAATAAATGGCAAAGACGCCACACCACACAAATAATTAGATTATAATTTGGTTTTTTTCGGAGCTCTGCCCTTTTAAATGACAATTGCCATTTCGAAAGATTCAATAGAAAATTTGTGGCCTCCGCTAAAAGTTTTTCTGGTTTTTTATTTGAGTGTCACGATTCAGAAGGATGTTCTTCACTCTTAGATGCGAACAATGAACTTGTTGCTGCTTTGAATTGAATGACGCCCAAATATTATTATCATCATTATTTTTCCAAATGAATAAATGCTGTTATTGTTGATTTAGCTGTTTCAATATTATTATCAAGTCAGTGTTTTGCATTTATCATTTCCTTTCCCGAATGATAATGATGATGATGATTATTTTTCTCCATAGAATATAGGATATGGAATAATCATCAAACCGAAACCGACTGAAAATAAAGGATTATCATTTATTGTTGAAGGTTGCCATCTAGTGACAATCAGCTGGAACTATTTCAAAATATATTTCCCTCCATTTTTGGCAGCTTCTTTTTCAAAGAAAATAGTGGTGGCTTTTGTTTTTGAAAAAATGATTAATTAATTAATGAAATTCAAGATATTTCTCTTAAAATTGTGTTCAATTTCGGAAGTTATTCTAATAAAAAAAATA